TTTTTCACATTATTTTGATTATTTTTATCAATTTTTAAAAAATCATTTTATTTTACATTGACTTACATAGAAAATTGACTCCGCTGTCATTAGATATGCCAACTACAGTCAATTTCGCGAACTTTATAATTCTCATCGTTCAGATTTTCTTAAAAAACTCTTCCCTGAATATCCTTTTTCCATCAAGTATTTCTATTTTATTAAGTTCATTTAATGAGAAAATATATAACTTAATTATTGAATTTTTAATTAAAGAAAATATTAAAATATAAATAAACAAAAAATTATTCGGTTTACAAAAGTCTGTGGCAACAAAAACTACGTTTAGATGCCAATTCTCAAAAAAAAAAAATAAATAAATAAATAAAAAGAAGGACGAAAATTTGAAATTTGACTATTGCCGATTCGCCTCCTCTCTAGTTTTCATACCTATAACACAAGAACCAAAAGTAAAGCAAATGTACAAACGGCTAGATCAAATAAATGCTTTAGCCAAAGATGTCACTTTTATCCTTTTGCCAAAGTGTATAATTGGTTGCCTGAAACCTATAAAACCTACATAAAAGTTATTAACTAGCTGAATTTTATTAAAAATGTTTTTAAAAAATTTATGCGTAATACGGATAGATATATAGTTCATGCAATTATTGACTAGGCTTTCCTTTTTTCTTTGTTCTTTTTTTTTATATATATACGAAATACTTAGGTTTGTACTTGTAGTTTGTACTTTTAACAAAAAAGAAATACGCGCATGCGCAACTTGTAGTTTTTATGGGTTCTTTTTTCTATTTTCGTTTATTAAGTTATAATTACCATACATTTAATTTGTAAACTGATCATGTAAAGAAAATGCTTAATAAACATTATTATTATTACATGCAAAAATTAGAAAAAAATATTTTCACAATTTTCAATAAAGAAATCGCTGTTGCTAGGTACACGCTAAAGTGTACACAAATCAAAAAATTATATACACGCGAAACGTCATATTGCTGTGGTGAGAGGTGTTTGTGTGAATGCATGTTGTTTGATTTCATTTACGCCGTGACTAGCAGCTAGCAGTAGTATTTTATAAACCTTAGAAGCAAATTTCACATACATGAACAAATAATAATAATAATGCCGTGACAACAAGAAAATGAAGCAACGAATTCCCGTAAGGTGGCGGCTTCGCCGCCACCAGAAAATTTCAATTCATACCTGGCTACGTCGACCGGCATGGACACAGCTCACCTACTCTGTCAAGACGTTCCGCGTGTATATAACTTTTTGAATTGGGTATAAGTTAGCGTGTACCTAGACACTGTGTAAAGAAATTGCATTTCATTGGTCACTGTGTGTATTATAGATGTATTTAAGTTATAAAAAAATGTTAAAAATAATATTTACTTAATAAAATTTAATTAACCTTTTTTACAAGTTTTGTTTAGTCATAGGTAATTAATTCTGTTGTACTGTTTTTTCTTTGGTTTAAAAATACTGGATAGCAGAATTTCGCTATTGTAATGTCGCTACATAAAATATAAATCATGAAATACGAATGAATATGCACCATGAATAATTTAGAAACTAATTTACAAACATGATTTTTGTGATCTTTCACATGTTACAGCTCGTAAATAGTGAATCTTACAAAATGGCGTCTTATTAATGTACATAAAATGAATGTTGTTGTTTACTCACTTTGATCTCCTGTAATTCGTAAACGGTTAGCTTGATCAAAATAAGCATTCAAAGAAATATTATCGATTTTGCTTTCTGTCAAAAGATGACAAGATTTTTTTTCTTTGAATATGCATACACTATCGAATGCTTAAAAAGTGTATATCTGTATTTTTAGATTGCAGGTTAGGTCATAAATTATACACCGGATATTTTGTCAAAAATAGGTCGATCAGGCCTAACTTACCTTTATACAAAAGAGTATTACTAATAAATTAATAATAAAAAACATTTTTAAGAACAAGCTTTTATTTAAATGCTCTAAAACAGAAGAAAAAAATCTAACCTTGAGAGCAGTAGCCATATCTTGATGAATAATATACAGTTCATCAAATTTCTAGAGGCTTTCGACGGCTAGACAGAGAAAGCACTACTGACAGGCATCCCGACGGATTTACGCAATGAAAGTACACTCTGCGCATCAAGTATTTCACTATTTCATTCAGACGTAAATGTCAGATGTAAATTTCGCTAAAACATTTCTTTTATTTTCGTTTGTGTTTTTTGCTCATTACAGTTTAATAGAACCTAAGTATGGAGTTTAATAGCAAATTAAGAGGCCGCGTGATTAACAGTCAATCTCGCGAAATAATAGCCAATGTTATAGAGTTTATGAGAAGAGAAGGAAACTTTAATTCACCTTCAATACCATTTAAAAATGTAAATGATCGTGTTGCTGCAGCCACAGGAGTATCTAAAAACACTGTCGTCCGCATTTCTGGAGAGAAAAAAAGAATCGATAACCTTGAGATATCGGAATTTTCATCACCAAGAAAAACCATTAAAAAACCAAAAACAGTTATTGATATAGATGAAGCTGCACAAGAATCAAATTTTATTTTTTTGTTATTAGATAGCTATTTTTGTTTCTGAGTTGTGTTCATTTACAGGCTCAATTTTTTTCCGTTTCTCCTTTTTGATTTTATATGGGGTTTCAAGTTGTTTTTGACTTATTTCGACGTAAATCACAACAACACACTTTTTTAATAAAGCAAACAAGTGTTAAGAGGTATATGTACGTGTAAACTACAATTACAAAAAATTGATATGAAACCCAAGGAACCACCAACAAAAATGTAAAGCTAGCTTCCGTACTAGAACATGGTGTCATTCGTCGAGATAATTTATCGTTTTGTTTAATAGATCAAGAAATGTAAATATTCCCCTGTTATTTTTTATAAAATTATAAGAGAAATAAATTTTTTTTCTAAATAGTATAGTTTATTATTTTGTAGAAAAACAAAATTTCGAAAATTTTAGTAATGTTTCAGAAACAACCGTTATTAATAATAGGTACCATTTTCCTTAATAAGGTAGAAATAAAATATAAACTATTTCCACGACTTACAAAGGCCTACAAAAAAATTATAGGTATTTTCCGCTATCCTATAAAATTTATATTTTCTGACTCAATTTCAAAAGGTTGAAGGAATTCCAAAACACCTTTTATGGCATAATAATTATTTGCAATTCTACATACTATCTTTAGCTGCTTTTAAAAACGTTCTAAGAAAGTCCAATCAGACCAATTTAATCCCTAAACTATTCCACACTTTTAAAATTTAATTACCTAAAAATATTAAAAACTATTTAAAATAACTTGTTTAGCAGACTGTACAATAGCTATCTCAGTCACACGTAGCGCGTTCTCTGTCGGTGTCGGCGTCGAACACCTCTAGAAATTTGATGAACTGTATATGGGTCAGCCATATTTAATTTAGGCTGTCTTCATTTTATTTTCGTATTCTTCTCAGTAAACTCTTTCATTTGGTACTCATATCATGATGGTAGATAAGAAATTGTTTTCCTCCATCTTGGGGCGTCCGCCATAATGAATTTAGTGTTACATCAGTTTTGTTTTTTGTATTCTTCTCAGCAAACCCTTTTAATTGATACCCATATCAAGGGGGTGGATAAAAAATAAACTAGTCCGCTATTTTTGGGAGTTCGCCATATTTGATTTAGAATGACGTCATTTAGCTAACCATGCATTGCCATCCAAACTAAACCTGTTTGCAAAATTTCAACTCAGTCGGTTAAGGATAACCGTTTTAAAATTCAGTTGCAAGATTTGACCAAAACAAACAACGAACATTGCAAGTTAATAAAAAGTTTGTAAACATTTTTAAGTTATGCTATATGCTCTTCTTTCGTTTTAAATCTTTAATTACGTTTTATATTTTCTGCAAACTTGGAATATCTTCTATAACCGTCTCAACACAATTCTTCTTGGTTGTTACCACTAAGAATTTCGTTAAAATATTGTTTTTCTACGCCCATGTCAGTAAACGTTAAAAATCGCACTATCAACATTCCTTGTAAATGGCATTTAACAATAACATGCACGTAATGAGATCTCATAACATACACGTGTATTTTTGATAGGAAAACTTAAATTTCTTGGTTTAATCAAATTGCAATCAATTTTTTGTATACGTACGACTTTATTTGGTCAATTTACATAAATTTAGTCATTTAAAAAACGTAAAAAGGTTTAGCATGCGAGATACATTTTGGATTAAAAGAGTGATGCCCCTAAATTTCGGCAATATATTTTTTTTTTTTTTTTTTTTTGTAATGGGATGGCATCAGATGGCAATATATTATACAATATTTAAAAAAAAAAAAAAAAAAATATGTCGCGTTTTCATAGCATGCTATGGAAATAAACGTTATGCCATTTATATTGTCAATTTTTGTAACAAAATATGATTGTATCCAAACATTTTCTCAACGTTACCTACGAATATGTTTGTTAGCAGTGAAAGTGATAAAATTATGAGCACTCCACCAGAGATTTTAGAAAAAGCTCAAGCTGCCACACATAATTTGATACCGCTAAAATCCAAAGAAAGGTACGAACTTACCTATGGAAAATTTATGGATTTGCGACACAAGCATAACGTTAAATCCTTTTTTGAGAATGTTTTAAGTGGGCGTAGAAAAAGTATAGTACGTTACACGAGTTGTAAGCCCATTACGCACTCGTGAAATTTACGCACTCGCCGCTGCGTGTCTTCGTGCGTAAACTTTTTCACTTCGTGCGTAATGGGTTACTTACAACTCTTGTTACGTAATATACTATTATTTTTATTACAAAATATAATTATCGAAATATCTTTTCCCTTATAATGCCTGTTTTGGTATATTAAATATGCGGATTTTTCCGCTTCCGTTTCTTTTTCAATCATGATTTTTCTTGCTTTATTTCTTTTTTCTATATCCTTTTTGTTACACGCTGAATAATTCTACTAACATTGAGATTTATTATTTTTTAGATGATATCGAAAGGAGCTTTGCCCATCGTATGGGTCTGAAATACAACAAAGACACAGACATACAAAAAGTCAGAAACCTTCTCGGGGGCCTTTTTGATCCTTCCACAAAATTTCTAGATTCTGACAGAACGACTTGCGGATTGTGCAAGTTTCTGATAGCAGGACTGCAACGACATAGTTTTACTGTGGCGAAAGTTGGTGAATTCATTTGTAATATTTACATTTTGTTGGCTACGTACACAGTCTCCGATTTCTGCAAGTCCATCATTGAACTTAACAGGGTAAGTAATAATACTAGTATGAACCATGTTATTAATGTTCTTAACAATAATCTGAGTAAACTTAACTAGCCACTGTCACTGTTGAACTCAAATTAAACCCCAATTCCTTAGTTAAAATTTTACTACATATTAACAAATTTAAATTCCTTAGCGCAATAATTAATATTTATAATTGACAATGGACTAAAATTTCATTCTTATTTTCTTTGTAAAAAGGTCCATAACTCAGGGATACAAGGACGTACATGAGATGCAATACAAATTACAAAATTATTGATAAATACTTGGCCTACCATTTTTTGTTGCGTTCTAATCCGTTGGGAACAAATAATAGTAATCCGATGGTTAATTAGGAAAATAAGACCTATGGCCAATCAATTCAAGATTTTTCTATTCAACGTTGATCTATACCGAGTTCTCTATATAATATCGTTTTTTCCGTTTGAATATGACTAATAGCAGCCGAGGTACACGCTTAGGTCCTTTTGGAATTGTCACTGCGCATGATTTTTCTATTCAACGTTAATCTATGCCTAGTTCTCTACATAATGTCGTTTTCCTCGTTTAAATCAGACCAATAATAGCCGAGATACATGTTTAGGTCCTTTTGGCATTGCTACTGCAAAGGATTTTTCTCTAAAACGTTAATCTATGTACGTTCACGTAAACGATGGCCGCCATCTTGGATCTCTTAGCCAAGTCGCAAACGACTTAGTCGAGTTTCAATTGTCCACCACTGATATGTGGCGCCATCTAGCGGCGACTTTGGAAGTAGTGAGCCAGTATTAGCTTTGTATATCTACTAATTTTTGTATTGGAATCCACGATTTGTATGCATGGGTACTGCCTTGCAAAAACAGAACATATTTGCCAAGTTTCCCGCGGCGCTTTTCCCCGGTTTTCTTCGCGTAACCTCGCGTGTTCAAGTTATGATTACCGATGTAAATAAAACACACGTTAATAGGAAATATGTAATGCTTCTGCTGTACGCTTGAATCCAATAATTGATTGATCTGCTTAAATAATATTACGAACACAAACGAAGTGGTCATAAAAAATGGTCTTCCAGAACGATGCTAGTCTGTAACATATCTGATCTTTCTTTCCTACTGTCACGAAGTCGTTTTTGTACCAGTTTCGTCTTTGAAATAAAATACAAATATATAAAAATATACAATTTATTGTCTATCAGACCTCAGTATGAACAAACCTTTGGAAATTTACAATAATTGGGCTTCGACTTACCAAATTCTTCACAAAACGTGTCAAAATTACTACTTTATTTAAAATTACTGGTAACCTTATTATTATTTTATTCAAAATTACTTATTACTTTATCTTGGATAACTAATGACTTTATTACTGACTACTTCATCGTGAACTTTATTTTCCCGTGTAGTGGAGTCTCTTTTCGAGTCCACCTTCTTCACTGTCCAGTTTACCACTGATCTCCTTGTTTAATTTCCATACCCAATTTTTTGAATATTGCCGGCTTGCAAAATTTTCGTAGTTTACTAAACTTACGTGGTTGATGACCTGACCACAGTTTATAGCTAAAGAATCAGTTCGCTCACTCTGCGTCGGCACTTTTGATCTCAATGTTCCAGTTTTTACACTGCGCAACTCGGATTTGTATCCCTGGCACATACAGAATCAATTCATAACCAGTACAATATATGACAACTGCCTATATTCAAACAGCATTCTTCTGCGCATCCTGAATTTGTATCCCTGGAGTGGATATGATTTTGGAACTTCCAAATGGTCCGAGTGAGCGAACTGATTCTTTTAAGCTATAAACTGTGACCTGACATTATTTTTTCATCATTTCAATTGAGCAATATAATTTCGTTAAGTAATTATTTCCTACGTATATTAGCAACTCGGCAGTATTTTGTAATCGTTTTTAAATTTAAAAAGCTGAATTAAAAATAAAATAATTTTGTTTGATTTTTTTTTAATTTACTTTAAAAAAATAAGAAAAGTTATTATTATTTTGGGATTTGTGACACTACATTCTGCTAGATTTTATATCATATCACCAAAAATGTCTTTAACCGATAATCATAACATATTGTCTTCTAAAACTCACAGATCTATCACCGTTTAACTTATGGATGTCAAACTACGAAATAGTATATTACATTACGAGTGTGGAAAGTGACATTTTTCACACGAGTCGGAAATATTGTCGCACGAGGCAAAAGCCGAGTGCGACTATCACACGAGTGGGAAATATTGTCGCACGAGGCACAAGCCGAGTGCGACTATCACACGAGTGTGGAAAATCACTTTTCACACAAGTGATGTACAATATTTTTCCTACGACCACAAAATAATGTCATCAAAAAATGTAAAACCAAGGTTATTATTACTATAATAATTAAAATGTATTTAAAAAAATAAAATCAACAATAATCGTATTTGTTCAATTTTCATATTTTCTAAACAAATAAAAAAACTAAAAAAAAAATTAAAAAAAAAATTCTGGCCCGCCAGGATTTGAACGCGGTCGCTCGCCAGGTCGCGTATTTCCATAGTATACTACTGTGCAGAGCAGGCCGTTGTCTGTACCGTAGTAGGCTATGTACCATCTTTTATAGTTACGCCACGTTACAATGTGTTCTGCGATGCATTTCACTACAACTAAGAACTACCAACATTAATTTAGTATTATTAAAATTTTTTGATAGCTGCACATAATGGTTGCTACAACAGCCTTATGATTCATTACAGCACGCTCTCTGTAAGGGCTAAGTAAAGAGTTAGGTAATTAATAGTTTACATATTAGAAGTAAAAACATCATGATGCATTTTAATTTTAATAAACAATATAAAAAAGATTATAAAATATTACGAAACAAAATAAACATCATCAGATTGAATAATTAAATATTTATTGCTGTGGACAAGTAGGTACTCAATGAGACTTAGCATTAGGTCTATTAATTGTAACATTTTTCGACAGGGATCTCAGACAGCCAAGGAGCTGATCATCTTCATGGCAAAAGTGTTTTAAAATTTGCAATATTTTGTTGTCACAATTCATTGCTAACAAAAGGTCTTTTCCTTTGCATCGAAAGTGTAGCACTGAGCTACACCATTTCTGAAAATATCGTTCCATTTATACAAATTATATATTCCACTGAAATATTCAGATCAATAATAATTGTGATATTTTCAACATTGTAGATTGCTTCCAAATATAACACATCGTTAAATTCCACATTTTGGTGGACATTTTTTGATATAAGATTGTTCTTCTTTCCTCTAAACTCCATAGAATCATGTAACGCTCTGGATTTAGAATAAGAAAAAATACAAGATTGTCTTCCGTATGACGTCGTCTGAATAATTATCTTTCGAGCTTTCGCATAATTTCTTGTCATACTTTTATAGGCCAAGGAGTACACGGTTTTTTATCTTTGAGAGTGATGCAAACGCGCTACTTACGCCATATTAGTGTGACGCAATAATGGTTCCATTGACAGTTAACTTCTAACCAAACTTTTAATAAAAACATCATTAAATTTGACATATATGTTTTTACTGTTTTTAGTTTTTTTTTTAATATTGTTTGCAGGTCATAAAAATAGTTTAAAGTTTTGTAATTGGTAACTGAACCATTATATATGTGATACCTATTATTAAAAAAGTTCTTAACTATACGAGTATAATTTAGATAAACAAAACGAACAAAACGCACTTAAAAAGTGTACTGTCATTGTAATTGTCAGAAGAACCATAATTACATCATCACTAAATTAGCGTATTATTAAAATTGAATGTACAGAGCTGGCCTTATAAATTTGGATTAATACAATATTGATGTATTTTCAACCATAATATTTTAAATAATATTTTCAGCCCGTGCTCACCTACGTATTTGATAATAGCAAGATTTTAGATCCAGAACTAGCTTGTACGATCCTTCTTCAGACCAAGGAGTGCACTTATGATAAACCAGCTTTACAATGGGTCACTTTAGTGTCATCAACTGCACCCATTTATCCAGAGGTAAAAAATAACATCAATTAACAACAGATCTATTATTCATTTAAGAGTTTACTCATTTTATTATTATTGTAGAACAATCAGAAAATTGACATCTATGTTTCTTATATGAATAGTTGTTCAATATGTCAACTGTCACATATGTCAATAATTGAATATATCATAAAATGGTCGTTGCCGTTATTGCACTTTTCTGTAATTGAATACATATATTAAAAGCTAAAACACTTATCCTGAATTTACATATATAAATCACAACTTATCGTGGTATTCTACTTATCCAATTAACACTTATAAATAAATCATTATGTATTTTAAATGAACATGACTGAAAAGTATTTCGAACTCAAATCCAAACACTTTTAAAATGAAAAAGAAACCTTAAATAATGATTAAATATTTTTAAATGAGTTCACAAACTATCACGAGTATATTGATGCATGTTCTAAACTGGCGCCAAGTCGTTTTAACCCATTGAGATAAAATAAAGAGGACAATGCTAAAGTGTCCGCACATTTGCATTACACTTTTACGTCATATATCAAACTCGAGATACTAGAGCTAATCAGTTTTGGTGAGAATAAATGCAGTTTTTTTTTAAATAGCTTCTTCTAAATGATATAAAATCATTTTCATTCAGTCAGTCTTCAAATATAAAATTATTGAGTTCAAATAAACCAAAGTACGACTCAAGACTACTTTATTCTATCTCGATGTTTTAACCCAACAATATATATTTTTAGGTATCGCACGATTCGAACGAAAAACCCATGACAATTCTTCACCTTACTGATTTTCACATCACTCCTGACTACGAAGTAGGGGGTGTTTCGAACTGCGGCTATCCAGTTTGTTGTAAAAAAGGGCTGGGAAACTCTCTCAAAGGTGAAAAGGCGTCCAAATGGGGTGACTATAATTGCGACATACCCCCGTGGTTACTTGGAGCTACTTTACAACACTTAAATCACACTTACAAGGTAAGAAAATATCTACATGGTTTGCTTCAGAGAAACGTAAAAAAAATCGTAAAATATTATTTCAGGATGTAGAAATAGTCTACTTCACTGGGGATATCATCGATCATACAGTTTGGAACACATCCGTTGAAAGTAATACGGAAATGATATATTACACTTATAAGGCTTTGGCAGAATCGTTTCCAAAAGCAAAAATTTTTTCTGTCATTGGTAACCACGAGTCCAATCCACTTAACGTGTAAGTAAAGAAACTTTCTTCAAATTCCGTTGACGTTGAAGAAATGCAAATTTTATTTGTGCATTTATTTATTATTTGCTGTTTAGAGTATAGTAGCTCGGATTTTTGGTCAATAGCAGCACATAAAGGTGCTTATAAATATAAACGCACCGTACACTCGTCGAAGGAATCACTAGAGGATTCAACAGAAATCAGTCTACAGGTACCATATTCCTGGATGTTGCCAAGGCATTCGACAGAGTATGGCACGCTGGGCTGATTTTCTAGATGAAAGAACAAGGGTACAAAGTAGGAATGAGAAGACTGCTCAGGTCGTACCTCTGCGAAAGGCAATTCCGGATCAAGATGGCACATGTCCTATCAAGACCTGGAATTCCAGAAGCGGGAGTACCCCAAGGAGCGGTACTGTCACCAGAGCTGTATACCATTTACACAGCAGACATCCCGAAAACCCAACATACTACAATGTCCCTCTACGCGGACGATACAGCGATATGGGCAACGAGCACACAGCCAGGACTTATATCGAGATATCTACAAGACGCAGCGGAAGACATAGAAGAATGGTGCATAAGATGGAAGATTAAGATCAACGCAGAGAAGACACAGGCTGTGCTGTTCAAGAAGAGGCATCACCCCCCAGGAGAAGAAGTAACGATGAATGGACAGGACATCCCATGGACCGACTCAGCCAGGTACCTAGGAGTTATAATGGACCAAAAACTCACCTTCACCAAACATGTGGACATGGTAGTAAAGAAGATGAAACAGGTAATAACCAGAATAAATTGCTTAATAGAAAGCAGGAGCAAACTCCTAATATAGACAAAAATGAGGTTTATACAGGCAGTCCTAATACCCATCCTTATGTACGTCTCGACGGCATGGCATGAGGATATACCTGTAAATCAAATAGGAAGAAGATTCAGAGTCAGTAGAACATCAGCCTGAGATGGGCCTCAAATGCCTATAGATACACCAGAAATGACATAATCAGGAGGAATCTAGAATACAAAAGGGGCCTAGACCTCATCCACAAGAAGGCCACTGACACCTTCGAAAAATTAAGGACACACCCAAAAATGGAAATGAGAGAAATAACAGAGTACGAGAGAGCGGATTACAGAAGACACGCCAGACCACGCAAAGTGCTGGACTATGGCGGCTAGTGACCAAATCTTGGTAGGTGCAAAATTTAAGACGCTCATAGATTTTAAGATTCTCTTTCAGCGTTCTCTTTCAGCGTTCTCTTGCAGCATTCTCTTTCAGCATTCTCTTTCAGAATACTCTTACAGAACGCAACATGCAACTGTGTGTGTGTGTGTGTGTGTGTGTGTGTGTGTGTGTGTGTGTGTGTGTGTGTGTGTGTGTGTGTGTGTGTGTGTGTGTGTGTGTGCGTGTGCGTGTGCGTGTGGGTGTGCGTGTGGGTGTGTGTGTGTGTGTGTGTGTGTGCGCGTGTGTTTGTGTGCGTGTGCGTGCGTGCGTGCGTGCGTGTGTGTTTGTGTGTGTGTCTATCACCTATCATATTTGATAGGCACACAGCACCGTACAAATTTGACAAACTTGGCACGTTATTCGGACGGCGCAGGTACGGCCCGGGCCAAGCACATTATATTTATACGCACCTTAAGAGTTCGTTCACTTTCCTAATTGATCTTTTTTTATATTTTAGATTTTCCCCACCTTTCCCTGACATAATCAAAAAAGGTCTGTCTACGGATTGGCTATACGAACTGATGGGCAAAGTTTGGCGACCTTGGTTATCTCCTCAAGCTCTAGAAACTGTTAAGTATCAAGGCTACTACGCCCAAACTGTCAGTCCCAGACTCAAAGTGATTGGTTTGAACAATAACGTTTGTTATAATTTCAATTGGTAAGATTTTTTGGGATTGTTATACATGAGTAAAGTTGTGGTTTATTCAATTAATATTTGGGCAAATATTTGATTATTCCAGGTGGTTAATGTACCATACGGAATATATAAACGAACAATTGCAATTTTTAAATAAAGAATTAGAAGAATCAGAAAAAAATGGTCAGTTCGTACACATACTAGGACATGTTTCAGTTGGAAATCAAGAATGTATCCAGCCTTGGGAAGTTAGTTATAACAGAATTGTTCAAAGGTATCATTTTTATTTATTTAAATTTTTTATTTATTTTACACTAATAGGTAGGTATTCCCCCCAAATTCGATCTAAAACTCTATTCTTCCGTGATTTATTTGCGCACGAATCTTATACGAATGCGTACTAATACGTCTCAGCGAAAAATGCATATCTTTTCCGTATGTGGTGATCGTAAAAATTTAAAAAGCCACATATTGATTTTCGATTTTTTTTGTTCGAGCGACCGTTTCCCTTCGGAAAACAACTACTCCTTTGGCTAATACCGCATCAGTTATTGAATTATATACAAAGTAAAGACATCAGACTACCTCTATCTTTAATTTTGCTTACTTCGGCGAAGGTCATTCTTGGACCGGTTTCTTCCTTATTAGGACTCATCAGCAAGCAATAGACAGGTTCTAAATGCGTCAAATTCACTAGTATACTTTAACGGTGATTCGAAAAAAATAAATAATTAGTGAAATAGTGGAAATGATAACGTCATCTGCACCTAATAAGCAAAATCAAAGGTCGCTTGTATCTTTCTATTTCTTGTTTTATTTCCTTTAGATATAATTCAATACCTGTTGCGGTATTAGCCAAAGGGTCACTCGTATTTTGTGTAATATATACCATTGTGTTTTTTCATTAACATTTGAGTTACATATAATCCTTTTTTAAAATGAGCGTTTAAAGAAAATCACAACAACGGTCAAGCATTAGTGCTCAATTGTTTAAAAGCTATACTGACAAACTGCTCGAATTCTATAGTATATTTTTTCTACAACTATCTAAAGAAAATTTAAATATTTTAAAAGTAATTTAGAGGTTATTAACATAAAATAACTATTTTACACATAATTTAGAATTTAAACTTGAAAAAAGACCCCAACTATCCGCATATATCTGTTTATTTTGCTAATGCTAAGGGTCCTTAAAAAGACCAGAAGCGGGGGGTGGGCTTTTGAAAAATATATATTTGTATGTAGATAGTTTTTATAAGCAATAAACCTGTTTATTTAACTCATAATTAAGACGCGGAAATTCTTTATTGTAATAACAATTAAAGCCTGTTCCTTTCATCCCTGAATATTCCGTATCTCCATCTTCTCCTACCTGTGTTCTTATTTTGCCACTATGGATGCTTTAAGCACATACAACTGTTGTAAATTCTATACTATTACATAAATATAAAACATTAAAAAATTGTTCTTTTTAGATTTGCTCATATTATCAAAGGCCAATTTGTCGGGCACACTCACACTGACGAACTAAAAGTTTTCTACGACATAAATTCGAAACCGATCAATATGGCTTTCAATGGAGCTAGCTTAACACCATATCTGAAATATAATCCAAATTATAAAGTAGTTTACGTCAACCCTACCAGCATGGTAAGCCAAAAGTAATTTTCTGTAAATATCTTTCACAATTTCGGCGATATCAAAGAGTAGCGAGACCAGAGCCAAATTTGGTTAGCAATAAATAATATACAGGGTGATTTATAAGTTGATACTTTGTTTTGAACTAGGTATACAACTACTTAAAACAACTACTTAAAACAACTACTTAAAACAACTACTTAAAACAACTACAACTACTTAAAACAACTACTTAAAACAACTACTTAAAACAACTACTTACAGTTGAAAAAGTTTCAACTTAGAAATCAACCTGTACATTCTCTAACTAAGAGCCTAAAATACGAAGTAAGGTCGACCTTCGCCCATTTGCTTACTGGATGAAAATATTGTCAAGACTATTTATTTTTTTAAAGTAAAAAAAAGCGACACCCAATAAAGTATACCCTAAATGTTTCGACTGTGTCCAAAACTTAATCAGCTCACCACAGGATAAATTAAAGCTTAAGTTTGAAATTTGGTGTTTTCTCTTTATCCGTTTTTGAGTTATCTTGAAAATTCGAAATTTTAACTTTTTCTCAAACATAGGGTCCATTTTAGGGAAATTATGTATAGGTCAAAAATTATAGAGAATGACATCACAAGCAACTTTTATGTCATGATTCCTATACTTTCCTTATCTGTATACAGAAAGAAGTCAAAAATTGCCTTGACAGTATTTTTTGAGGCAACCCATTTGCAGTAAATTTATTAACATATTTTATTTTTCTCCGGTAAGCAGATGAGTGAAAGTCGACCTTACTTCGTATCCTGTATCGAAGATATTATAATGAAAAAAAAAAAAAAAATTTTAGGATATAGTGGACATAGATACGTACAGTTTCAATATGACAGAAGCAAATCTTTACAGAGATAGAACACCAGCGTGGAGCAAATTATATTCAATGAAACAGGCATACAATTTGCCGGATTTGTCACCTACTAGTTTTGATGTATTCGCAAACAGATTGCTTAAGGATAAAAAATTACAAGAGCAGTACTGGCTGTAAGTAAAAAATCACTTACCTGTAACATTAAATCATTATTTAAGGGGGTGAGTGGGCTCAGTGGATATAGTCTAAATTTCTTAATACAAGGGTCCGGGGTTCGAATCCTCCCAGGATCATCCACTTAATTAATAGTGCTCTTTCTAAAGTGACGCTGGAAAACAGTTACAAAGCTTATACTATGGAGAATTAGAGATAACATCAACAAAAATTAATATATTGTTACGTTTATTTATTTTAAAATAGTTTATTTTTTAAATTTATTTATAACTAACACACTATTATTATACTCTTCAGACAGTAGTCTGTGAATAGTATTACGTATTATGCATTCGCTTCGCGTACGATAAGTTAAAAACGGAAAACGATATCAATATGAAAATTTCAGGAAAAATCATACTCTATAAGGGGACGAAGCCTATTGATTTTGAAAAAATCTGAATAAAAATGAGAGGTAAAGGGGGGGTTGAAACATTAAAAACTCAAAAACGAAAAATGATATCAACACTTGAAATTTTTAGCAAAAATCAAGCTCTATATGGAGACAAATCGTACTAATTTTGAAAAAAAAATTGGTTGAAAATGGAGGTTAAAGCAGGTTGAAATTAAAAAAAATCATAAATCAAAAAACGTAGACAGTTGGTAGCATATGAAAAACTTTATTAATAATATTAGGAAAATAGTTATTTTTCATAAAAAGTCGAGTGTATTCTTAAACCTAAAATGCAACCATCGTATACCAAATTATATCAGTTATATACGAGGTTTGTTAAAAATAAAGGTACTTTACTCTTCAGCAAAAATCATATTTTTGTAAACCTCGTATACAGCTTAAAAAAATTGATATCTGATGGTTGCATTTTAAGTTTTGGACCATGCAGAACTTTTTATCAAGAATACATTTTTTCACAAAACCAATACTAACAAAGTTTTACACATGGCTCCAACTTATGTTGTGTTGGGATTGGGGTGTTAATACACTGCGACCTAAAAGGTCTATTGTGTCCCTTTCTGTCGCTAATGCACCAAGGAAATGTTTAATGTCTCAATGCCTATAACGACCCTTCCAATCCTATTTTCTCAAGAAAGTGTAGGATTTGGAGTGGCTTCAAGTTGGGTAAATCTCCCTCTTCTATTTGATATCCTCCTAGATATAGTGCCCTTGGATTCTGGAGTGCTACACATTCAGTTAGAATGTGAATGGAGGTTTCTCCTTCTCACAGAATCTGCACTCACTATCCTCTACTACTCTCAGTTTATTAAGGTGTCCTTTTAGTTGGCATGCAGTGCCAGGTAAGGATCCGTTATAATACGTAGCCTATTCTTGCTCAGGCAGATGCAGGCTGCAGGCTTCCGATCTTTTCTGGTTATACTCACCCATAAGTATCTTAGCCTGTCTCAGCCCCAAGAGATTGTTTCAATTATCGGTTCGTCTACTGCCCAATTCTTTTTCAATCTCTCCTAATATTATGTTACTGCTGATACCGCAGAACTGCTCAGGTTCTACAAAGGGTGTTTGAGCCCCTTTCCTTCCAAGACTTTCTGCAATCTCGTTACCCTGTACCCCGTTATGTCACGGGACCCAAGTAAGAATAACTCTATTTTTCTCAATTGTTCTATGCATCTCCAGACCATTTTTGAGCTGATTACGTAAGAGCTCAGCGCTTTGATGGCTGCTTTACTATCGGACATGATGATAATCTCTTGTCTATGATAGTTTCTCTCGATGTTAAACTGGATTCACTCTCCGATGGCGTGAATTTCCGCTTGGAAGATGCTTAAGTATTTTACCAAACTTTCGGAATGCTTGGTTCTCGGCTCATACACTCCTATTCCAGTTCCTTCTATGGTTTTGGAACCGTCCGTATACTACTGAATAGCATGTCTTTCGGTTGCAATCGCGATGGATTCTTGCAGCCCAGCTCTGTGGTTTTGAAGTTTTTCACAAAACTGTACTTCTTTAGCATTTCATCCTGGGGCATGTCACATCTTTAGTCCTGAAGCAAGTAGACTTTCGTCTGAATACTCAGTTCCTGATCATTCTATATCGTGTCCTTTTTGCTACATTCTCTATCCTCAAATGTAGAGGGGTGAGGTTTAAGATCACTTCCATTGCGGCCGTAGGGCAGGTTTTCATTGCACCAGTAATGCATACACAGGCTAATCTTTGTACTTTTGAGATATTAGCTCTCGTAGTAGCTAAACTAGTTGTTACTCCAGGCTATAGTCCCGTAAGTGATGATTGGTCTCACTATATTTACCCGCAATGTATCTGCATACCATTAGGGCTTTTGTGGCCTTATTTACTACTTCCTTCTTATTTGTATTCCAGAGAAATTTGTTGTCCAGGGTTAGGCCTAGATATTTGACTTCATTTTTCCATTTTATATCTATCTCGTCTAATTTAACGGTTTTGAGATTTAGTTTTCTTTTCCTTGAAAAGGCTGCTAGTGTTGTTTTTGTAGGGTTTATACTAAGTCCCACTTCACGGCACCATCTTTTGGTATGTTCTAGTCCTCGTTGGACTATATCACACAGGATATTTCTAAACTTGCCTCTAGCAAATATGACTATGTCGTCGGCATAACCTTGACAGGATATGCCGAGGTCAGTCAATCTACATAGAAGTTCGTCTACGGTTAGGCTCCACATTAGTGGGGATAGAACTCCTCCTTGTGGAGATCCTCTGGTTGTGCAGATGAAGATGGTGTCCTGCCCTATCTGTGTCTCTGCAGTTCTCGTAGATAACAGCTGATCCATCCATCTGGATGTGATGTTATCTATTCCTTTGTATGCAAGTGCTCTTTTACAGATTCGTGTGGCGTGTTGTCAAAAGCTTCTTCTATGTCTAAGAAGGCACACACGACTGTTTCTTTGTTTGTCAATGCATCCTGGATTACGTCAGTCAACTGTACCAGGGCAGTTTCTGTAGATCTTCCTGCTCGGTACGCGTGTTGGCCGTTCTGATATAATTATCAACAGCCTTCTCCATTGTTTTTAATACAAAGGATGTGAGGCTGATTGGTCGGAAGGATTTAGGATGCGTGGTATCCTTTTTCCCTACTTTTGGAATAAATGTGAATCTGGCCCTTCTCCAGAAAAGGTGTGCTTCCTGGAAAGTGAGACATATTGTGTGTCTTAATTTTAGTTTGTGCTTAGAACTAAGTTATTGATTTATATTTCTAACACTTTTATTAATTTATATTAACAATATTGATCTTTACCATTCGGATATTTATCTTCAATTTAACTATCGACAAAGTCGCGTTACTTATATGAAAATTAGGCCTACCGGACCTGTCCAGAAAGCTTTAGTCCTTCTCAAACCGCTTTCTTCACGAGTCGGTACGTGTGCAAAAGAACTTTACAGTAACTTTTCGTAGGAATCTGTTTGTCTCGATCGTCCAGCCGCAGCGGTGTACAGGTAGACGGCTGGACGGCGATAACTTAAATAAATATTAGGGCCGGACTGGTTGAAAATGGCTCGCACAATATTTTCTGTAATTCTTTAAAAACCTAACTATTCTTATGGCTAAAAATACAATATTTGCATTTAAATTAAATAATATATAAATTGGTGAAATTGTAATAGTAGCGTGATTATATTTTTAATTTTCAGGAATTATGTAAGAAAGGGCGACGCTTCCTTAAAAGACGGATGCGATGATAGCTGCAAAATGGAAGTCGCCTGTAAAGCTGTAACTACATGGTCACTCCATTCCGTAAAACCACAATGCGATATGACATAAAAGAATAAACATTTAATAATGTAAGATTTTTGTTAAGGCCAAAGATGTATTTTATGATTTTATTAAATAAATATCGTGAAATAATTTTAGAACTAAATTGTTATTTTCACCTAGAGACAGGCGAGGATCTGGGAAGATTTTTCGGGGGGCAAATAATTTTATTCGTCGCAATCATATTTTTTGCTTTCGCGTAAAATCTCGATGTCACAATTTAATAAATTCCAGGGTTTCGTCGAGCAGCTGGAGGGAGGGGGTTATTACCCTATTACCCCCCACCTTGTATATACGTCTTAATTGCAAACCATTAAAACTAACGGAACCACCTTATTACGAACACGGCAAACATGATGACTAATTTACGCTTGTCCAGATGCCCAACAAATAATTATCATCGACATACCTATCTATGGCCTCTATTAGTTTGCAATGCCTCTCTCTGTTGGCCCAACATCTGTTTCTAATGATTCTTCACTCTTGAAAAGCATTCAGAACTCCTTAGCATTTTCCGATTCTTTCATTAGGTTCTAATGAAAATACAAAACCTTAGGTTTGCAATGGTGTCCAAAGTCTCTCCGATTTTGTTCCTAAAACAACTACAAAGATGTCCATACTTTCAGGCATAGCCCATATATTTGATCCCTTAGGCCTATTAAGTGCTTCTGTAATTAAAATTTTGATGCAACACCTCTGGCTAGAAAAGTTAGATTGGGATCAATCTGTTCCCTTTACATTCATACTGAGTGGCTAAAATTTCGAGATGAGCTTTCATCATAATGACCTAAACATTCCTAGGCATGTCATTCTTCAAAATTCATGGTTTTTCTGATGCTAGTGAATTTGCCTGCGGAGATTATATTTACCTATGAAATACATACTGATGAATCGGGTTACACTGCAGTTAATCTTTTATGTACTAAAACAAAGATAGCACCTCTAAACAAAGTAAATCTTCCTCGTTTAAATGCAATTATCTGCTTAATATTGTTTTGGGGGTGGATCAGAACCTCACCTCACATTCTGAAAACCGTTCTTGCTAGCAGAGTGTCCGAGATCTAATCTAATAGAAACAATTTATTTTGGACTTGGAACTATTTAATTCTGATAAACATGGAATCTTTCTTTAAATAGGTTTATTTAGTATTGAACCCGATTCAATTTTGTTTTAACATTAAAGACCAGTCGAGTAGAGTGTGTAGAGTCCGTAATATGGGAGTTTGGTAAAAAATAAAACGCATAAGAATTACTTCAAGAGCTTCTTTAATGGTTAGTTGAGAAGCTTATACATTAAATTTTTATCAAGTCTATCGTCATCAAGTCTCAACAAAAAACGTAACAAATAAGATCGTTATCAATAACTTATCCTACACATCCCATATCAAGAGTGATGATGAATATGCCCTCCAATAACTAATGCAATAATAATAAAATTAATGGTTTAACAGAAAGAAAGGACGAAAAATATCAATAAATAAATTCTTTCAATTATAATAAATTAATTCGCCTCTAAAGGAATAAATAACCTGTAGAAATTTTAAATCTTACTTCAATCTATTCGTCGATTTTAAATATCGAAATGATTGCAAAGGCGATTGACAGCTGTAAGATGATATTCTTGACAGCTCGGTTTTTTATTACAACAGTTTTAGCCTAATTAACGACTTAACGTTGGAAGGACACGACTCGTAGGTTAAAGTAAGAGATAAAATTTCGTAGCGGTTATTATGCCACAGACGAGAGTAAAATAAAAACTAAACACTCTAAACGAACAGTGTCTTTCCTTCTGAACTCCTTCCGATGAAAATAATTCCGCTGCAACCACCTAAACAACAAATAATAATAATAGTAAATGATGAAGATTTCCTTGTTGCCCATGGCGGTAGAAGGCGGCACTAAGCCTAGTTATTTCTTCTTCTGGGCTTTCTCGGCGGCCTTCGTGACCTTGCCGGCTGTATCTTTGAAGCAAACAGACTTTATAACGCCCACGGCGACCGTTTGACGCATATCGCGTACAGCGAACCGTCCGAGCGGCGGGAACTCTTGGAACGATTCGACGCACATCGGTTTCGAGGGCACCAGATTCACAATGGCCGCGTCGCCCGATTTTATCGCCTTCGGGTTCTCTTCGGTGGTTTTTCCTGTACGGCGGTCGCACTTTTCTTTGATTTCCGCGAATTTGCAAGCGATATGAGCCGTGTGGCAATCCAGGACGGGTGTGTAGCCGTTCGCTATTTGGCCAGGGTGGTTCAGAACTATGACCTACGAAAAAATAAGCTTTTATTTACCTTGAGCAAAAATTAGAAACGCCACAAGAAATGAGGTAATTACATTAATATTTCGAATTATTAAGGGCAAGTATCTTTTTACATTCTTTTATCAATTCTGATCCGAACATACATCAGAAACTTACCTGAGCCATAAAATCGGAAGCTCCCCTAGGAGGATTGTTTTTGGAATCGCCTGCAACGTAGCCACGTCTTAGTTCTTTAACCGAAACGTTCTTGACGTTGAAGCCGACGTTATCTCCTGGAACTGCTTCCTGCAAAGCTTCGTGATGCATTTCTACAGATTTTACTTCCGTAGTCAAGCCAACAGGCGCGAAAGTCACAACCATACCTGGTTTCAGAATACCAGTTTCAACTCTGCCTACTGGCACAGTACCAATACCGCCGATTTTGTAAACGTCCTAAAAATTAAGCAATGTAGTGCGAATCAAGTAATTCAAATGTGGACTTACTTGTAGCGGAAGTCTTAGAGGCTTCTCGGTCGGTCTGGACGGCGGAAGGATCGCATCCAGTGCCTCAATTAAAGTTGTACCTTCACCTTTGCCCTCCTTGCGTTCTACAGACCATCCCTTGAACCAAGGCATCTTGTCGGATTGCTCCAACATGTTGTCGCCGTGCCATCCGGAAATCGGAACGAAAGCTACAGCGGCTGGGTTGTAACCGATTTTTTTAATGTACGAAGATACTTCCTTCTTAATTTCTTCGAAACGCGTTTCTGAATAAGGCGGCTCGGTCGAGTCCATCTTGTTGACTCCTACTATGAGCTGCTTAACTCCTAAGGTGAAGGCTAGCAGAGCGTGTTCGCGAGTTTGGCCATTTTTCGAGATTCCCGCTTCGAATTCTCCAGTACCTAGATACAAAGTTATTTAACCTAATGAACTATTCTATTACCGAAGTAGTAAGTACCTGCAGCTACGATTAGTACAGCGCAATCGGCCTGTGAAGTACCAGTGATCATGTTCTTGATAAAATCTCTGTGTCCCGGTGCATCGATAATGGTGACGTAATACTTGGCCGTTTCGAATTTCCACAAAGCGATGTCAATGGTGATACCACGTTCCCGCTCTGCCTTAAGTTTGTCCAGGACCCAAGCGTACTTGAAGGAACCTTTGCCCATTTCTTGGGCCTCCTTTTCGAACTTTTCTATGGTACGTTTGTCGATGCCGCCGCATTTGTAGATCAAGTGACCGGTCGAAGTGGATTTGCCAGAATCGACGTGGCCAATAACGACGATGTTGATGTGAATCTTTTCTTTACCCATATTGAAGGAATGCTAAAAAGTCTTGAATCTAAAGAGAAAAGCTGCTCTAATTTTGTTCGAAAAATAAATATATTGAAGATAGCAAATGTTGGTGCAGTTAACGCCAATTTGTAAGATTTAAATTAATTCATTTATTTTATCATTTATTTCAGCGATTTAAATAGATACAAATATTTATTGACTACCTTACATTTGTGCAATATTCGTAGTACGTATTAGTTCACATAAATACACGTATAAAATGTAAGTATCTACAGTATGTCCCCCTAAATTGGAATCATATGGAAAACTTTTTTATTCATTTTAGGAAAAAAAGTTATTCTTCATAAAAAGTTCTGCATTATCTAAAACCTAGAATACAATCATCAAATATCAAATTTTGTCAGTGGTATACGAGGTTTGTCAAAAATGAGTTTTACTTAAGAGTAAAGTACCTTTATTCTTTATACGACTGATAAAATTTGATATCTGATGGTTGTATTTTAGGTTTTAGACCATGCTCGACTTTTTATAAAGAATAACTTTTTTCCCAATATTAATAATAAAAAAGATTTGCATATGCCGCCAATTTACGTAGACAGTGGCATAGGAAAGCTTTTTTATTATTAATTTTAGGAAAAAAAGTTGTTGCTTATAAAAAGTCGAGCATGGTCTAAAACCTAAAATACAACCATCAAATATCAAATTTTATCAGTCGTATGAAGAACAAAGGTATTTTGATATTTGATGAATGTATTCTAGGTTTTAGATAATGCAGAACTTTTTATGAAGAATAACTTTAATAACAAAAAAGTTTTCCATATGATTCCAACTTAGGGGGACATACTGTATATAAAAATAGGCAAAGACAAAATAGTACCATTTTCTCTTGTTTGTGAATCATTTTCTTTTTTTAATTTTTGTTTAGTAGCTCTTGACGAGCTTTAGTGTTATCAATTAAAAAAATTGGAAATAGTATTTTTTTCTCAACCTTTGATATATGAAATTCATTGATCCACAATAATTGTGATTGACTAATGAAATTGACCTCTAGCGAACATGAGCATTCTTTAATTTCGAACCGACATGGATAATATTACATGGACGGATAGAGGATCGTCAAAAATGAAAAAAAAATTACATCTCCCCCACTCCTCCAACTTTCCCCTTCTCTTCCTCCACCACGCCTAAATGATAAGGGATAGTAAAAAACTAATAGCGGGGTCGTAAGCACCGTCTGAAACAACGATTTTAAACGGATCAACTTCCCCGCCCCAGGGGAGGTCAATATACAGAACCGCTAGACTTAGGAAAATGAACTTCGGGTACGATGGATTTGACTTCAGGGCTAACAAAATTCCACCGCCTCTCACCCCTATCCTCACCCTACAAAGAAAAAAAAGTTAAAAAGTTTTTTTTTAAATTAGACTTAATAGTCGCACACCATTGGGTTCTGGAGATTTTAGATCCATTTGCCCTCCGTCCCTACTCCCTCCGCAAAAACAAAAAAGTTAAAAATTGATTTCATAATCAATATTTGGAACGCTATTATATTGCCTGTACGTTCTTTCGGAGGGACCCCTATGATCCCTCGAAGGACAAGTCACTTCGTCCCGTCCCCCCACCCCCCTAATTGTATAAGGGGGTGGTGAAACATTTTTTGGGTATTCTAAGATATTGGTTGTATAGATAAGTAAAAAATAAGAAAAATTCGAAGAGTACTTTTTCTGGGCTGTTGATGATTATTTTCGATAGATTTCATGACAGGCTGCAAGCTGAGGTAGGATATAGTAGAGCGATGTGGATTACCCACACCCAACCTCCTCCCTTTTTTAGAGCCCCCAAGAGTAACCTCGAAATAAAAATTTTAAATATTTGTGGGAGAGAAATATAAGACCAAAAGCAGAGTCGAATAAGATCCATTTTGGATTTCCTATTTATATATTCTCTTCTGGCCCGTCCCGTTGGACGCTTTCAGGCTAATATTTAAAGCAAATTTATAATTAACGAAAACGGAAACAATAAATGTCAAGAAGAAGAAGAAGAAGAAGAAGAAGAAGAAGAAGAAGAAGAAGAAGAAGAAGAAATAAAGGACAAAACCAAATAAATGTCAAAGGAAAATAATACTAATCTTATAAGGTGTCAGTTAATCCATTTCAAAAAAATATATTTTTTTACTCGTTTATAATTACCGTTTATTATTTAATAATAATAATAATAATAATAATAATAATAATAAATAATAATACTCTCCCTAATTCACCGGAATTCACCCCCTTACGAGTGAATTTCAACCCCTGAAGCCGACTGAGCGACTTGTATAGGGGAAGGGACGGCCATTATTATTTGCCGTGGTGCTACGGTGCAACTTAACGATGATTGATGGCGCCATTTGACTAACAGGTGAGGAAAATCCGGAAAAACCTCACCCATCATCAACGAAACGTAATGCATGGCGATTTATAATCTTACATGTCATATCAACATAAATTGAATTTCTGTTAATACGGAACACATCAAATCCTATAAAGAACAATGCAATTTAATTAAAATAACACATGGTCTGGTGTATAATTCGACCATAATCACATAACGCGCTCGCATTTATTTGCGAGCAATTTTGTGGTTGAGTGACACACAGACTTCGAATTCTACAGAAGACCATGTTAATTTATTTGCATGGTTCTCTATAGGATTTGATGAATGCCGTATTAGTAGAAATTTAATTTCTGTTGTTGTGATATCCAGATCATAAAAAGCGCCATTCGTTACCGTTTCGATGATAATGAGTGGGGTTTTTGTCACCTGTAAGTCAAATGGTACTATCCATCATCTTTAAATCGCCCCATAGCGCCACGGAAATAATAATAATAACCGTCCCTTCCCCGGACAAACTCAGTTTTTAGGGTTAAAATTCACTCGTAAGAAGGTGAATTAGGTGAAATGAGATGTGAATTAGATGTTGTAGTGGGGGTTATCAGCAGGGTTATTCTACTAAATTTATAGCCCGGCTACAAGTTGGATTTTGGCTTGAACTTTATATGTTCCTAACTTCAAAATCCAACTTGTAGCCGGGCTATAAACTTTTAGCCGGGCTATAAATTTAGTAGAATAACCCTGCAGATGCCGATTCAGTTCAGTTGGTTCAGTTACAAGTTTATCGATTTATCGTTTTTTTATGATAGCGTAAATATAAAAGTGATATTAGTTTGTTTAATTGTTTAGTTTTCAAATTTAGATTGATTTCTAGTTTCAAAAGTCAAATTTAAACTTGTCATTGTCATTTTATCACGTGATCAATAAAGTCTAGACAGTTTATTACATCTACATTTAAATCTAATCCTCTATCTTGTGATTCACAACATCTCAGATGTATCCGATGTGGATATGCAAACGCAGCAAATGCCTAATATAATATAAAATAAAGAAGAAGAAATGTCAAGAGGAAAATGATAATCAGAATCGGTTTAACAAAAAAGTGTGTCATATCAATAAATGAGGGTTTTTAAAATGAGAGTTACCTATTATTTTGAAAAAATTATTTTTTATTTAATTATAATGGTACTAAACTATATTGTATTTTATGTACATATAAAAGTTTATAGTCTTCAAATATACGTTAAACGAATGTATAAAAAAAAAAATGTTAGAAACATACAAATGCACATTTTCCTCAAATTTCAACTGGGGAACACAAGTAGTTAAAATCTTACAAATACTCTAGCAAATTGACACAAAATGTAAAATTTAGTGATGTAAAGATTTTAAACATGTTGAGAATACTTTAAATCCAACTGAAATTCCAAGTAAGTTTCCGGAATTATAGTTGTAACATCGAACAATGAACTACTATAAAAGTTAATTTTTTTTATAACTCCATTTTAAACTACCACTTATAAATTAATTTAGCAAAATTTTGCCGTTCAGATATCACTGGAGGGCGAGGTCGAAAAAATAACCTTAAAGTTGAAAAGTTTTATGTCCCCTGTGCAAAAAGTGCAATTTCGAATTTTGAAGATAACTCAAAAACGAATAAAGAGAAAAACACCAAATTTTAAACTTATGCTTTAATCCATCCTGCGGTGAGCTGATTAAATTTTGGGCATAGTCGAAGCATCTAGGGAATACTTTACAGGGTGTCGTACCTTAAGAAAATAAATAGTTTTTACCGTATTTTCTTCAGCAACCCATTTGAGGTATATTTATAAACTTATTTTATTTAATAAGAAAAAACTTTAATTCGTTAAACGTTAAACAGATGGGTGAAGGTCGACCTTACTTCGGATCTTAATAAGCCTTATTCGCCATAAATTAGATTTTTTTATTTTTTTTTTTTTTTTATTTTTTTTTTATTTATTTTTTTTTTTTTTTATTTTTTTTTTTTTTTTATTTTTTTTTTATTTTTTTTTTTTTTTAGAAAACCCGGGGTGAATAAAGGGGAATACTCTTAGTTGAGAGCCATACAAACATTTTGAAAACAAATCACTTTTCGACTTTTGGTTCCGATTTTACACCTACTTAAAGGTTACATTTTTTTGCATATCGTCGATACAAAAAAATGCTTGCAATATTATCTTAGGTTCAGATAAATCACTTTTCCCGAATTTCTTGGAAAAACAAAAATATCCGGTCACGTGGCCAAAATCCCTACGACAGAAAATGCTTACAGATTTTTTTAGTGTTATTGATGTCTGTAAGCAACAAACGAAAAAAACATGAAATACCTACACAAGCAACTTTTATTTGAATTTCCCAGATCACACGATCGCTCCTACCATTGGGACATAGTACATGTTGTTTACCCTCTCCCCTGTAGCTAACTACAAATAGCAAGCAAGCAAAAAATACCACGTGTAACGACTGTGACGTGCCAGTGCCACTTTTGGCAGTAAGGTGAGGGACAATTAGGTACCTATTTGGTACAAATAATTATAGGCTATATCTTCGCCAATTCATGCCCTTAATATACATACTATTAAACAGTACTAAGAAAAAAATTTGAACCCACTATCCTATAACCATACACCTAAGCCCGGTATAATAAATGTTGGCACAGCATTTATTTTGAAAGTAGGTACATTTAATTTTTATTTAAAATATGCGCGTCAACATTAGTGACTCAATGAAGTAATTATTATTCAAAATTAGTAAGATTACCAGAGCAATAGTGTACCTAAAAACATTTTGCACATATCAATTACATTGATAAAACACCCTGAATCATTTAAAAAAACATTTTCGTCGGTCTAGCGCTTTCAATCGATGCAATTTTAATTTAAATGACCTTGACATACCTAGACGAAGATTCTACAATACCACAATACAAACTTAAAATGCATTTTATGCACCAACACTAATGACAATTTTACATTGTTTCCCGTATGTATGCAAGTTAAATATGCACTTTTTAGAAGCCATTTTGTGATGCAACGTGATGAAATACACACAAATCGTCTTAAGACCTGGCCCTAACCATTATTGATTTTGTCTCCTAACAATTCATCACCTCAATAATTTACATAGCGAAAAGCTCATACCACACAAATCAATGTATTAGGGATACCCTAGGTTAGTTATTAATAAAAATCATCAGCTATCATTCATTATAACAATCAAAATATAAATGTTTTAGTGAAATATGGGAGGAAATCCCTTTTAGCGATCAATTCCATTTGAAGTATACAATTGAACCTGAATCAGAAATGCCTACCTAACGCAAATAATTTAAAAATAACCGCATTATATTCTGCAAACTATTTATAAAGTTGCTAATCTTGAAAATAAATTTAACTGCACAGTGAAAGAGATGAAAATGCCGGCAGCCGGCCGTCACGAAATAATCATAAACGTCAAAATTTCGCGAAAAACCTATTGTTCTACTACGCCAAACTCTTTTTTAGGACTACTTTAGCTATATTGTCGATGTTAACAATTTGATTTTCTTTAAAAATATTATTTAAAAGCAGAGATAGAAAATTTAGCTCCACTTACCTGCCCAAAAGCACAGCAAGAGATCGAGAAAATCGACGGGACCTCACAAGCGCGAGCTAAGCGGAAGTTGGAGGAGAGGTTTCCATGGAGGGGTGAATTATTGATTTATGAAGGTTCTCGGGAGACTTCAATTAATTTAATTGCGATTAAATAAATAAATAATTAATTTATCAGATAATTTAATTCGAAAATACGCGCAAGTTGTGGCCAATGTCCTATAATTATTGTCTGTCTATTTTTTCATGCCAGTAGAGATGAAAATAGGGGAGGGAAATTAAAATATCGACCAATAGGCATTCAGGAAAATTCACAAAGAAATGACGCACAGGGGTGATTTTAGTGCGGGAGAATCAAATCGAATATTTTGTTTTTTCTTTATCAATTTGCAAATACGATTTACCACCCTAATTTTCATCTAAATATAGGGAACGAGAAATCAATAAAAACCATCCAATATGTTTGTATTCTGGCTGATGATTTCGATGCAAGTAATAATATTAGATACCTATATTATAAGCTTCAAAGGAGTGATTGAATTGTTTTTATAAAATTAAATCAATTGATCCAACATTTTCAACATTCACTGATTTTCTAATAAAAAAGTAAAGAGGTAATTTTAAAATTTCAAATTATTTCGTAATTTTAAAGTTTAAACCAATGGGAAAAGGGAAAGTCTTGAAACTTATAAAAAGAAGAACAATTTGAATTTTGACAGTGACAGCAAGATACTAATGACAGTGACAGTTTTAATTTGATGACAACAAGTAAATATTTTACGTGGAATAATGTAATCCCTATTATTATCAACTTAATTCAAAATTTAGAGATTAATTAATTCCATCTTGTATAAAAAATGGAGTCACCACATTCCAACGACGCCAATAAAAAGGTAAATTTGGAAAATCTATCTAAAGAGGAGCTGATCAAAAAGTGTACCCAATTGTTACAACTCGCCCAGAAGGCGAAACAATCAAAAGTTGTGCTACAAGAAGAAAACAGTAAGCTAAAAGAGGAATTGAATATTAAAAAATCAGATAATTCAGATCTTGTTACTAAAGAATTAATAGAAAATTTAACCCTCCAAAAATTAAATTTATTTACAAGCAATCAAGAGTTGAAAAGTCAAAATGAAAGTTTTGTAGAAAAATATCAAACATTGCAGTCGGAAATAAAAGAATATCAAGAAAAACTAACAATATGTGACAATGAAAACACATCTTACAAAAGACAAATCATTCGTTTAACTGATGAAAATGAACAGCTAATAACTGATTTAGATACTTTAGAAAAACAACTTGTAGAATTAAAGTCAAAAAGCGTCAGTCAACATCAAAGAATACTAGAATTAGAACAATTAAAAAGTGAAGAAACCAAAAATGCCACAGTCGAGCTACAAAACATGCTAAGCATAAGTTTAGGAGAAGTAAAAAAACTACAAACTGAAAACAGTCAGTTAAAAGAAAAAATTAGTAACCTTGAATTAAATCTCAAAGAAAAGGATAAAAATATAATTGTTATCGGCAAGGAACTATTATCTGCCAAAAATGAGATAACCAAATATATAGATGAATCTGAAACTGATAAAATAGAAGCAAATTTAGAAGAAAAGGACAATAAAATCAGGGAGTTGGAAGAAAGTAGTGTGAAATTAAAACAAAAAATTAAATTCTATCATTCAAAAATAGTAAAATTTGCCACTATAGCGAAAGAATTGAGAACTAGCAAAAATGAAATTTTAGAACTTTTCAAATCCTACATAGAACAAGTAAAAGTTTGGAAAGACCAGTTAAACTTTGGTGAAAAAAACATAGTTAAATATCTAAATGGTATTGAACAAGAAAATAAATATTTGAAAGAGAAATTAGATCAACTAAATCAATTGGAAAAAGCATCAGATTTTGATAAAAATACATTTGAGAGTGAGATTAGGCAATATTTAGACAAATTAGAAGTACAAACCAAGGAAATAGTGGATTTAAAAGAAGATAGGAATAAAATAGTTAATGAATTAAAAGGCAAATATGAAGAAGAGCGATTACACTGGGAAAAAGAAGTGCTTGATTTCAAAGAAACCATTGAAAAACATGAAACTGAAATAAACACTCTAAAAGACCAATATGAGAGTGAAAAATTAGATTTGGAAAAACAATTGTTTGAATCTAATAAAAAATATGAAACAGAAAAATTACACTGGGAGAAAGAATTGCTTGATATCAAAGAACAATCTAAAAATGAAATTAAAGTGGTTAAAGATCAATATGAGAGTGAAAAATTAGATTTGGAGAAACAATTAGTTGAATCTAATGAAAAATATGAATCAGAAAAATTACACTGGGAGAAGGAATTGCTTGATTCCAAAGAAAACTGTGAAAATGAAATTAAAATGTTAAAAGATCAATATGATATTGAAAAGATGCATGGGGAAAAGGAATTGATAGAATCTAAAGAGAAGATTGAATGTTTATTGGAAGAAAATAAACTAAAAACAAATAATGTAGATAGTAACAAATTTTTAGATGAAAAATTAAAATTAGAGCATGAATTGGAAGAAATTCGTGCCATTTATGAAGATCAGAAGTGTTCTTTACATGAACTTACTAATTCTAAACAGGATATAGAACTGAGACTAACAGAGACTGAGCAAATAGTAAAAGAACGAGAAAACGAGATAATACTCCTAAGAAAGGAGAATGTGACCATATCGAAAATAAAAGAAGACCTAATTCATGAACTAGAAAAATTAAACTGCGATAGAAGGAGTTTAAAAGAGAAATCAGAGAACCTTAAAAAAGATTTTGAAAAAAGAATATCAGACCTTCACAATGAGGTCAGATCTCTGCAAGAGTTAGAATCAAGTTTTTCAGATGAAATCAAACACTTATCAGGTGAAAACAAATCTCTGACTTCCCAAAATGAGTTGCTACAAGATAGACTGCAAAAATTCGAATATTCTTTACAAAATAGAACCAACGTTTCATCACAAACAAATGAAGTTGCTTGCAATAATGAAGAATTTGAAGAACAAGTTTCAAATTTAAAGAGAGAAAATGCTGAATTGTTGTCAGAGATGAATGAAATGAATCAGGCCATTAAAGAAAGGGGAGAGAACATATCAAAGTTGGAAGCCCATTGTGAAGAGGTGATGAAAAAGTTGCAAATCTATGAGTCACAAGCTAATAAGAATATCGATAATTTGACAGAAAAGGAACGGATTATTGAAGATCTAACAAGAGAAATTAACGAATTGAAAAGTAGAGACACTATGAATTCGAATGTGAATTTGAGTCATACTGACGAAATAGATGCCTTAAAGGGTGAATTAGATATGCTGAAAGACAAATTGAATTCTAATTTAGAATGCAACTATACTGATGATGGAATGTCTACATCTACTATATCCAGGACTGAAGAAATGAATAGGTTGAAAGATTTGGAAGGATCTTGGGAAGAACGATATGGGAAATTAAGAAATTTAGCTGTTAAGTTAAAAAGTAAGTATAATTTTTGCTTGATAAATCACGTGTAGGTATAATTGGGGGCGGTTTCTCAATTGGTTCATTTGTGCAGTGAACACCCAGTTAAATTTCATAAAAACACGTTATTTTAAAATCACATAAATAACATAAATTCAATTTTAATAGTTTTATTAATTTCTTACATGTTAATTTATATATTTTTTATGCCACTGCAATCTGGGTGGTCGTATTTGTCGGTGCAATATGCTGATTGAACGTAAGAGGTTTCCACAAATGCCTGTGGTTAAGAAGAGAGGTCAACACCTATATTAAGACATGAGAGTTAACTTTGCTTGGTCAGGTCACTCTGACTGAGGGTCTTTGATTCAACGTTGCCAAATTTATTAGATTTCTATCTTTTTTGTAGATTTTTAGCTTTTTGCCTGGTTTTAGTAGACAATTTTTTTTGTAGATTTTAGTAGATTTCTATAAATTAATAAAAAAAATTCCAAGTATTCAACTAAAACTTCCTAATTAAATAATTGTGTTGCTAAAAACGTTAGATTATAACAATGAATGGGCGATTATCAAGGGTAATATACCAATACCTTGATAATGATCAGCTATTTTTGTTGCATCTAAATTTCGAGAATATTGTGATGTCAATTTGATAACACATAATTTTGACATTAATAATCTGATTAGAGCTTTAGCTCGAGCGCTTTAATCAATTGATTATTAATGTCAAATTTATGTAGAATCAAAATGCAAAATATGTGACAAATTAAGCAACAACATGTAAACTACACAAATAATTAAATGTTTATTTTACGTATGAAGTTTATTAATATTAAAATAACGTTACAAAAATAATAATTATTAAAAAAAAATGGAATAACACAGTCAAAGAAATAGACTGCATTCCTCAACGGTGTTCGATAATCTGCCCATCCAAATATTTGTCCCACTGACGTTGGGTTGTCTCTGCACTCACCGCACGACCCTTTTCTCGGCTGCTGTGTTTATGATGTTTTGGTTTCCCAGAAATCGTCTGGGGTTAAGGGACCATCCAAAAATAGATTACAAACAAAAATAGCAGAATATTAATCAAGGTCATGTTATATTTGGAACGACTATTTCACTCACATCCCCAACTAGCCATTCATAAAAGTGTATTTGTTGTGAAGTTCTCATCATCATCTATTGTATAGTCCAGGAGACAGTGACGATTTTCGGTATTTATTTTCCCAGTCAGCAAGCACGAATAGAGAATTGTAGGATTAGCAATTCTAAGCAAAAATTATATATATTTAGAGGGGGGATCCGATGGGCTGAGGCCGAAAATGCGTCAAAACATACGAGAACACGGCCCTTTTTTTCCATTGATAAAAATAGTTTTATTAATAAGAGATGTACTGAAGTTAAGTAAAAAAATAGTCTGATTAATCTGTATGGATAATATATTTGGCAAGTGCATAAAATACACTTTCAAACGAGTTATGTACACAATTATTTCTACGACCACAATTATTTAAAGAATGTTCCAGGTGTTTTGTGTATTAAAGTGTACGCATAGGACACATAAATAAAATCATATATCACAATGTTTCACCTAACCAGTTGGTTTATTTATAGAAATTAAACATAATAATTGAAGATATTACAGAAGAAAATAGGGAAATAAATTACATTTCCTTTTACACTTTTATATAATAATTGTTTTATTTAGAATTCACTTATTACAGACATTAATTATAATTATTGTTAGTTTCGTTATGTCAAATCATTTATACTAGAGGTGTGAGGAAAATACAGTGAACTGTGGAACGCCAATATCGTTGGATGCGCGTGGTAGAAATGGTCCTATAATACTGCTAAAAACACAGCTAAATTTTCATGGAAACACTGTAATAATAATAATAAACGTCTTTATTATACCAGCAAAACAACATTTACAAAGTATAAATGGCGTAGTATAGCCAAATGGCCATTCAACTTAACCATATCACAAATCCTAAAACTAACTTAAACCTAACCTACTCTACATTACGCTGAATGAATGAAATGAAATTTAAATTAAGAACAAGAATTAAATAAAACAAATAAAATAAATAAAATAGAATATGAATTAAATATTTTCATTTGCTTGGCTACCAAGAAAATATGATTTTAACATTATTTTAAATGAACTAGTACTCAAATATGATTTTAAGTGTGTATTTAGTGAATTGTATACTTTAGCGACATTATAGCTAAATGACCGTTGAAACATGGCAGTTCTATGTACTTTTGACATTTGCGATACTCCGACGCATATGCATTATTGATGTAATCTCATGATTTTATAGTAATAGTTTTTGCAATTTTAGTGTGATTTTTAGGTTATTATGGTTATTCATTTTATTTGGTTCTGATTTTTTGCGCTTTTAGAGTATTTGTCTTTTATATAGTTTTTAATTTAAATTTTAATATTGTGGTGTATTTATATTTGATTGCTGCTTTTCGACTAGTGCTTTATTCTTTTTGTGTTAAAATAAGCTTTATAAGCATTAAGTACTTGCTTCTAGTTGATATCTACCTAATCGTCATCGGGTGCTTGCAACAATGGGAAAAAGTGTATGGTTTTTTTGGTGTAAAGTTAGACGCCTTCATTTTTCAGGCAGTTATTTTTTACTTAAAAGGATAGCAATACGTCCTGGTTCGGGGTGTGACTTTTGGGTTTTAGCTATCTGAGCCAAATTGTCGGCTGTGTCCTCTTTTAGGGCACCTAGAACCGAAAACTATATAGGTATATAATATGTTTTTTTTAATTATTTTTTAATATGTATGCAGCTTGGATGAGGGCTTTAGGAAGAGATCCTAAGACTGAACACTGACTGCTATAAATGCGGTTTTTAGAGCACATTTCATAGTAAGTGATATCATTCTAGCAGCAATGAGGAAACGTTTAAAAAACATGCTGTACCAGCTATTACTTTAAGACCTCGTCTCTTTAAGTTATTATTACTTCATTCTAATGCATATATTAAAATGGTTTTTAACTTATGTCTTTATGATTAAAAGATGTAGGTATTTAGGTTATGTTATAATAGAAATATATGATACTTTGTATTGACTGACCTACTGGCCACTGGTCATTCCACTTTTACTCCCTTTTTTCATAAATTATCAAATTATTTAAAAACAAATACATACCTAGCTATTTTCTGTAAATTACATTAAAATTTTAGTATTAATACTTTACTAATAAAACTTCAGTTAATTTATCTTATATATATACACACAACGGAAGAGTTAATTGGATTTTCTCCTTTTTGAGTTTCAAAAATAGTAATTTAACATGATTTAAAAACAAATACATGAAATGGGCAAAATAGACCTGCAAAGGCACTTTGTAAACAATCTCACTTATATCGATGTGACGTAATGCGCGAATTCAATCTGGCTTACTTTTGTTAATAGATTGGCGTTCCATTTTAAATATACAGTTCACCGTGAATAGATTATTTAAATATAGTATTTTTAATACAAATCCCGATGCACGTCAGCAATGACGTCGGTCATTCGTCATAGTACTACCAACTAATTAAAATGCCCCTAACTAAGCTAATAATCCGAAAAAGTCACGTATAGTCACGAGCATTCATGAACGTAGTCATATTACTAAAAAGTCGAAAACTGTTATGGTGATTATTTTGATAATTTTAGAATTATTTAAATTATTTAGTTTATACATGTCTAATTCTTGATAATATAAAATTTATAAAAACATTATTAAATGTTTAGTACTCAAAAAATAATACTTTACATTAAATAATTTCGACATTCTGTACGCCCATGAAGCTCGTATTTATAGAGAAGAAATGTCATTACAGCAATTGGTACACCTTGTTGCGGTGTTGCAACCCCTTTTTAAAAAATTTCACTGATTTAGTTAGGTTATGTTTATGTTGAGTTAATTATTGATTGTGCATTTTGTTTTCTGTAATTTAAAATCCTTTTGCCTGTATTTTTAAACTTTACTAGTTATACTTATAAAAAACTGTTGTTCAAAACAACCATAGTGTGAATAAGCTGATTATTTGTCGTTTAATTTATATATACAAAATGCCTAAAAAACTAAAGTCCTTGTAAGGAGTTGATAGCTTCTTTAATCCATTATTTTGAACGAGAGCGTGATAATGATGGACCACGTTTACCTTTAACTGCTGTAAGAGAGGTAAGTTACAAGTTATAAAATTTAATAGAAATATGAAATTGTTTTCTTGTCTTTTTTAGTGTGTTGCAGCATCTCTAAATAAAAATATTTCTACTGCCAGTAGTATTTAGCAAGCAGTCAAGAATAATGAATGATTAAAATCGCTAATAAAAAAGCATTCATATAAACAAAGGATTACCTACTAATACAATAACACTGGATACAAGTCGAATCCGAAGTGGTATTTATAATATGTATGAAACAAGTAAGTATAAAGACAAATATATTTATTCAATCATAATTTATTTATATTACCTATAAAAGTTTTAATTTGTATACCTATCTACAGTAATATAAATACATACTTATTTGCAGGTCAACATATAACTTTGGAACCTTTAAGAGAAAAGTTGATTGAGAGACAAATGTTTAATGGCTATATTGCATCATTGTCAACTGTATTAAAAGAATGAACGAAAAAAGATAACCAAGACGTGAACTGTAAATAGGTCAGTTTTTAAGAAATTATAGAATTACCACAGAAGCAGTTCGTTGTCATTGATGAAACATGTATCCTTCAAAATGAAACATTAAACAGCTCCTGGCAAAATAATGACAAAGGGTGTTAGACCTACAAAAATCGATGGCAAGAGATAAAACACCAAATTTGAAGTAGATAAAGGTATCAGTAATTGTGTAAATCAAGTAAAAAAAAATATTAATATTGAAATGACACATCATATTGAACATTTAATGGTAGATACGCTATTCTAGCAATCATATGAAGACAAATAAATTGGAAAAATTTGATTACAGTGTTCAATAAAAATCTACAAGTTTTACACATTTTCAAGATGTACAGTGAAACCCAAAAATGCCTTTTTTTTAGAAATAAACTTTAAAACAATATCAAAAAATTAAAAATGAAGTTACATTTGATATAACAGTGTACCTAGCATTTAATCATTGATATAATGTGTTGTTTCGATATTACAATTTAGAATATAGCGATATTGACACACGTTATACGAAATAGCAACTAGAAATAAATAAAACATTCTTTTTTCAGGTGCGAACCGCCAAAGAAATATATGGTAGATAATTACCTAAGCAGAACAATATAGACAAAGTATTACGTAATCTTCCCTGCCATTGTATTTTTAACCCCATTGAACTTATTTGTGACCTTTCTAAGCAATATCATAATAAACATATTGGCAGAGAGGGAGTTTTTAATAGATTGGAAATTATTTTTATTATAATTAACCCTAATAGCAATATCGATGACTGCGATTCAAATACTTGCGATCTGGATTAGGAGAAATAAAAGAATTTTAATAGGAATAATGAAGATTAGTAGATGAATAATTGTTCTTTTATGAGAAAATAGTGTATTTAAATAAAAATATTGTCTAATTTTTAAAACAATAAACAGTTTGATATATTTCTTATATATCTGTATTTTTATTTAATTTATTCCAAAATATAAAAAAAAGTATTTGACTGAGAAAAACATTTTTCAAATGTCTTTTGAAACTCGTAAAATGAAGAATCTTGATGTTTGAGTGATGAATCTATTGTTCATACATGTTTCGATAACTTTAGAGTTGAAAAGAAGTAGAGATATCAGTTTATTTTTGAAGCATTTCTGGCTATCTTGAATACTTGAGCTACAGAACCGTTACTGAAAGTGAGATTTACTAAAGCACCTACTCAAATATTTTAACAATTTCCTTCTGGTATTCAAATATTTTAGCAATTTTAAACTTTAATTCTTTAAGTATAGGTATCTACTGACATTATGAATCCTCCACATGCCTTTGTAGTTTTCATTTTTTCAATGACCTCTTTAATTTTATGGGGTGTTGTGGTTTATAACTTAAATGTTGTTCTGTTAAATAACTTTCTTGGTGAAATTAAATTAGTTTTAGATATTTTCTGTGCTAATTCTAGACCAATTTTGATCCATCTGCAATATCCTACCTTACAGTTTTATTTTCCATGACTTGCATAATATGTTTAAAGCTTTTTTGTTCAGATGTTTATTATTCATAAAGGAATTCAATATTTTCCATTAGTTATATACATTTAAAACTGAAACATAACAAATACATAACCTTACAATTTAAAAAAATTCTAAATTCCTTAACTATTCTAACGATTAGGCAACACTGCAAGGCCGTGACATCATAAATGATCTCTGACGTGCATCGGGATTTGTATTAAAAATACTATATACACGGACCGGGAAAACAAGTACGAAAAAATTCACTGGCTCCTGGACTAGTACTGTATCGAAGGAATTTTTATGAATGAAACAATATACGACCCTCCACAATTGCGGTTTACTCTACTTCCGCTGTTGTCAGACATAATTTTTTTTTTTTTGGGGTTTAGCATTCCTCTTTTTTTCCAACACATGCTAATCAAAACAAACTGTATCTGAGAACACTACATGCTGTAGCAAAGAATACCTACCCAAGAAGCGACACTAAATGGGCGATTCGTGGACAAAAAATTGCCAAGTTTTCTCAGTGTTTTAGAGGTAGTTTAACGTCAAATATAGTTGTCAGTTCATGTAGTGTATGACGTTTGGTATATTATTCTTAGCGTTTTCAGAAAATGTCAGTAGGTTTATTTAAAAGTAGTAATTATATATTAGATAGTTTAAAGGTTTTTATTACAATGAAAAAAATACATTGCGTTGTTCGTGGTTGTGTTACAACTTCAGAACAAGGGCTAAGAATGTTTAAATTCCCAGGTGATGCCATAAGGTATGTACTGAAATGTTACTGTTCAAATTTATTTAGAAAAATTAAGTATTAATAAATATAATTTTGTAGAGCTCAACTCTGGTTAAAAGCTTGTAATCGTTAAGATTTAAATTTCACAGTTCCTAGTAGCTTATCTTCATATAGAATATGTGAACAACATTTTGAAGAAAAATATTTTTCAAGCAGTACATCTTATAGAAGACGATTATTTTACAATGCTGTACCCACAGTATTCTCCAAATGCAAACGAAGCTATGATATTCTCACAATTGATCCTCCAAAAAAGGTAGTAATTGTTTCTGGTAAGTGTTTCAAACTAATATACATATAAAAATGTTAGTTTAACGGGGGTGGCGTTTGTTCAGTGATTTTAACCAGTGTTTAACATGAAGAAATAAATTATGGTATTTGAGTACAATTAAATATTACAAATTAAAAAAAAAAAACATTTAGCTAATACTATAGTCTTCGGTATACGGGGAGCCGAAGCAAAACGATTGCTTAGATTGGCGACATTTTGACAGGGTCGTATCCAGAATCAATTAATATAGCAAGAATTTTCCGTCATTTTAACTTTAGTATGTGTTTAATTCTCATGAACCAAACAACAAAAATTGATTGGAATTATACGTTTCTCAGTGTATTAAGTTCCCATTTACGTCAAGGTCGCTGCTACTTTGGTACATAGAAAAACTCATTCAGTTTCGCTTCTTGGGTATGTATTCTTTGGCTGTAGTGTTTTCACTCAATCACGATTGAATTTAAAAAATTTAATGCATTACCAGAGTAACATATCAATGATTTAAGTGAAACGTCAAAAAGGTAACGAAAAATGGACAAAAATAATTTTAGTTTTTGAAATATATATTTTAAATATAGAATCGACTGCATCTTACGGAATCAAAGCAAATGTTTATAAAAAGTATATTTATATTGTTAAATATTGTTTCCAAATACCACGCGAGGTGAGAATTTTTTTTAAACATTTTGTTGTTTTCTAACAAATCATGCCAATTTCACTCAATAAATTCCTCCCTTCATCAGGCGCGAATGCTTATGAAACGTGGTTAGTTGCTATGGGTCTGGCTGACCCATGAGTACTAATAAAAGCCCAATTTTTTAAATTCTTTTCAAAAAAATTTTTACATCTTATTCTTTTGTCAATTTAACTCTTGTGTAATGATTAAATAATAAATTTGATTTTTATAAAATAGGTATCAGATAAAAAACTTCAAGATAATGCATGCAATAATTTGTATTTAAAATAAAACAGTTCAGTTTTAACGGCTGTTTCTTCAACATCGTTTTCTTCTGGGCATGTTTGACAAACAGCTTTTACACGTTGATTCAAACATAAATATGCTCGCGATTATTCGTGTGGTGACCATCAGTCATAAACTAGGGGCATCTGAACTATTGACCTAAAATTCAGGCAAACTGTTCTTAGAATACACCTCTGAGATGCCAGAATTACAAAAAAATTATAGTTACCTAAAAAAAATCAAAAATTATACACCATGGGGCAGACCCATACGCGAGTAACGAGGAAGGATTTTGTTTCATGAAATTTAGATTCATAATATTCAAAGAAACAACAAAATGTTTTCAAAAACTTCCACCTCTTGTGGTATTACCCTTGAAAATCCGGCAGTTGGGAGTTGACTAAGTAATCGAGAAGATGGAAGACAAACATGGGGAAATTAGCGAAAAGTAAGATATAAGTAGATAATAACAAAACATCACAAACAGGAAAGCAACTAAACTAACAGTGACCTTATCTGTTATTACAATAAATGTTCAAAATGTTCCCCGTTGACCTCCTGGCAAAAATAAAGTCACTGTTTAGTTGCTTTCCTGTTTGTGATGTTATTTTTAAACATTAATAAATCAACACGTAATGAAGCAAATTTCAAAAAATTTTGCATGGTTGAATAGAGAATAAAACCCCATTTGAAATGAGCTATCACTCACCACCCCATGCCATTTAAATTTTTCGAAAGGGTTCCTCCCCTCCAGTAAGGGATGAAATTAAGGGTAAACTATTCATACAAAAATGCACATTGTAGAAATCAAAAATCGACGTGTCTCGGCGATTTTCCTAACAAGACTCCAGTAACGAGTTAGATAGGGGGGGGGTAAGACTTATGGTGCTCACTATATAACTATATACATTGAATCTTTCCCTTCTAGTACACGAGCGCCATCTTAATTTTATACATTTTGGGGGACACTTTTTGAGATAAACAACTGTATGAGATTGTCCTCCTTTCCTCTACACTCCATATACTAGATGTAGATTTATATATCATAGGGCATATGTTAACAGAGTACTATTTTTAAAGGTAAAGTGCGTGAGCTGACCCAAGCTCTGAATCAGCAACAGTCCGAAAATGAAGAAATCCAAACCAAATTATCATCTAGCGTAAAAACGATTCAGAACTTACAATCCCAATATGACAAACTCGAAGATGATTTGGAAAAATCTAAAAAACAATGCGCCAACCTGCAAATCCAGCTGAGTGGCGCTGCAAGCGACATCTCCAGGGACAAGCAGTATCTGGCCAATTCCGAAGAGATCATCGCCGAGCTGAAAAACGAATTAGAGAAAAGGAGAAAAGAAAAAGAGGCCACGGAGAATTGGAAGAAGCAAGTCGGCGCCAAGATACAGACTCTAAGAAAAGAACTGGAAGCCAACAACGTTTTGAAAAAAGATTTCGAAGCTCAAATAGCTACTTTGACCAGCAATCTGGAATCCAAAGAGCTCGCTTTGAAATCAGAAATCGAGAATCACAAGCACACCAAGAGTTTACTAGATCAATCCAATAACGAGCGTAAAAAGAACTCCGTCCTGAGTTTAGAAATGCAAGATTACGAAAGAGGCGCCATAGAATCATCTAAGAAGCTTGAAAAGCAACAAGAGGAGATTGCTAAATTGAAAAACCAAGTGGACAGTCAAAAGAGCACCATAAACGCCCTAAGAGAACAGAATAAGTTACTGGAAGAAAGGATACTATCGGAAGAAGACAATTTGAACACTCTAACAGCAGAAATATCGACCTATAAGAAACAAATATCCAATTTAGACAACGAAATATCGCAGAAAATCGATAAAATCCACTCGTTAACCCAACAACTTGAAACATCTCGTTCGGAGGCCGAAGAACTCTCCACTGAACTCAGCAAACTTATTTCCGAGCACCAGAAAGCCAATAATATCCTCAAATCCGAGCGGGATCATCTTTCGGCGGACAATCTGAGGCTGCAACAGAGCCTCAGAGAGGCCCAGGATAGTTTGAGACTGAACAAGGACGAGCTCAGAGTGATCCAGAACGAGTATGACGGGTATAAGGTCAGGGCGCAGAGCGTTCTGAGGCAAAACCAAAACAGAGACGTGGGTGTGGAGGAAAAGCTCTCTGAGGAGGTAGCGTCGTTAGTGGCGCAGAATTTGAAACTCACCGATCAGATTCATGAAGCTAAGTAAGTGTAGTTACAGTAATATCATGCTTGTCATTCACATCTAACTTTCAGGAAAACCATTGAATCTCTGGAAAATACCAACACCAAACTATCGACCGATATTAAACAGTATGAGCAAAAAGTTCGAGAGCTCGAAGAGGACGGCGAAGAGATCAAAATTCAGTTTGCCGATTTGTCTGCCAAACATGAAAAAACTGTTACAGAAAACGCCGAAACTTTGCGAAATCTCAAGGTAAATACATTTTCGTAGACATTAAGTGAACATTTCAATGAAGTTGGGAATTTTAGGTTCACGCCGATACCCTTTCTCAGTGCTACAGACAACAATTGGCCGACCAAGAAACCCGCCATAATAGAGAGATCGTAGAATTACAGAGCCGTTTAGAGAAGGCTCCGACCCCTACCGAAACCTCCCTTATACTTCCAACGATGCCTAGAGGTGAAGGGGAGGGTTCAGAAAGCATAGGAAGCAACAATTCTTCAAGCGTGCACCCAGTACCACTCGAAAGGCTGCTGGGAACCGATTCTGAACAGGAAATTGAAAGGTACTGTTAAAATTTTCATTTACATGAATTGTCAATAATTATGACATGTGTCAATTATTTTAGGATAAGGAAGAAACTTCAAGACAACGAATCGAAGGTGACCCATCTGACGTCGCTGCTCTCGGACACTGAACAGGACTTGGTGAAACACGTCCAGATGAATAAGCTACTCAAAGAAGAAATCAGGAGGCAGCAGAGGTCCGAAGAGAGGGAGAAACACGCCGAAAATTTGGAGTATCTCAAAAACGTAGTTTTTAAGGTGATTGAAATTTCTTCTACTTTAGTTTGGCAGTAGATATATACAGAGTCTACAACAATAACACTTTTCTTCCAGTTCGTCACATTGAACAGCGGCGATGAGAGAAGCAGACTGGTACCGGTGCTAAATACGATACTCAAGTTAAGTCCTGAAGAAACGAAGCATTTGAATTCTGTGGCTACAGGCGGCCCAAACAGCTTAAAAGGATGGAGCAGTTACTTACCAGCGTGGTCTTCGCCCAATAAACCACAATGAAAAAACTTCAGTCAGTTCCTAATTATAGGAATTTAGAAGAATATTGTGCTAACGAGGCACGGTTTCTACTTAAAATCATAATCTGGAAGGTATTTACAGGACATTGCAGAGTGTGTCGACAAGCAATGGATAATTGACAGCTTCTGATATATGACAAATGTCATTTTTTATTAAAGTGCTAATTTTAAACTAAAATAATTCCGTTAAAACAGTTTTTTGTCATCTATATACTTCACGTTATTTTTTTCAATACATATGGTCGTTTCTCAGTATATTTAAATAAAAATATGAATTACAGTTGACATAAACCAAATGTCAAATACAAAATGTTTAACTGTACAAGAGTGCTTATTTTCGGTTATTTGTATTTAATAACTAAACAATAATGTATATTATGTAATTATATTAAATTATTTAAAATTTAAGTTATCGATTTTTATGGTTGAATGTTGTCTCTTAAAATTTTATAAGTAAAAACTATATTGAACTTAGCACAATAAAATTTTAAGAAATTCACTGCATTTTCTTCTTGTTTCCTTACTCACCCACATTAGCGTCTACAGTTTTTTATATAGAATTAATATGTACTGATTTTCACTTGATGGATGGTTAATAGAAATGATTTAAGAATTGTAATAGATCATCCTGTATACGATGTCTTATAGCGGTATCCAGGGAAATAGATTAGATGGACGTGTGATGAGAATTGTCATTGTATTAAACTTGATCTAATAAAAATATTTATTCTGAGTATTATTTAGAAGATTTCTAAACAATTCCTTACAATATGGCGCAGTCAGAGCAAAACGAACCAATTATCCAGATCAACTATGAAAAAGGAGATGAAGGTACCCAAGACAACATTATTTTTGGAAAAAATGAGTTGGATCAGCTAATGACAAAATGGATGACGTTTGCCACTTCAACTAAAGCAGATCCCATAAAAATTTCTCAATACGACGGTCAAGGTGAGAATCCTTCTTCTTGGCTCAGTTCGTATGAATATATCTGTTCATATAATAAATGGATTACTGATAATGAGAAAATTTTTAATTTGAGAAATCAGTTAAAAGGCATTGCATTAAAATGGTACGAAGATAAAATCCAAGATAGTATACTAAATCAATATACATGGGAAAATTGGAAACTTAGTTTTATCAAGATATTTGATGAAAATGTTGTTTTAAAATGGGAGAAAGCTTTGAATTATAAATATTATAATAGTAATATCCTGGAATACTTTTACGAAAAACAGAAATTAATTAAATGGGCAGATAATAACATTTCTGAACTTTCATTAGTGGCAATGATAATTCTGGGTCTGCCAGTTAATGTTCAGAAACAGTTAAGAGGAAAAATCATCAACTCCAAAGAAGAACTTCTTCAGCTGCTAAAATCCTTAATGATTGGTGAATATCCTGATAAACAGTGGCCAAGAAGAGATTTTCAAATGCAAGGTCAGCCAATAAGTACCAATAAAAAAGACATTAAATGTGAAACTAAAAATGTGTTTAATTCTAGTACTGTTGAATTTGAAGATCAAATAAATAATATTGAGATGTATTCTAGTTATTCACTAACAAGTGGAGATAATTTTGAATATTTATTTTTAAATGGCCAAAAAGTGAAAGTACTGTTTGATACTGGATCAGATATTAATCTGATAGATGAGGAATTAGTTAATAAAAACAAATTTCCTATTCATGAAGTAAATATTTGCATAAGGAGCTTAGCTGGAATAACCAAATGTTTTTTTAGTGCTGAAGTAACTATTGAAATCAATAAACTGCCCACAACTTTTATGGCCGCAGTAGTGAAAGATTTGAATTTTGACATACTTCTAGGACGCCATTTACTAAATAAATTGAAAATATATAAACTGAATTTGAACTTAGAAAAAGAAATTGAATTTACAGAAGCTAATATATCCAAAAGATTTCCGAATTTGCTAAAATATAATGATGCGAAACCATCAATCTTTGAGATAGATTTTAATTTAAAAGAAAATGCAAAAATTATTAAGCTGAAACCTTATCGATATTCAGAAAACAAAAGAACATGGATAAAAAATAAGGTTAATGAGTTGCTTAAAAACAAAATAATTACAAAGTCAATATCTCCTTTTGCTTCTCCATGTGTTTTGAACACAAAATCTAATGGGGATTTTCGCCTGTGTATTGATTATAGGAAAATTAATGAGGAAACTGAATTAGATCCATTCCCATTTCCAATCGGTGATGAAATCATTCAAAAATTCGGTGGATGTAAATTTTTCTCAAAATTTGATCTGAAGGATGGTTTTTGGAATATAAGTATATCTAAATTAACGCAGAAGTATACGGCGTTTGTAACAGAAGATGGGCATTATGAATTCACAAGGCTTCCTTTTGGATGGAAAAACTCAAGTGCACATTTTCAAAGAATAATGCAGGAAGCTTTAGGTGAACTACTCGATAAGAATGTAGTAGTCTTCATCGATGACATAATGTGTGGAGGTTTCACTTATGACGAGTGTGCTAAGCTTTCGACAGAAGTTATGGAAAAACGTAATAGATACAACTTTAAAATAAATCTAACGAAATGTAAATTTTGTGTTCCCAAAATTGTGTTTCTTGGTAGGGAAATTGATGGTGATATCAAGAAGATGAAAAATGAATCTATTGAAAAGGTAAAAAATATGAAAAAACCCTATGATTTAAAATCTTTGCAGTGTTTTATTGGATTAACAAACCATTTTAGGCATTTTATAAAAGACTATGCGAAAATTGTACGACCACTTGACAGATTAAAATGTAAAAATACGAAATTTATTTGGACTGATGAATGTGAAAAATCTTTTATAACATTGATAGAATTGATAACATCAGAACCAATTCTAAGAATACCAGATCCTAGGTTAAAATTTGAGCTTAGTACTGATAGTTCTTATTTTGGTTGTGGGGCTATTCTATACCAAAGAGATGAGGAACAGATAAAAAATAAACAACTTAGAGTAATTTCCTACTATTCCTACACCTTTAATAAACATGAACAAAATTATTCTGTTACAGAAAAAGAATGTCTTGCGGTTGTAAAAGCAGTAAAACATTTTAGAACTTTGTTGGAATCAAGAAAATTTGTAGTACATACTGATCATCGAGCATTAAAATATATTTTGTCAACAGGTGCTTTAAGAGATAGGTTAGCCCGATGGCAAATATTTTTAAGCAGTTTCGATATGATAGTGAACCACAAACCCTGCAAAGAACTAGAAGACAGTGATGCAATTTCCAGATTGTGCGTGGATTTTCCTGAAAAGGTGAAGGAAACATTTTGGTGTAATTTGAATATACACGATTTGGAAAAACAAGAGGATGGAAGGTTTTTTGTAAAGAATGCAGATATAAAGACAGACATTTTACAATCTTACCACGATGATCCTGATTCTGGAGGCCATGATGGATATTACAAAACATACTATAAGATAAGTAAGCGGTTTGTTTGGAAAGGATTAAGTAAGGATATTAAATACTACATAAAAACTTGTGAAATATGTCAAAAAGTAAAATTTAAATATTATCCCAAACCAAATTATACACATCTAACATCCTGTTCGCAGAATCCCTATGAAAAGGTTCATATTGACTTTGCGGAGATAGAAAAAAAATCAGATTTAAACAGAACTACAAAATCATTTATTATTCTGATAGATGAAGCCACTAGACATGTAAGTGCCAAGGCAATAAAAGAAAGTGGTGATGCTTTGAAAAGCTATTTTAGTAAACTTTCTTTCCTAAATGATATGAAAACAGTCGTCACAGACTGTGCACCTGCTCTAACATCTGGAACATTTAAAGAATGGGCTGTATTGAAGGGGATAGAACTAGTCCATACTTCTCCTTACCATCCGGCTGGAAACGGATTAGCGGAACGAACTGTTAGAGAAATAAAAACATACATGCATTGTTATAAGGATTTTAGGGGTGGTTGGAAAAAATGCCTTGAAGCCGCCGTGCGACACCACAATTATTCCCATAATGAATTCCTGGGATGTTCACCTAATTACAAATTGTTTGGAAAGAGTACAATCCTAAATGCTGATAAAAAATTTAATATAAATGGACCCCTAAAAGAATTTCCTAGATCTTTAGAAGAACAATTAAAATATAAAAAAAACATTCAGAAACAAGCAAATAAAAATAAGAAAATCCTTCCCCCGAACGTGAAAGTGAATGATTTTATTTTAGTAAGAAGTCAAAAAATAGGGAAAAATTTTGTCGTAAAGGGACCCTTTAAAGTCATAGGTACAAAGTACATGGAAGGAGTTTTAACTTATGTCCACTACGTAAATGACCAAAAGGAAGAAGTTGCCCATGCATCAAACCTAAGAGTATATCATCACAGGAGTGATGAATTTTTGAAGGAGGGGGCGTGTTGTAATAGATCATCCTGTATACGATGTCTTATAGCGGTATCCAGGGAAATAGATTAGATGGACGTGTGATGAGAATTGTCATTGTATTAAACTTGATCTAATAAAAATATTTATTCTGAGTATTATTTAGAAGATTTCTAAACAATTCCTTACAAGAATAGTCTTAAGAATAATAATAAATTTATTTTTTTAATAATGTAAATATAACTATGACTAAATATCTCCAAAAAGAAGCAATGTAGATAGGTCCAAATCCAATAAAATTTTGTCTATTTCTGAACTGCGCCGCGATTTCACCTGGAAATAAAATATATTTATCATTAAACTACATCAGAATATTTTTTGAGTTATTCCAAAAAAAAAACACTTTGATTTTCTCCTTATTCATTTTTTTTATTACTTTCTCACATTCTAGAATATTTAAGGGAAATAAATTTATGAGAGAGATAATCAATTAATGATCCAAGAACAAAAGTATGCAATGTAAAAATATGAAAATGAGCACACCTTTTTCCCTACAACACTATGGAACCATTCTCACAACCTCAGTGAATTAGTTTCATAGGCGTAATTAGGTATTTTAATTGAGGCAAATACAGTATTTTGCACAATTGAACACTAAATATAACAAGATTTTTCATTAAGATCTTTTTACCTCCGAATAAAGTTACACTCAGAGTTACTCAACAGATTAGTGAACTATAGTCTAATCAGCAAATAGTTACTTTCAACTTCACTCAGAGGTAGAAAAACTGGTCCTTAATAAATATAACTTACTTTCTTTGCATCCTGTTGAAAATCTTTTAAAAAACAAATCCCTTCTTCATTAAATTTCAATCCATAGTGTTTACAATCGGATTCCAATTCATCCTCTGAATTGTACAAGAGTAACTTAGTTAAAATAATCTTTGGATATGACAAATTTTTGCTGTTATAAGCTACATCCATAGTTTTTAAACACAATCTAAAATATACAGATATTTGCTGTTTTTATATGTTAAAGTGGACATAAAAGGTGTAAGGGTCACCAAAAAAGTAAAATGCAAGGACTATTTTTTATTTTGTCAGGTTTTTTAGGCTCCTTACTTTACCTTCTAAGTTTTGGCATATGAAGATACATTATCATTTGTATTGTTAGAGGCATTGTTTGCAAAAGTTTGCATACTTTAAAATAATTACCAGCCACATAACTTAAACTCATTTTAAGGCCAGTTACTAGTAAATCAGTTCTAAAAAAAAAAAAACTATTTTATTATAAATATTTTTATTAATTTAAAAAAATATACCGCCAATGCTTAGGTATGCTCAGAGTCCTATTTATTGCATCAACATCTCCTATGTTGAATATTAGATATAGTGTTTCAAAATAAGGTCTATTTTCTTCCAAAAAATCACTGGAAAAGCCTGAATTTGACTTTGTAGTGATTTCTAAATGATCATAATAATCGTACATGCAGAGTAATCGTTTCAAACACTCTTGCAGATGGATATTGTTGATGTGTGGATCAAATTCGTTTATGTGTTCCTCACAGGACCTAAACAATAATCGTTTTTAAACAAAAACTAACCTCTATATCTACTAAAACGTACCTGTAAGCTGCATAAGCATGAAATCTTATTATAGGCTGTAGAATAACGATCTGGTGTGCCCTAGAAATATTTTGGATAACCATATCCTGCCTTACAGATCTGAGTCTATCCATGATAAAGTTATATTTCAATAACCAGTCAGATTCATTATTTATAATACTAAAAACTTTAATAGGAATTTTTCCAATTATGTAAAAATTTAACACAAAAACTTACTCGTCTAATAAATAATTCACCGTTTCTAGCAAAATCGATACAGGTCGTAAAATCTCTGGATCAGTGAGGTTTTTTCCAGCTGCTGACCTGGAAAAGCTTTTAACTACTCGATTAAGATCTGCTTTTGGTAATTCATCTCTTTCTGTGCCAGGTACTACTTCAAAAATGTGAAGCAATCGTTGATTTTCTCTCCTAAAATTTAATAATAATTTCATTATTTTAGAAGAATTAAAATTTCGAATTTATTACATTTTGGTTTCCTTAATAGGGCACATGTGTGGGCAAGTTCCGACAATATAATTTGAAAGATTCAACATTTTCGTTTAAAGTGCCATATAAAATAACAGTATTTAATTTTATGAGAGAGTTATTAGTAACAAACTAATATATTTGTTTTGTTCAAAAGTTTTGTTTACTTTATCTCAGAACACCATATTTTTATAGGTTATGTATAGTGTGGAGTGAGAAGGGCGAGAAGGGAGGGAAGAGCATTATAAACTATACAGATGCGAGCGCAACGTTGCCAAATTGTAAGGTAACGTTAGCTCATTCCTGCTCAAAAATTGTTTTTTTTAAACCCTCTCATATTCTAAGCAGGACAGGGATTATTATGTGCGAACTCAACACGATACGTGTTGAATAGAGAGAGACAGTACATAAGAATCACATTGTATCGAACGAAGATAGAAGCTTCTCAACACGTGCCGAATTGAAAGATGATAATCCTACTGCAGATGTAGATATCTTTAACCAACCCAACATTTATCTTGAATACCTATACCTGGTTTTCCATGTTCTCACTCCGCAGTTGTTAAAATATGGTCTGTCTACCAACGACGAACAACTAACTATATACTATTACTATATAGACTAATTTTGTTTACAAAAATCGAATTACAAACATTCTCGGTGTTAGGGCCGATTCCATCGTTGTGTTAAACGAAGTTACCTACTTAAAATGATATGAGTTTTTAATTATGCCGACTGCCGACTATTTAAATAAATTATAAAAATTGAATATTCGACTAATAAAAAATTAAACAATTTAAAACTAAAATTTTTACAATGGAATTTTTCTGATATCTATTGTAAAAACAATCATCACAATTTACCAGTCTTCTGTCTCACTTTTTATTTTCAGTTAAAGTGTATGCTAGTAATTTTGGTACACAAGTCGTTCCACGGAGATCTCTTGTCAGGGGTTACAAATCGCAGTTGCGCACAAACGTTTCTGATTATTTATCAGTGAAAAGTCGTGTACTTGTCGGCAAGAGGCTCCGCGAGAATAAAAATGTTTCATTTCTCGCTTATCGTCACTCATTAGCTTCCAAACTTCGAACAGTCAACATGTCTTGGGGTCTACTTACATCTCTTGTTAAACACTCGCTTCACTTTTAACCTTAGACACGACAAAATGCCTGGGAGCATATCGTTCTCGATAAAAAACACTATTTTCAACCTTCGATCAATTCACTTCGTTTACAAATATAACATAACTACTAGGTAAAATGAGATTTGATGAGGTTCCTCCATGGTTCCTCTAATTATAAATAAATGAATTATTCTAGTAATTTTTCGTCATTAGTCTTTACACAATGTTTCTCCGGTGTGGTCACTCATCTAAGTACTAAAATCGCAGTCCAGACACCCATTGAACATGCTAGGCCGAGCCATTATACTGCCCTTTAATAAAATATGATATTGTAGGTATATATTGAATTTTTTTCGATATCTATGTATATTTAGCATTTTGACTAAAATAAGTTTCGGTATTCACATTTTTTAAATTGGATATTGGATTTATGGTATTGTTGTGTTCAACCATTTTTATTCTCGGTTCTTTAAAATTTTAAAACTACGTATTTTCCTTTTTATGGATAATTCGTAATTAGTTTCTAATTTTTTTTAAATATTTGACAACATTGTTGCTCACATTTGTATGCAGATTAATAATTTAGGTTATATTCTTGTTCTTTCTTCAAATAATATTTGGTCTTTCATATTGTTGTATTTTGGTTACCTTCTTTTATTTTATGGTCTGTACCCAAAAAGTAAACAATTACTTCTTTTTTTATTTGGCCTTTATTATTATTGGTTTCTGGCAGTTTAATTGTAGTCTTTAACTTAGTAAGGTAAACAACCCCATTCTTCTATTTAAATGGCCTTTAATATTGCTATTAGTTATAACAAGCCCTATTGCCAGATTTTAAAAATGTATCGATGTCTTTAAATATGACAACATAGCTTTTTCTGTCACAAATGTCAACAGTGTTGAGTGTGCTTTGAAATGGAAATGAATTTACTGTAATTTGTTATATTTTTATTGTGAAAAGCAGTGTCAGCTGATTTTTCAACTAATGTGCGTTCCTCGACTACAATGAAATCAAAGGGCTACTTTATAATTACCAGGTAATCTCGCAAATATTGGCTTTTCCGGAAATTTGTGGTTTCGTGAAAATCCCGTTTTCCGAAGAAATCGATCCTTTCCTCCTTCCAGTATCATTAATATTACGTTTCAAAGAATAATTTCAATTATCACAAATTCGGGGTTTTTTGGAATGAAATTGTAACGTTCAAAACAAGTAGGATAGTTGAATCATTTGCGCAATTTTTTTAATTGTTTCTTTCCGTTTCAAATGTTTATAATCGCATTTATTTAGGTTAGACTTTTCAAATAATTTTTAATGTACTATAATCGCAATTTAGAAATATTTAAAGCCTGGGAACGTTGTCTTATTGCTATCAAATTTGTTTTTATTCTTAGTAAACCAATTGTTATTTATATATTTGCAAGTATTTAAATAATTTGCACTTTATAAATCACTGACACAATAATGGTATTAATATTACTAGTAATTTCCTTTAGTAGATTTTTAATGAGTTTTGAATAATTTAATTAATTGAAATCAGTATTTTAAGGATTATCTAATTTATTAAAATTTTTGTAAGTACCACAACCTATTATATTACTATATTAATAAATAAAAAAAGTACGGGTTGTGGATTGTTACAATTTGCTTGGTGTAATGCAAAAGATTAGCTCTATTTAAAAAATATATATGCAACAAACAGAATAAGGTAAACCATGGTCAAAGTCTGTGGGTGCTTAAATAAAATGAGAAATGAGTATTGCAATTTAAATTTCATAAAAAAATTAACATATGATTAGCATAAAAGGTGTTTACCTTTTACAATTGTTTAAGTGTGTAAATAAAACATTGCTAATATAACAAAACACAATCTTTTTGCCTATATTCATTAGGTCTTTATAATTAGTTTATTAAAATAGATGATTTCTTAAGAAATTCTCAATCTCATATACTTATACCAGGATTGTTCAATAATTTTATGAAAAATTACAAAGATGACACCATAATATTGCAATGAGTAATTAGGAATAGTAAAATGAAAAATTTTACTAATAATTTTATCCTAGTTTAATATTTTTTTATTTAAAATATGATTCAGAATTCAGTTGTTTTTTGGTTGGAACATAAGAGGGTTCAGCAAAATTTCTGGCAAAGATATAATGAGAGCTTTCTTTTTAAGGGTTTAATGTTCTTGGTGTATGAAACCCATAGATATAGAAACCCTATGACGTTAAAAAGAATGACTGCACTTGACAAGACAAGAGCTCTGTGTACTTGCTTTCTAGCAAGTGCTTGAGGGGAATCCCATTGCTTTAGTTTAAGGATTACTTGGAGAAGTGAACTCAATTTGTAAAAATGTATCAATCTACCTCTTATTAGATATCACCTATGGAGTACCACAAGGCTCTATTCTTGGACCACCACTTTATTTGGCACATTAACTCAGTTTCAAATCTAATTTTGCAAGGTTAGATTCAACTGTATGCTCATATTTGCCCAATATATTTCAATAGAAATCAAGAAATATTGAAAATACATATTGAGTCAGGCTTAAAGCAAATTAGAGAATGGCTGAAGGGTTATAAATTAACCTTAATTATTATCTCTCTCAATTTGAGCAATTATTTAAATAGTACAAAATTGGGTAACGTATTTTGGTCTGCACATATCATCGAGATAGAATGAAGGGGAGATGACATAAACTTTATTTTTTGATATGACAAATGGACACATTTAGTGAGGTCTGATTGATGGAAAAGTGTAATCAAAATGGCGACTTAGAGTCGTACTTTGATTTAAAATCAATAATTTTATATTTGAATATTGGCAGAATAAAAATGTTTTACTATTATTTACGTAAAGCTATTTAAAAAAGGCATTTATTCTCACCAAAACTGACTAGTTCAAGTTTGACACATGATGTAAAAATGTAATGCAAAGGTGTGGACACTTTTAGTATCGTCATAGTATCTCCTCTTTATTATATCTCAATGGCACATATTAAACTCTCTTGGGATCAACATATATGCAAAACAATTGCTTCAACAATGGTCGTTCTTGGAAGGGCTCCATCACAAATATAAATCGTTAAAAAGTCATATTTATATAAATAAAGTAATCAGCAATAAAAAAACTCTTTAACTAACCAAGACTTCATCCTGCTACAAATCTGTACCTCCTACTCAATAGAATCATGAACATGAGCGCCACGGCAAATAATAATAATAGCCGTCCCTTCCCCTACACAAGTCGTTCAGTCGACTTCAGGGGTTGAAATTCACTCGTAAGGGGGTGAATTAGGGAGAGTATTATTATTATTATTATTACATCAAAGCTCTTCATGTTTTTCAATCATGTCTATATCCACAATTGCAAATCCAATACAATTAACCCACTCCAACCTTCGATTCATTTCAATGAATGAGTCTTATGACTATAATGTGAGGAGCAGCAGTAACATCAAAGTGCAAAGTTAATGCTGGTGTCTCTTGTAAGCAATTATTTATTAGACATATTAAACTAACTCTCACTTGTCTGTTTATTTTAAAACGGTACTTTTAGTATAAATGTAATATTATTACCTTGTAGAATTTTTTGTCTTCCCTTACCTATACCCTCTTTCAGTTTGGTACATGCCTCTATTGTGTATAATGGAAAGAATATGTTTAACCATCTGCCAATTAGTATAAGAAGTGCTGACTGCTTAAAAATATTTAAAAAGCAAGTTAAGAAACTCTTGCTTGAAAAGGCCTACTATAAATTGGATGAATTTTTGTGTGATTGGTTGAATTGTCTTTCATTTTAATTTATGTGTATTATATTTATTTTCTGATTGTCATATTATTTGTACTTGGTCATTAATGAAACTTTTATGTTTGTTCATTTTTCTTTGAGTTTTAATTTTTAACTTTTTGTTTTTAACTTTCTTATATTATTATGTTATCTATATTTCAACAAAAAAGAAATGTTGACTGCAATGAAAACCACAGCAAATAACAATACTATTCGAAGGGGTAAAGCTATACAATAAACTGCCTGACAGTGTGAAATGTCTAAGCATGGTTGCATTTAAAATACAACTCAGCAAATTGATATTTGATGGGCTCTTTGAAGAATCAAAATGTAAATCTGTATTGTCTGTCTGTATTGTTACTTATACCAGTTTTTTTTTGTTTATATTGTTATTTTTTGTCTCAGGATACTTCTCAATAAATGTACCTGTTAGGCCCAGATAGCTCTAGCTCCGGCCTTTGAATGCTTATTTTTATTTAATTCTATTTTCAATAAATGATTTTTATTATTATATAATCCCTCAATATTGTGATTAGATTAATTGAAAGGTTATCTTTTTCTGTTTATGTAACATAAAATTATATCAATTTCTTATGTTTTTTTCTTTTGAAATATACTTGTAGAGTAGGTATTAGTATGCAAGAATATTTTGAACTATGTTTACAAAAAGAATAATTCATTTTATTAGCAATATGCGATATCTAATAAATTAATATTGAAGTTAAAAACTGGAGGAATCCTATTTTTAGTTACAGAAGCTACAAATTCAAAAATATTTGTTGTTGGGCTACTACTGCCTAAACCTATATCAAAAATTACAGAAATTAATATGACTTCCATTCTAGGGGGTTGTAAGTCGCCTTCACAATGAACACCATCATGCGGAAGTTGACGAGGGGAGGCGCCACCCCTTCCTCCACCTCATCGTCTGAAGTTTCAGACGGCCCCTCGTCTCCGCACACACAATTGGGACTGATGCACTTGAAGAAACTCTTTTCTGAATACACGCATCCCTCCCATCCATTCACCGATCAAGAAAAAGATGATAAGCTCTACAATATGCTGCCGCTTTTTTGTAAGGTAATGCTTTCAGATAAACAAATTGTTTTTAGGTAAACTTTATAATAAGATTACAGTTTGAAATTCCCGCTTCTAAAAAGCATCATTTCATACATATAAGTTTCCTGGACTAAGTTTTTAAATAACACTAATTTTACAATGCAACATCAGAACTTGTACAGTAAAGAGCTTGGGACCGAAAGTAGTAATTTATAAACCATATAAGGTAGCTCATTTTTATGATGACTACTATGTTATGTTGATAATGGGGTGTTAATACACTGCGACCTAAAAGATCTATTGTGCCCCCTTCTGTCGCCACTGCACTAAGGAAATGTCTCAATGCCTATAGCGACCCTTCCAATCCTATTTTCTCAAGGAAGTGTAGGATTTGAAGTGGCTTCAAGTTAGGTAAGTCTCCCTCTTCTATTTGGTATCCTCCTAGATATAGTGCCCTTGGATTCTGGAGTGCTACACATTCAGTTAGGATGTGAATGGAGGTGATGATGACTACTAAAATGACCATAGTATTTCGGCCGCCAGCTCTTAATTATGCAAAATTTTTCATAAAAGGGAATAATTAAAAAAACTTCCCTAAATACCTTGTATTAGTGTGTTAAACAAAAATATACCCATACGAGTTGAATTTTTTTTTGAGTGCAAGTTATCAAAAAGTAGTTAAAAAATTATATTTAATGGTAACTATCACATTGATAGATTTATAAATGAATATACAATCTTAAAAATAATATAAATAAAATGCTAATGAATACTTAAGGCTTGGCCTGAGCCCTCTGTTTTAAAAAGTATATTATAAGTTTAAGAACATTTTAATAGATTCCACTAGAATGTCCATTTTACTAAATTAAATCGAATATAGTGTTCCAATTAAAACACCATAATGATAATGCATATCTGAAAACACTCATAAGAATAAATTCTGGAGAACTTCAATATCTGTTCGTTGTTGGAAATATCAAGACAGTGTCAAGCTAATTATTTATAAGGTATTAACAGAAATTACAGTTCATCAAATTTCTAGAGGTGTTCGACGCCCAGACAGAGAACGCGCTACGTGTGACTAAGATAGCTATTGTACAGTCTGCTAAACAAGTTATTTTAAATAGTTTTTAATATTTTTAGGTAATTAAATTTTAAAAGTGTGGAATAGTTTAGGGATTAAATTGGTCTGATTGGACTTTCTTAGAACGTTTTTAAAAGCAGCTAAAGATAGTATGTAGAATTGAAAATAATTATTATGCCATAAAAGGTGTTTTGGAATTCCTTCAACCTTTTGAAATTGAGTCAGAAAATATAAATTTTATAGGATAGCGGAAAATACCTATAATTTTTTTGTAGGCCTTTGTAAATCGTGGAAATAGTTTATATTTTATTTCTAAAGGAAAATGGTACCTATTATTAATAACGGTTGTTTCTGAAACATTACTAAAATTTTCGAAATTTTGTTTTTCTACAAAATAATAAACTATACTATTTAGAAAAAAATTTATTTCTCTTATAATTTTATAAAAAATAACAGGGGAATATTTACATTTCTTGATCTATTAAACAAAACGATAAATTATCTCGACGAATGACACCATGTTCTAGTACGGAAGCTAGCTTTACATTTTTGTTGGTGGTTTCATGGGTTTCATATCAATTTTTTGTAATTGTAGTTTACACGTACATATACCTCTTAACACTTGTTTGCTTTATTAAAAAAGTGTGTTGTTGTGATTTACGTCGAAATAAGTCAAAAACAACTTGAAACCCCATATAAAATCAAAAAGGAGAAACGGAAAAAATTGAGCCTGTAAATGGACACAACTCAGAAACAAAAATAGCTATCTAATAATAAAAAAATAAAATTTGATTCTTGTGTAGCTTCATCTATATCATTAACTGTTTTTGGTTTTTTAATGGTTTTTCTTGGTGATGAAAATTCCGATATCTCACGGTTATCGATTCTTTTTTTCTCTCCAGAAATGCGGACAACAGTGTTTTTAGATACTCCTGTGGCTGCAGCAACACGATCATTTACATTTTTAAATGGTATTGAAGGTGAATTAAAGTTTCCTTCTCTTCTCATAAACTCTATAACATTGGCTATTATTTCGCGAGATTGACTGTTAATCACGCGGCTTCTTAATTTGCTATTAAACTCCATACTTAGGTTCTATTAAACTGTAATGAGCAAAAAACACAAACGAAAATAAATGAAATGTTTTAGCGAAATTTACATCTGACATTTACGTCTGAATGAAATAGTGAAATACTTGATGGGCAGAGTGTACTTTCATTGCGTAAATCCGTCGGGATGCCTGTCAGTAGTGCTTTCTCTGTCTAGCCTTCGAAAGCCTCTAGAAATTTGATGAACTGTACATACAAGAAAAAGTATTTATATGCAAGGTTAATGACATTTTGCCTAAAAACAGCGTTATTTGGCACACACACATTACGTCCTCACTAATACAGCCTATTAAAAACATAGCCCAGAAAAATTATTCTAAAGTTTGAAATACACAACCTTTGTAATCCTGCCCTCTCAAGAGATATGAATATTTTTAGGTGTTTGGTTCGAGCCCGACATGTGACATGAATGAAAAATTCTGGGATATCCTCGCGTTTTGCCAGCAAGTGTCGCTCCTGATGGTCTCGGAGATAAGGAAAAGAGCATCGAATCAAAGTACCGAGACCGCCAGCTGCGCTATTGCCAAATTTCTGGAGATCGAAAACTGCGAAGAGTCCAGCAACGGTTGGATGCTGCTTTCCACTTTGAATCTACTGGCTGCGGGAGATTACACGCTTGTACAGGTTCGTATTATCGAAATAATCTCCAATAAATGTTGTTTTTGAAATATTGAATCACTTTAAAAACTAATAATCAGTTTATATTGGGTTATAAAACCTCCCTAAAGTTTACTATCCCCGAAAATAATGCGTTTTTTTTCCACAGTCGAATATATGTTTATATTTATATTAAACAGTCTTAAAAAAGATCAACAATGTTTTTAAAAACAACTGGCCACAAGATTGTTTAATAAGTTGTTTTTTGTCATATGGTCGTTTGATTTGTGACTTCTTCTTTTCAGTGACCTTAAAAAGAAACTGAATGGTTTATACATACCTCAAGAAACTCATTATTTTCAGAGATATGTTTGTATTGCAATTATTTTAGATAAGAAAAGTAAAATCATTAGTGAATTGTTTTTATAGGTTATGTCTGAGGTATCAGTGCCGTCAACTCTAGTAAAATGCTTATATTTGTTTTTCGATTTACCGGAATTATCTGAAAAAGAGGCAAACACCAAAGATACGAACAGTGATTTTACACCGAAAGAAAGACGTATACTTTTGCAAAAGATTTTCGTACAAGTAAGTTTTTATTTTATATTAATATTCAGTTTTAATCATACCCCAGCACATATGTATAAATTAAATGTAGCCGTATCTGGATTTAATCGGTATGAATTTTTTTTAGCTTTTAATGCGTCTGTGCAGTCATAGGATACCAGCGGAAGAATTGGCCAGGAAGGATGATTTGACGTTATTATTTTCTGCGATAACATCATGGGTGCCGGCTTATAATGTCATGTGGAGGAAAAGTGCAGCAGAAGTTCTCATGACATTATCCAGACACGGTTTAACGCCTCTTGTCGTCGGATACATTCATTGTAAGAACTTTTTAACTCTAACATACAAGATTATTTTTTTATAATGGGCCCGTTCACTTTCATTTTTGAATGTGAATTATTTATATATTTATAAAGATATTAAACTCTTTTGTCTGGTGGTACTTTTCCCGTTAAGATATTTTTGCTAGAAGTATGGGAATTCCCATAAAATTCTTTCAGTGACTCATTGCGTCAGAAACCCCCTAATTCCCTTCAGGTCTTGTATCGGTTAATAGTTAAAAGGGCGCGGTTGTCGGATGTATCATTGCACCACCATTCCTCTTCTGCATTTATTAAAGAAATTTACATGATAAAAATATATTATATTTTAAAAATAATGTGTTTATATTTTCAGATAAAGCTGGAAGCCTTACCTTTTTTAAATTTTAATAAAAATAATTAGTATTACTCAAGCTGAATATTACCAGATCGAAATTTTATTTGAGAAAATGTATCTGGTAAACGTGACAACGTTGTAAGTACTTCTAAATAGTGTTGTCTACCATTTCTAGAAATAAATGCAACGTTGCCACGTTTACGAGATAAATATTGCAAATCAAATTTCTACTTTTTGATTATGGTCTGGTTAATTTTCAGCCTGAGTAATAATAATTGTTTTAATTAAAAAGTAAAAAATAAGCTCCCAGCTTTAAATCTGAAAATATAAGTTCATGATTTTTAGAAAAATAATGGAATTTTACTATTTAAATTACATATATAAATGCAAAAATGCTATATTAGGGATACTTCCGACAACCTCGCCGTCTTTAAGCATAACCGATACGAGACGTGAACGGAATTAGGGATTTTCTGACGCAATGAGTCACTGAAAGAATTTTATGGGAATTCCCTTACTTCTAGCAAAAATATCTTAACGGGAAAAGTACCACCAGACAAAAGAGTTTAATATCTTTATAAATATATAATTAATTCACATTCAAAAATGAAAGTGAACGGGCCCATTATGTTCTCTTTTACTATCTATTTTTTTACAGTCGATACTTTTCACTTTGAAATTTGTTTACAATCGATTCTTTTTTACATACGACTCTTTTTTTTAATCGATATTTAATATAATATTTTTTAGAGACGATTTTTTACAATGAAATTTTCACATTCAATTTTCATAATCTGAGATTTTAATAAAAATTGTTTGAATTGCTATTGTTTTTATGTTCTTTACATTGATTGATGAGTTGAACCCTTTTGGTTTCTCAGACCTTGATGAGTTATATCTTCTGGAAACCCAGCAACTTGTTTTTCATAATGGTTATTCTTCACAAGTGTACTTCGCAAAATCAGGTGTCCCACAAGGTTCACACTTTAGACCGTTGCTATTTTTGTTATTTATTAATGATCTCGATCACCATTTAAATTCTTGTAGATTTATTTATGAAGATGACTTTAAAATATATCTATTAGTACTAGACATATATGACTTTTTAGCGCTTCAGCAGGACGTAGGTAGATTATCAGATCGGTTCATGCAAAATAGGCTGAATGCAAGTGTAAAGTGATGGTATACACCAGAAAAAGATCTACTACAGATTTCTTCTTATAATATTAATTGTTTAGTTTTTGAAATATTTAGCTTTCAAAATAAATGGCGTCAACCCTCAAAGAGGAATCGATTTTCAGCTACTTCTGTATAGTTTTAACATGGATAGTCTTGAAATTCGGAGAATTTCTTTGACTTCTTTATATAAAATCGCGAATGGATTAATTGACTGTCCTGCTTGCTATTTTAGCTAAAATTAATTTAAATGTTCCCTGGTACAATAACATACATCATTTAACTTTTTACTGTTTTTGTTTTTTTTTTTCTTGTTTTTTTGTTATCTTTTATGTTTATTTTATATTCACAGTTTTTCATAATATCCATCTATTTGTCACTTTTACTATGATTTGTTGGGTTGCTGTGTGAGGAAAAATACTAAAACATTCACAGATTTTAATAAACGTTTATTACAGAAACGTGTATTACAAAAAGACTAACTTGCCGTTTTGTTTACTTTAATGTTTTCTGTCAAAATATTCCGTTACTGAAAAATTAAATGGTTGGTACAAATATTACCATTTGACAGATATATGAACTTTCAGATGATCCATATAGTACATGTATGTACCAGAACACATTAAAGGTATATTTATTTGATTGACAAATAAATCAGACCATAAAATACCAAGAAAAATCGCAAATTTTGAGGAATCAATTTGTGATTGTTATATGTTATCTATTTCTAGATATCTTAGATATTTTTCCTATAATTTGTATGATAGAAATTGGGATACTAAATAAATAACCAAGCAAACATCTTTAATTAGCACGTTTTTGAGCTAGACCAAATAAAAATCTTTTATAATCAACAGATAATCATGTATTCATCAATTATTATTTGAATAAAACACATGCCTTATCTTTTATTTATATAATAAATGATAATATTAATTATTTTCTATCAATATTATCAATTCAAAGTTCATAATGATTTTTTACTGACAATCAATAACTAAGTTTATTTTAGCTTACTCCACTTTTTTTTTCCTTAGTTAAATGGCACTGGTATGGAACCAACTGGCCAAAGCTTCGTTAATAATTAAACCGACTTTAAGGACTGTATTTGTATAACCATGGACAATTTTCTCTGCAGTTATTCTTGATCTATTATTTAAATTGACCTGTTTGTGATGCTTTTTTTTTTCAATTTTTTTTTTATTTTATTTATTATTTTTTGCCAAGAGGATCTCCTGGGCGGGATTAGACTTATTACAGGTGTTAATCCTTGGGTGATTAAACAGAGGGGAGGGAGACAAATGTATAAAGGTGCTTTGGTATTCTATTATGGCTTAATATTAGTTTTGATCTTACTCCACTTAAACTCAAAATAATTATTGATATTGATTTTTATTCATTTAGATATTTAGAACCATAATCAAATTCTTTATTGGTGCAGGGACATCACAACGTATACATATATAGCAATTTACAATTAATATACATTGCAATGTATAAGTTAAAAAAACATTTTATGTACTATTAATCTGGAGACAACCATATTGCGTGGCTAGGATGGTTTACTGATACAAACGACGCATTTGCTATGATTGCAGGGAAACCTAGCAAAACCACACTGCCATTATTGGGTTGATACTACTACAAAATATGTATCTAACTAATTACAATGAAATGATTTTCTATAAAATTATAATATACATAATACATTCTCTTATCACTAATATACCTACATGCATAATATATTAGTTACTGGACATAAATAATTGATGTTGATCAAGCTCAGTGGGCAAATCCACTTTAAATGTAATTGTGGAATTCTAGATCTGAATAAAATACTGTATGATGATGCAATAAATACATATTTTATCACCTCTCTTATACATTACACTTTATTCTTTTTCAGCGAAATCCTGTGTTAATTTATGCATCGAAAACATGAAAAAAGTTCCCGAATTAGCTCCATTGGAATTAGTAGAAATGTTCGTAACATTGTTTTGCTTCTTAAAAGATTCCAGCGAGGTATCCTCCACGTTATTGGACGATTTTAGGCAAGCTCAGGGCTATCCTTTCCTATCAGATTTCCTTCTAAAGTAAGTTTAGCATATTTTTATAATTATCAGAAAAAAATCATTCACAAAACGATTTTTTTAGGTTCGAAAATGACAATTCGAGCGAAGCACAAGAAACCATAAGAAATTTAGTGTTGATGGTCACTTCACTTTGCACGTGCGGGTATTTGGAATTGAAACCGTCTCAAGCGTCTACAGGGTCTTTATTTCAAATGCAAGGTTTCGTATTACCTCAGCCATCAGGTAGAGGTACCAGCGTACGAAATATACAGGCATTCCACGTTAGTGTATCCTTAATTTTTAATCTATTCTTATACTAATTTCTAAAATTATTTTAGGTTCTTCAAAGCACTTTTCTTAAATCGAACTCATCCCTTCTGTGCTCAACAATCCTGGACGCCATATCGAACATATACCATTCAGACAATTCTAATTATTTCATTTTGGAGAACCAAAACACCCTTAGCCAATTCACCGAAAAAATCCAATACAAGCCGGCGGAAATTCAGCAAAAATTATTCGATCTGATCGAATTTTTGGTCTATCAACTGAATTTCGTGCCTTGCAAGGAATTGATATCGATGTCAATATTTTTGAAGACGCACAGTTCCAACTATACGGATTGCAGCATTTTGTCCATGCAAACTTTGCTCAATATCCTCAGACACAATCCCATTTTTAAGGATGTGTATCGTGAGGTTGGTTTGCTGGAAGTTGTCGTTACTTGCTTGAACAAATACGGGGTCGTACTTGAAGATAAGAAAGCCTCAGGTATTTGTTGATTTTTTATTCTAAAAATGTATAGAACATGTCACATATTTAAAATATTTTAAGTTAATTAAAGTCCACTTCACCGATTTCACGCATTAAAAATACAAGGCATTATTTTTGATAGTTTTCTCTGGTTTGCCTCTATTTCGATTCTCTATTTCAGGGAATAATACGAAAGACTACAAACAAGTTTCGAAGCAAGAAAAATTAGGAGAATTAGTAGTTGAAGCGTTGACAATCTTGTTGACGGGCAACAGCGCGAACGCAACTGTACTAAGAGAATGTGGCGGTGCCAAGTGTGTGCACAAACTCGTACAGTATCCAGAATGCAGAAACGCCATATTAGGTAATACTTTTTAGAATAACAAACTATCGAATTGATGTTTTAAATTTGTAATGGTATTTTTTAGGAATTATTAAGGAACTCGTTTTGACGACAGGCGGCGATGATGATATGATGCAACTATTAAATACTCTACATTCTGCATCGAGAACCGAATTGCAAGTCAAAATCGACATTTTGGAAGCTTTAAAGCTGTGTTTGAAAGAATCGCATAGAACTAGAACAGTATTTAGAAAGGTAATTGACAAAAAGTAAAAAAAAAAATGTTGAAATACAGCTGACAATTTCATCATGAACAAATTGGAAAATATAAAGACAAACTCACATGAATTTGAATTTTTTTCACTATAAACAGAACATGTTCTGTTTCATGAGAAACAAGCAACAATTGCAGTCGTATGCGCCTAAAAATCTTTATTAAAATATTTACAACTATACAATATCTACAACAATAATAGTATATTATGCAACGATCATGTAATGATGGTTATTAATACACGAGCATTAACCGGGATACGAAACGAGCCAAAGGCGAGTTTCGTATGGTTTATGCGAGTGTTTTAATAACCATTACATGAGAGTTGCATACGCTATTTTTTCTACACCCGATAAATAATCAAGACCTATAAATATTCTATTTATATTGGTATTGAACACAATAACAGTAATTACTCGTATTTCTATAAAAAATTCTACAAAAATTGTAATTAATGGTATTACCTTGGGTACTGGTATTACCACAGATTTTTGGGGCAAAATATTTTGTACTGCATTTTCTCCTTTCTCCTATATGTGTGGAGGAGTGTTCTATATCGCTGATATCAGACATTTTAATATTATAATTATCGAAGTTTAGCTATCTACGAAAATTTAATACGTTTTGACAACTAAAACAATTACATAGGAATTTAGGACAAACGTCAAACATCATGCTTGATTGAAAAATAGTAGGTTTCTATTGATTAAAAATCTGTATCGTAATGAAAAATCTGTATCATAATGGGTATCATTATGAAACGGATTATGGGCATATAAGTGCATTATTATAATACGGGTGTAGAAAAAAATATATATGTACAGTGAGATTTCTTCCTGATGTGCATTCTGGAAGTGTTCTTCTACTACTATGGCCCCCGGCGGGACCATGACCGATGTCTTGGCCGTATACTCCCAGTGCTGTAGTTTTAATTTTGCTTGAAACATGATCCATCCTTGTTGTAATACAACATAATAAATCATTAGAGAGTTGAAGTATTTCCAGTACGTTAACGTAAACGTTAACGTCAACGCAGAAATATAATGTTTACGTTGAAATCCAAAATCAGAGTTGAAGTTGTTAAACGCATCGTGACATTTACGTGTCATGACAGATAATGACAATTAATATCAAGATTTCTTCTTTCCCAATTAAAAAGAGGTTATTTTGTTTGCGTTGCGTACATACGCCAGGGTCCGTAGGCTTACGTATGTACGTAGACGTGAACGTAAAGGATATTTAAATACGCATGCGTAGATGTCACTTTTCACGTATACGTTTACATTCATAGCATCACTTCAACTCTCTAATATAGGTTATTAACCAGGTCAGTAATGGAATAGGGTTTTTGTGTGATTTTAATTATCTGTCGTCCCTGAAAAACCAATTGAAAAAACAGGGTTGTCCTAAAATGTATGTTAATTACGTGGTAATTTGTGTGCATGAATTAGTAAAATCACAAGACTACACAATTAAGCCATCGTACAACATAAAAGTACTGGCAAGCCGAGAACTTTCACATTGGGCGATGACGTCACCGTGCAGTCTTCCGTCCAACGATAGTTGGTAACTAATCGTCGTAGTGATTTGTCTATTTAGTGGGGTCGTCGCTGCTATGGAGGATGTACGTCTATTTTCCTGTCTTTTTTGTCCGTAATGAGTGCGTTCTGTGATCATTTATGCCCCTGCTCACGCCAGTTTCCCAGAACATCATAGTAAACTACGATGATCCGAGAAAAAGCGCTACTGCAGTCGCATAAACATCCACAGAAGCATTTTACTATGTATTTAAACGAATGTTACTGCTTTTACTGTATTGTATGTTATGATTTAGTTCAAAAGTTTGAAATTAAAGTCAACGTCCGTCATGAACGCATTATATGTCTCAATTACCTCTTTTACCGTTGTACAATTTTTAAGTTTTGCGTTAAGTGCTCTGACTGCCCTGGTTAATTCGCCTATATTGATTAGTTTGTTTAATGTCTCGAATTCTTGATTGAGGGCCGAAAAATCGTCCATGGCCACGCCGGGGGTCGAATTTCTCGGGTTTTCTACATTTCTGCTAGGGATTCTACTTTGTTGTGTATTTTCTTGCTGATTTCTTGAGGGTAACGCTGGGAAATCTTCAAGACGGCTTCTATTTTGTTTTCTGGCCTCCCATTGGTTAATGACTGGCTGGGGGGCGGGTACATATTTTAGATTTGTTTTAGGCCTTCTTTCCATCATTCTTTCTAATTTTGTTACATAGCTTTCGCATTTTGTGTAATTTGCGGGGTGGTCTCACCCGCAGTTTACACATGTGGCTGGTGTTTCAGTGGTTTTAGTGCAGGTCGCGGTGTGATGTTCACCTGCACATTTAAGACAACGTGCTTGTCTGCCACAATTTGCCGTAGCATGTTCCCACTGCTGGCAATTGTGGCACTGAATGATCATTTTGGAGGATTTTCGCAGCTCCCAGGTGACCCTGGTGTGTAGTACCCTTCTAGTGTTTTTATTTAGAGAGTCTAAGGTAATTACCGGGTCAGTAATTACTAAGTATAATGGTCTATCTTTTGTTCTCATTTGGTATATAGCCCTTGTTGAGATTTCGTGTTCTTCTTCTAAGTCTTGCTCAATGTCAGTGATTTTAGTGCCTTGTCCAAGCCCTCTAAGGACAAAGGCGTGGGTTTTATCTTCTCTTGAAGTGTAAGTGTGATGCAACATGCTATCAGCTTTAATATTGGCTAGGACCCTTTGATAGTCCACTTTGCTATCCACAAATATTACAGTCGTGTAATTGGTGTGTTTCACCGAAAATTCACCTTTAATTAGGGCTTTAAGATCATTGATTAGTTCTCGGTGATTAGCTGTTTTTCCATCTACTACTATTGAGGGCATTGTTGTTTTGTTTGGGTTCTGTCGGTGTTCTGTTATTGTGGGCTTGCTTTTTGCATTATTCGCATTGGAGTTACGTGTGTTTGTGCTGCTGGCTTCATTTGTGTAGTTTAGGGGTTTAAATTTGAGCCCCTTTTTTCGCTTTTTGACGATTTTCCCCACTTCATCATCTATGTCTGAGTCGGAGTCATCAGTTAATGGCTGGAATTTGTTACTAGTGGGAGTTAGTGTCTTTTTCGATTTTTCCCCAATCAGATTCTGAAAGTTTCTGCTAAATTTTTTTGGGGTGGTGAATGGCTCTTCATCATTTTTGTTTGTGTTGTCTCTGTCTTCTATGTCCGTCTCCTGTTCATAGGCGGCTCTTTCAGTGGCATTTATCGTCACTAGACGGCTATTCGGCGAGTACGGTAGGTTACTAAACCTGTTATCTTTATTTATGGCTAGTCTATTATCCACATCCGAGTTAAAACTATTAGGATCGTATTCTAAGATATTTTGAGCTATACTGGGTGGAATATCGTTCTTTTCTACCTCAATTCTGATGCGTGGGTCGCTGTTAATTCTTGTGGTTTTCTTTATTGCACCAGTTGAGGGGGGTTTTTGTGAGACTGGGAGTATGGGCACTGACCCTTGAGAGAGGTTACTCAATTCACCCCTCTTTTGGGTGTTGTCCACACTGCCAGTAGCATTTTCATGGAGGTTTAGGGGAGGGCCTTGTGGTATTGCGTTGCCAAAGTTTAGATTCCTTGGGGTTACATTTTGGAGAAAATCTAATGTTTTAAATACCATCTTCGGGATATCCTTGGCAATATCATGTCCGGTTTTGGGGGCAATTTCTCCAGGTTCAAGTAGTCTGGGGTTTCCTTCTGTAGTATCCATGGAGCCTACACTAGTGACTGAGTCACCCGATCTTTCTAGTTCCTCTAATAATTTTTGAGTACTACAATTTTTGAGACGGCTTCCTGTCCCCTTTATTTATGCTGTCTGCACCCTTGTCCAGTGTATTTTCATGTAAGACCAAATTTCCATTAGTTTGAGGGTCGTCTGAAGGTCGTTCTTCAGAAATTTTTGCCTGGGGGGCCTCTATGCCTAAGTCAAGTGTATTCGTACTCACATAAATATGTCCAGTTCTCTTAACTTTAGCTTTGGCCGTCTTAGGAGTGGTCAGTTTGACTATTTTTTCATATTGCGGAATTCTATACCAGCATCTGTTTTTTAGTCTTCTGGTGTATTCAGTCAACCCTTTGACTGTTGTGGGGGCTTGAGGTTCTGAAGGCTCAGCGGGCTCCGACATTTACGGCACTATACTGTAGTTTTGATTTTACTTGACCTGGCGCGAGAGAAACTAATGATGAAAAATTGATTTGATTGACAGCTGTCACTATTTCAAAGGTAAACAAACGTATGCTCTGGAGGCAACTGTATCCTAGACGAGTTCTAGGTGTACAGGAGTGCGTTTAGAAACCTCGTACGGCGCGCCTGACCATGTACATTAGAATAGGGTCCAGACGCGCCGTGCGTGGTTTCTAAACGCACTCCTGCAGTCGTATGCGCGAACGTGTCCTCATAACCAGCAGCATATTACTTCAAAGCAGTAGCGTAACCATTTCAAATTTAATGCTCAAATAAGTATGGAAATGGTTTTGGTCAATTTTCACCACTGATCTGTATTATTTTACTGGATAGGAGATAGCCTTCTAAAAAACGTTCCGAAAAATTGGCCGATTTGGGCAAATAATATGGCGGACCGGATGTTATTTAACATAACCTCTATTTCCATTTGTCATCACATTTGTCATTTAATTGTCAACAAGTTACGATGAGATGTTTTTTTTATTTATTTAGGTAGTATCGAATAGCATTACTATATTCGTGAAGACACAATATGCTTCACGTTTCCATTTTTATATTTTCTTTCATAAAAAAATCAAATTATGGGTGAATTGTCTCGAAGGACATTGCCCGCAGAAGGAATAGAAGAAGAATAAGAAGAAAAACTAATCAAATTATAGGTTAGGTATGTCAAATTATCCCAAAATTCAGTTATGTGATCCCACCATAATTTGCCCAAATCGGCCAGCAGTGTTGCACTTCCGGTCTCCTTGGTGGAATGGATTTTTAGTATGTTAAATATAGCCTATATCCTATCCAGTAAAATAATATAGATCAGTGATTTTCACCCGTTTTGATGCAAAAAATGTTCAAATTAAAAAAAAATGTAATTTTGAAAATTTTTGAATCTCTTATAGTCTCTATTATTGATTATGTCATATAGAAAGTAATAATCACCTTCGTGGGTTTGTATCGCATGAATCATCAAGTGGGCATTAAATATGAAAAACTGGGGAATGCTATTGAATTAGCGGGTGGAAAGGGGTGAAAATGCAACCCTTACAGTTTTTTAATTATATCTCGAAAACGAAGCAAAATTCTGGTATAGTTATAAGATTTCTTTTAGCAAATAATTTGATTTCACATCGAATTGTTTATTAATTTTTTTTATGTAAAAAATATTAATAAAAAAAATAAAATAAAAAGCAAAAAATAATTGCTTTCTGAGTAGAGGTAGGTATAGCATTGCTTCATACAAAAAATAGATTCAGTTTCCTTTAAAATGGTGGGTTATAAACATATTTTGGATAAAAACGGAGATATTTCCATGAGATACTGCTGTCTTTTTAGGACATACTCAATAGCCTATTACTTCAAGTCCTAAGTATAATTTAGGTAATAAAAAAGTAAAAAAAAAAAAAAAATAGAAACTTATAAAATTGTTTATTTTAATTTATGAGTGCTTGAAAAATATTGGTAGGATCTTAGTGGTAAACTGGTTTACTTAAATTACTGGAAAAAATCATCACAAGTTGGAAGTCAAATGCCATAATATGGCCGGTTACGTAACTTTTGTATTAAAAAAGTTTTTAATTTAAAAAAGCTGGAAAAAATATAAATTTTTAAAACATTTCACATCTAAAAACTTTAACAAAATCTACAGCATACAATAGTAGTTAACCAAATGGGAAGTGTAAGAACAATCAATACAAAATCGCTTAGTTATAATAAACGTTTGTTGTATTTCTTATTCAGTTGACTGCTAGTTGCACATGTTTGAAAATTTTTACAAAATTTGATATTTTTTACCCTTAGGTGATATATTTTTGTATACCTGTGTTATTTATCACTTTCAGTCACTAAACAATTCTATAATACTTCTACTGCTGCAGTTATCCTCTGAATAGATTCGTCAGACGATCCTGTATTTACAGTAAACACAAGAGAATCTACAGCATCATCAAGACTGTGTTCTTTTTTAATCCATTCAGATTCGCATTTCTTTACACGTTCGCAAATAGAACAACATTCTGGGACAGAAACTTTAGAAAAATTCTTTCTTGCTAATTTCTACACATTATCCAGTTGAAACTGCCACCCAGTTCTTCACCAGTGTCAATATTTTTTATATTGGGTTGAAATCAGGATGGTAAGGAGGCAACTGTAAGACTTTATGGCCACGTTCCTTCAGTAAACAATCCAATTTATAGGAAACAGGAATACATAACCGAAATGTTTTTAATAATTCACACAGCGCAAGTTTTGTCTTATTGGCATCATGGTCAACTTTGTGGACTCTAAGCCATTCTATAACATTTCTGCTTCCTAGATGCTGAAATAATACCGTTTTTTAGTTTTCACGTTGTGGTAAGAAGTATTATCTACAACCAGAACTGATTTCTCAGGCATATTGAAAAATAGTTGTTTCTGAACCCAATTCATACGATTTAAATGATTCATGTCATCATGGACCTAAAAAAATAGAATAAAGTTAATCTAGATCCACATGAAAATTTGCTATTTTGTAAATAAATTACATAATAAAATAGGAATGCAAAACGTCATTTGACTCTTAGAATTATCTTTTATTGTATATTGTTTTAAAACCAATGAGAAAATCATAAGTAACAATAGTATATTTTTCAAAAATTTACCAAATCAGGTTGTACATTTTATGGCACTAATGAATAAAGTTATTGTCCGATTTCCACACGTTCAAATAAAACAATTTTTACTACTATAGAATCATCACTATTAAACAGTGTTTTAGTTGGTTACATGACAGGCTTCAAGAGTGTTAATTTTTTTTTGTGTCATCGGCATCAACTGCTACGGTTATTGGCCTCGTGTTCTGTGTAGACTTTATTACTGTTTCCCAGCGCCACTTTAGGAACAACACTGTTAATTAGTACCCAACAGTGAATAGTCGAGTGGGGAATCCTACCAAGGCATCAGAATTAATTTTAAATAATTAAATTAAATGAAAAAATCCCGGCCAACGGTGAGATTCGAACCTGGGACCCTTGGATCCGCAGGCAATTTTTAGCTACGTAAAAGACACATTCATTAACCTTATATTTAAATTCACTCTTTAAATCTAAATCAATTTAAAATCTAATACAATCAAAATTTATTAAAAAATGCTAACAAAAACAATACACATCAACTGCCGTTTGCCAACCAGATATATTGATTTTTTTGACATCTCGGAGGATTGTCTAATTTCTTTTAACACAACCTCACTTATTCACAATTTTATTGTTGTATTGGTAGACTTGTTAAACTGACATGCAGTACGTTTACCAACGCATCAAGCAACATAAAGATGAAACGCTCTAGTATATTTGAACGTGAAAGAAATAAAGAGAGTAACTTAGTTTAACTACGCTCTTTCAATGGCAAGGATATTGCGGAGCGCAGTCTGCGATCGCAATATAAATTTCAATGCTTCACAAAATGCTTTGGGGTGTACGTCGCTTGTTTAAAATGACGAAAGTATAAGTAGTTATCACTTATAGGTAATTCTACAAATAAAATGCTTATTTTTTTTAAGTACCTACAAATAAATGGCATTCAGTTAATTTAAAAAATTCAATATAAGAGAACACCACTTACCTTAAATACTTTCTCAGAATTTTTTATATCGGTAGTCCAGACTCACCAGCCGTGATTGGATGCTTAAAAGCATGGTTATGGTTACACCTCTACCGGTAGTAGACTAGCATGCATTGTTCTATTTCTCTTTACTCAACATTTTCGTTTTTCTATACAGTTCTCCTGGAATCAGTATTGGAAAATTAACGTACTGTATATGACACAAAGCAATTCATTTATCCAAGATTATAAAACCGTTTTCATAGAGAAGAAATTCATGAATTTATTTCTTGATATATGTAAAGAGTGCTTAATAAAACTTAACTCCTGTACAACTTTTAATTTACAACCCTGGTTATGTAGTAAACTATTAAGCTTAATTTATGTCCGCCGTAACGTAACTTAAGAACTTAACGTACCGTAGAAAGTTCGCCAACTTTTAACTTAACAACTTAAGACCTTACGGTCGGCCAATGAGATAATTCTGAGTTCAGCATGTGATAACTGTCAATTATTCTTTTTATTTTTTTTTATAATTGAATGGACAAATACCATTTGTAAACTATCATTCTCCTTTTTTATGGACATACATTATCATGAATGATTTGTGTTTATGTTATTTGGAATAAACTATTTATGAGATATGAGTGTTGCTGCATATACCTACAAACATCAAGTCTAGAACTGAAATAAGACACAAAACTAGTTTGCTACGAAAGATTCAATTCTCAATCAAAATATTCGGTAAACTATTCTGTTTTATTATATTTCAATATTATTGCTTTTAAAATAGTTAATATATTCTTTCTATATAGTTTTATTTGGAGGTTAGGTATAAGTTTACACTTGTTTATTTCATAAGGTTGTCAGTAATTTGATAATTAAAACACGCATGCTCAACTCTTACGTTACGGACATTTATAAATAGACTTTATTTTTATATCTTACGTTAAGTTTCTACGCCGTTAAGTTACGTTACGGTGGTTATAAATTTTACTTTAAGGATGTTTTTTTTTTTTTCAGGCAAACGGATTCGTTTACGTTACAAGCGTTCTCGTAGCCTTAGAGGGTCGGTTGAGTAAAAAAGAAACCAATCCGGAGGTACTGTACCTCCTGAGTCTGGTCTTTCAAACGATTTGTACGGCGATGCGTTTCGAACCGGCCAACGCGAAATTATTCTATCATGAAATTTGCCGAACTAGCCTTTGTGATACCATAAGATTGCTGGGGTGTTTTTCTAACGAAAAAATACCACATATCAGCGAAATTGATTTCGAAGCGCCCTGCAATGGATATCAGGATATATATCAGAGTTTATTTATTGGATCTGTAACAAATGTTGAGTAAGTAATCAGACATCATAGAATCCGATTACAATAAGAACACCGCTATATCATAACCATTATTTCTAATTTCAATTATATATTATCTCTTAATAAATAGAGAAAAAATAAGCTATTTGGTATAAAAACATATTTTTTATATTCCTATAATATTTAATATTTACACTCCACAAAACCCCAGTAGGCGGCGATAGCCAATGAATTACTTCGCCAAATGATTACGTAGCTGTGTTTTTCTAATTGTAATCGGACCCTACTTTTAAAAATAAAAATTTTAATACACATTGACTTAAGAGGAAAATTTACATTACAAACTGAAAGACCTGCGGGGCAACGGTAGTTTAGTAGGTATAAAAATTACAACTTTAGGGTGGAGCCTAAATACTACAAAATTACTTCCGAGACTAAACAAAATCCGCATTCATTCATAATTTTAACAATTGCCTGTAGATACGAGGGATACGTATTCCAAACTCTAACGCGCGAAATTAAGACAAAGGAACCGAAAAATCCTAACACGGAGTGAGTCAGAGTTACCTAAATTAGGGGAACCAGAATCGTATTTGCTTTTCTCGGTGCATTGCGAGATATTGTTATAACGCAGTTCGATTTATTAGAGGGTTTCACATTATTTTTATATTTTAATTTCGTGAATAGGTTTAGTTAGATTAAATTACATTTAAGAGTATAGAGGTGTGAAATATAAATACAAATAACTAAAAAATAGACGATTGGTTCGAATAAGGTAATATCAATTAATACAGGGTATTTATTGAGTGCCGATACTTAAGGGTGTGAATCCTTTGGGTGTTAAAGTTTTAAGAAAAAAAAATAACTATTTTATCATAAGTTTCTTATCACTCTAGATATTTTTATGAAATTTTTCCCAAAAAAAGTGTTTCCACTCATGGTGGGTTCCTACCAAATTTCAACAAAATATCAAAAGCAGTTTCAATATACTGGTTTTCATTTTCTTACCCGAAAAGGGTGCTTCGTACGAAAGTACGTCATAAACCAAATTTGCTCCAAAATATATAAGAATTTTAAAGATAATTTTGGTTTTTAGAAAAAGCAGTGGCGCACCATATTTTTTTTCAAAAATATTCAGTTCAAACCCGGCACGGACGTCACTGGTAAAAATTTAAAAGTTTTTTACGACAAAAGGCGAGATTGAAAGTGAAAGTTTAGTCTGTTGGTACATAATATACTATATTTATATATCTAATTTTTATTATTACACTGAATGTGACATGGCTTTTTTTTGCCTTTTTTGGATCAACAAAATATTATTTTAATGATTTAAAATAAACTGCCAGTAATAATAATAATAATTATCTGTACTTAAACATATGCAAAAAGAAATCATAAAACGACGCATAAAGAAAGCACCAAATTATTAAACTTTTAATTTACGTAAGATGTGTTGAAAGTAATTTTAAAAAACCGACTTTAAAATCGTGCAGATGCCATCACCACATCTGAACCAAATTTATATGGGACCACCCCTGAGGTACCCCCTTACTAACGAAAAGAATTATAGAAATCGGACGAGGTGGTAAAGAATTATCGCTAAACATACATAAAAAATGAAAAGTTTGAGGATTTTCCCATTGACCCAATTATTAGATTTTGAACAAATTTCTATGGGACCATCCCGGAAGTACCCCCCTTTCCAGCAAAAAAGAATCATTTAAATCGGACATTGTGTTAAAGAATTATCGCTGAACATACATAAAAAAAATATATAGACGAATTGAGAACCTCCTCCTTTTTGAAGTAGGTTAAAAAGGATATAATAATCTATATTATTTGTAATAACTAAAAAACTACTATGTGGAGTTATATACATCTTCTTAAATTAATCTTATATGTAAAAATGTGGGTTCGGTTCCTAGAAGAGTACCTAGTTCACTGTGCAGCCAAATTTATATTTATGGTACAGAATTTTTTGAATAAATAAAGTTTTGGGTTTAATTAAACACTAAGTTTTATCAGGAATAACATTTTCTGAAAAAAGTAACATAAAAAGCAGACTTTTTGCGAGCCACTATATATATATTTTAGAGGACAATCCATATTATTTTAGAAAAATAAATTAAAGTTTTGTATAATCACATAAATGTGATTTATCTTTTAGAATATTGTGTATGTTTGTCAAAGTTTACTAATTTAAAAAAAAAAAAGAAATATTCTTCAAAAATTTTCTTAAATTTTTTAACACTGTACAAAATACCTTAATCCGTTTATAGTTATCGAAATATGTAAAGAATTTTAACTCGTTTAAAAAGCGTTCTTTCTCTTTCCATTTCCTATAAAAACTAATAGACCTTTTTGAAATCGGTATTCGGTGACTTTTCTTCTGTTTTATTGCATTGAAAATGATATGATTTACATAAAAAACAAAAACTGACTTATTATTTTTGTGAAATAAAAATATGTTGTTATTTTCACAATTTTTGACTACTTTTCGTTTCTAAAAAAGAAGTACGATGTTCTTCTCTAGATATTAACACATTGTTTAATTGGCTTTTTATTTTTTTTAAATATTCTTTAGTATTTTCAAAATTTGGGAAACAGTATAGCATTGAAATTGTGAGTACGCTTTTAATTGTCTGTTTTTTTATCTCACAATGTGTCGATAATAAGTTATATAGAAAAAGTTAGTATTCAATATCATCCAGACAAAAAACAAAAACATATTTAAATGAATATATTAAATAAATTATGAGTATTCTTTAACAGAGATATATTTATTTGTATTATGGAAATAATGTTTATGTCAACAAACTTATGTTCGATATTTGTATCAATTTGTTAAAATAACTCTTGTATAATGATAATATTAAATCTAAAGGTTTTAAATAAGGACTTGCAGATATCACAATTCAAAATTCTTTTTATTGGCCATAATACTTTTTTTGGAATTAGTTTCTGTTTTTCAGTTAAGCTCCATAAATTTATATTTTAATCTGAACGCTACTTAAGCGCAGTAAAGTTGCAACAACTAAACAATATAGTGAACTTTTCGAAAATTTCTAAGTTAAAATTAAAATCAATTTATATTTAAAATTAAATAAGTTAACTAACATTTTTGACCGTTATGAAGTTAATAAAGTTATAAATAACGTCGTTACAAAGATTTATGTTTGAATTTTAAATTTCTATTGATGATAGTTACTCATCTACGTATTACAATAACAATACCTACATGACTTGGCTTTGACACAAAACCCTGTATAGTAAAACTTCTAATCCGAATCAAAATCTTGAAACTATTATTTGGGGACTTAAAAGCGTGGTCCACTAGTTGGTGTAGCCTTTTAAAACATTTGGTGTAATAATAATTATATACCTATCATCAATTACCACTGCCACTGGTAAAATCCTAAATTTAAAGTAGTGTAATATAATAATAAGAAGACATTAATCATATCTTAAATGGATCGCCTACTACCATGTTTTAGAAATAAATAAAATTTAATTCTTAAATTAATAAAAATATTCAAAATAATTTAAGATTCCTTGCGTTATGTTAATAAACATTAAACAAAATTTCTCACGAATTATTTAATATTCTGTCTCGTACTTCCATGTCTCTATTGCTTCGCTGTCAACAAGTTCCGGCAAGACATATTGCATATAAAAAATTTTAATTTTATTTTGTATCTTTTTTTCTCAAAAGCTGTCAATATGAGATATTTTCTCCACTTCTATTCCTCCAGAAGTCCAAAAGCACAAAATGCAAAAATCCATTTGTGTTACGTGCAGCTAGCCCTGAATTTGAAAATACCAATAGTGGTTTTCCTTAATGGAATTGTTCTTTTTCCAAAAAGTTATTTCTCTACTGCATATTTCTTCTGCTACAGTCCGCACTTCCATCCAGACTGGCAGCAACATAATCAAATTGGAATTCAATAAAATGTCCACATTTAAAAACTTTTACTTGCAAATAAATTTCCAAATCTTATTTTGTTTTGAATTTATGGTCCATGCCATATCGGGTGGCTTTCGTTTCTTTTCTTAGATTTTTTCAAAAGAGACTGATTCATATTTTGAAAGTAAATCCAGAGAGGTATGGGTTAAGCCTGTACCTGTACTTACATAAAATTTCTTTTAGTAAAATTAAAAAATAATCCGTAAAATTGGTGTACTATGAAACCCTTGCATATAATATATATGCCAATCTTAGTATTACAGAAATAAATTACGTAAAAAATAAGGTGTACAAATACATAAAATTTATTCATCCCTCGTAAAACATCAGTAAAATATATTATAAATTGTTTTCATTCACAAATATTAATTTCTTAAAAATCTAACAGAGGCGCCACTTTCCAGACGAAAAATCTTGCAATGTAAGGGTTTCGTAGTACCCCACTTTTAAAGTTTATTTTTGACTATTTTTAAAATAAAAAAATATGTGTGTGTAGGTAAAGGTTAAATCTATGCTCCTCTGGAACCACTTTTTCAAAATTCAATTTAGTTTTTTCTAAAAAAAAATGAGAAAATGGGTAAAACAAGTCGAGTTTTGTATTTTTTTTTAGAAAAAACTGTTTCAAATTTTAAAAAAGTGTTTCCAGAGGAGCATAGATTTATCCTTTACCTACACGTACATATTTTTTTCTTTTAGAATAAGTCAAAAATAAACTTTAAAAGTGGGGTACTACGAAACCCTTGCATGCTCCGCTCTACAGCCAAGTAAATACTCCTCTTAATCAAGAAAATTAATTCTATAGACATAATAGTGGAAAGAATCCTGAACTGATTAAAAAATACTAATTCATACTTTGAGCATACCTAAACTAGGTATCTTCTATTTTATGTTATTTATACTGAAACATTTATCGCTTAATTTAGTTTTAACGTAATTTTTAGGATTCCAGAAGAAATATCACCATCTCTAGCTTATACAACAATAGTTTACAGGCTTCTATACGATCTGTCATTAGATTTGTTTGATAAAAGCTTCAATACAAACATATTTTCCATCAAATCTCCGCCAATGTCTAGAGAATCGAGCATCCAGGTAAGTAAACGTTGCACGCGCTATTTTCATTGACGTTTTTGACGTCACATCTATTTTTATTTTCCAGGGAGACAGTAACGGAAAAAGAACTGTCAATACGCTAAATTTAAGCCCCCCTGCTCCAGACCCAATCATAGTCCATCCTGGAGTAGTTGTCTGTATGTTGCAACTTTTGCCATGTATAAAAGTAAGTCTGCTTTTCCCATAAAACTTCCTATTTCCGACGTTTCCGCTTTTATGAATGTGAAAAGATATTTTTATTGTCTTTTATTTTAGGATGATCATTTCGAAATGTACCTGAGCCTGCAATTGTTCATAGCAGAAATAATTAAATCTTTAGTGCGAAGTGAAAGAAACCAACAAGTGATGTGCGATAAAAATTTCGCCAATTACTTATTGACTATCGGTTCTGAACCCTTGCAAAACGAAAACCATCCCTTACATAATTCACTACAGTACATGCTGGAAAGATTAGCAGCCCAAGCCATCGAACCAAAGGATTTGAGGCAGTTCTTGAGGTTACTTTTCCCAAATAATTTTTTTGACTGTTAAAGTTATTTAATGATTTGCAGATTAGGGAATCCCCTTTGCTGTCTCAATTTAGGTTCTGACGAACCTGGAGGTTATCCTGTCCCATTGACTAGGATTAAAACGTTGGTATCTATGACGACTCCGAAAGATTTTAGAGCACAATCTTCGTATACTTTACCACCTTTTGTGGAATTTGATATGTCAGCTGAAGGATTCGGATGCCTGTACCTGCCAAGCATCGCGCCGCAATCACCTTCAGCGCCTAGCGTCGTTTCGACAGTTGACAGCAATGTTCTAGGAGGCATAGGTACGATAGAAATATATATTAATGAGCGCAGTCATTCCTGTTTTAATTTTTCAGGAGCCGGGGACAGGATGTTTCCTCCACAAACAGGATTGAGTTACTCCACATGGATTTGCGTCGACAAATTTTCCGATCCGAGATCTGATCCCCATTGCGTCCGTTTACTCACTCTCGTCAGAAACTTCAATGGTGCTCGAGAGGACCATTTGGTGTGTCTTTCGATAGTTTTGTCAGCCAGAGATAAAGCGATCATAGTTTCTACCCAGGAGACGCACATTCCCAACCGTATGTACAGTTTTATAAATATGCCATTTGTTAAACTTATCAATAATTCGTCAATGATATAAAATCACGGATGTTTGTAGATGTTGGTGATTGGGAGCCCGAAGGGCAAGGTGAACATGGCGCACGCGTTTGGTGCCCCGATATTCTTCAAGAGGGTCAATGGCATCATCTCGTCGTTGTATTAAACAGGGCTGTATTGAAGAATTCATCATTTTCTCTATATTTGGATGGGCAACAAATCCATAACCAAAAAATGCATTATATATCACAAAATCCCGGTGGTGGCTCAGCCAATTTGACAGTTGCTTCGTCTGTGTATGGATACATCGGTTCGCCGCCATCTTGGAGGCGATATTCTCGATTATGTTGGAAGCAGGGTCCTTGTCATTTATTCGAAGAAGTAAATAATTTAATTTTATTGTTCTTTGGTTGTTATTTATATCTATTTTCGTTAGGTTTTGCCTCCAACTACTGTGACTTACATGTACCAATTGGGTCCTCACTATATGGGATCGTTTTTAGCCCCGAATTTAAACAACCCAGAAGTGGGACAATTAGTGACTGAAGAAAAAGTCGTGTTTGGATTAAACGCGAAGGCTGTATCTCAATTAACTTTAAACAAAATTCGAAAAGTTTACAGTAGAACCGACAACAAATCTATAGGTAATTTATAAAAATATTTTGATTGTTTTTTTTTTACCCTTAAGAACATTTTGACATTCTGATCACCGCCCATCATTTTTTGTCCACATAAATCTCATGTAACAGCCGATGCGGCATTTAGACATTTTGTGTGACATTTGACGTTTAAAGCCCGAAAAGAACAGTATTAAATAAAAAAAAAACCTTTATAGCCAAGCAGTTGGGTATGTCGAGCCACGAAAGTGCTACCCCTATCAGAATTCTACATAATTCGGCGGGACATTTGGCAGGATCCGCAAGAACGCTAGGAGGGGTCATAATAGGGTATTTAGGAGTTAGAGTATTTTGTGCTCGACCCGTAGCAACAACTATAGATGCTGTGGGAGGATGTGCAGTTCTGTTAGGTAAGTTAACAAATTCCATTAGAGTAGAATTCTTTTAATAAATCGCTGTTGCAGGTCTTATAGCCATGGCCCAAGACGTTGAAAGCCTTTACGCTGGAGTAAAAGCTTTGGTTTGTGTAGTAAAGAGCAATAAAGTCGCCCAAGCCGAGATGGACAGAAAGAGAGGTTATCAAACATTGGCTATGCTGCTTAGAAGAAAGAGGACTTTGTTGAATTCACATATCCTTCATCTTGCATTCAGTTTGGTTGGAACTGTCGATAGCGGAAGAGAATCGTCCGCCATTCCAAATAAAACCGCTTTTCAGGTATGTTACTAACGTCAGCTTCAACTGTTAGATCAGTCAGAACTTATAATTTGTCAATAATTGTCTTTATTAATGATTATGCAGGACTTGCTGTGCGATTTGGAAGTTTGGCACGAGGCTCCAGGTGAACTATTAAGGTCCCATCTGGAGCACCTTTACGAGTTAGCTGCCGAATCGAACGAAAAAAGAAACAATGCTTGGGTGATGCGAGAACTTCAATTGGTAGAAAAATTGCTCCATATTTGTCCCGATGTTAGACATCCTGCCACGAGACAAGTCTTATTCTCCTTACTGAGCGTTCTGCTTAGCAGTCAACCACGTCAGAATGACTTGCTGCTATTTGGACAGTTTATAGCCTCCACTTTGCCTTCAAGCGGTGACGAATTAGAGAAAAATATCGAATTGAGAGAAGGAGACACAGAAAGAGAGGGTGAAGGAGAGCATATTTTGCTGAGGAACAGGTGCTTGGGGTTGTTGCACTCGATGATTTTTTCCAGCAGGAATCATATTGGCGAAGAGATTGTCAAAACGTTGGGTTTTGATTGGTTGTTGCTGTTCATGCAACAAAATTTGCATTACACCACAGTCATTTGGGCTGTAAGGATGTTGGTGGCGATTTGTTCTAGTCCCTCACTCTTATGTCGGTAAGTACATATGTGGTTGTTTGAAAACATGTTTATGACTTGTTAATTACAACCATTTATTGTATTTTCTAATCAAATCAAACTTTGACATTCACTATACTTTGAATTTTCAGTTTTCGAGAAGGCTGCAGCAACGGCGGTTGGCTCCGCTACACTGATCAAGTGTCCCACAACAAAATGGTGGTAGTTTTGGGCTACCAGCTCAACAGTCTTCACTGCAATGATATCAAATCTGAAGCCTTACAAATTCCTGGCTTCAAATTTCTCGGTTGGTTGCTGCCTTACCATCTTGAAATATCGGAAATATATTTTTTGCTGACCGCACTGATGATGGGACAACCTGCCAAATTGTTACCGGGTGAAATGAAGTTCGATTTGGATTCCGTGTGGGCGTTTCTTTGGGGTGGATCTATCAATAATCAGACTATTAACAGCGTTATGCCCAGGATAAATTTGTGTTCGGAGGCTGTCGTCGTTCTGTTAGGGATGACTAAAGCTATGGTACATGCAGAAGAAGACAGTTTACCTGTGTGGTTGCAGAATCATCCAATATCTATTGTACAAGTAAGATTCTATCTAACAAATTGGTTTTACAAATGTTATTAATTCCACGGTATATTTTTCCAGGTCTTATTTCAACTCTATCACAACATGCCAGAATTTATGCCGATTTTTATGTCTTCTGAAGTATTAGGTGCTTTAGCGGGTGTCCTATTTCTTCCAGTTGTTAATAACGGCAGCTTAGAGAGCAGTGGTGCTTCAACTCCAGCAGGTAATATTATTTAAATCTTTTACAAATGTTAATAAAGTGGTTGTAAATTTATTTAAAACCTTTAAAATATTATGTTGAAATAGAAATGATATTTAACGTGTTTATTTTTCTTGCAGGTGAAGATGCTGAAACATTAATTATGATGTCTAAGACTCCAGACGAACAAAGCTTGATCAATCATTCCGTTAGACAGTTCATAGTCGACTTTATAAGAGTAATTGTGGTAGATTCGTTAAGTTTACCTGTCACCGGCAAAAATTCGCCAGTCATCGATTTAGTTTTAGATGCTTATCCAGAAAAATCCAGTGTCAGTCAACAAATTTGTTACCAGACAGAGGTAAGAAGGAAAATCTCTACTAAATTGGTATTAAACAAATACTATTTAATATCTGTCATTTTTAATGTCTAAAAAATATTTTTAAATCTTGTCAATTAAAATGTCTGATTTGGTTTGCAGATAGTCGTAACTTTAATGGATCACCTGTTAGCTGCAGACATGTTGGTAGGGGACCAAGCCGCTATACCAATTGTGCCCTTACCTAGTGCTCATATACAATACGTTGCTCCTAACGTGTTCTACTTAACGGCAAGAATTGTCGACAAATTATGGCAGGGGTGTCTTACGAAAGACCCTCATGAAGTCTTTGATTTTATTGTAAAATTGATTGGTCAAGCTAAAAGAAGAACGGGCAATATCAGTTTGGAAAGCTTGTACCATTGTTTGAATAGGAGCATTCTGTTTTTGTTGAGCAGACCTACTGACAGCATAGCAGATCAAATGTCTGTGTTGGAAGCTCTGCACAAATTGACAACAAATAGGTAATGTCATAGTTCATGGTATGTATCAATTAAAGATAACCTTTATTTAATTTTAGGTTAATAGTATTTGGTGCTGGTAATCATGAACTGGATTTTGTGGGCTGCCTGACTTACTGTCTTTTGCAACTGACAGCTGATATGAAAATTATGTTGGATTCGAATATGAAGACCACTTGGCACGTTAATCCCAGTAGTGACTTGGAATCTAGAGATGAACAACTTAACTGCCACCAGGGTAGAAATTTGATGGCTGGAGCTGCTCTGCGAGTGTGGGAGGAGCTTTACGTTTGCAAAAAACCTGCGATCGAGGAAGTTTTCAAGGTCACAATGGCACAGCCTCATCAGAACTCCAAAGCACCAGATCTTCTTCTGGTCAGAGATCAAGTTTTTGATGCTGCATCAAAACTTTGGTTGAATTATGTAGAAGGCGAGCGAAAGGCTGCTTATAGGGTACCCTTTGAACTGCACAACCAAATACAGTCTAAAATTCATAAAGTAACTGGAGGTCTAACTCGATTAGCAAGCAGGACTAAAGTTAAAAAAGATGAAACCATCAAAGTTACTATCAGAATGGGCAAAAAACAAGCGTTTCAGTGGACGTCTACGCATATTAACCTTTTGAAGTACGTTTTTGAAATGTCACAAATATTTTTGTACTATATTTTAATTATTTTAGAGGTCTGATGGAAATGAGACGCCAGCAACACCAAAATACGTCACAACACACCCAAAGGTACGTCCACCAAGAGTGGCTACAAACCGAAAACGATCTTACTAGGGAGAGAGGACTATGGGGACCCCCGGAACCATCACATTTAGACAAGTGGATGATGGATATGACCGAAGGTCCAAATAGAATGAGAAAAAAGACCATGAAAAATGATTTGTTTTATCTTCACTATCCATATCGGATAGAACAAGAAAAGGGGCTGTTAAAATATAAGGTAATTGCTTAGATTAAAGAGATCGAAGATGTAACATTGCACATAGCGCATGTTGTCTATTCCAACCCTAAGTAATCCACCAATTAAAAATCATTGTGTCCACGACGCCATCCGAATTCCGACATTTCTATTCTATGCTCTACTTGATTATTTGTTGGTATTATTAATTAGCAATTTAAAGTGTTTTAGTTATTCAATTTCAAGTTGAAAATTCCACGATGTATCGTGAAAAATTGTATATACAAATAATATAAGTGCCAGTGTTATAAAAAATAAGAAATATATTCGTTTTCAGCGGTAAATATTTATTAACGTTTTGACATAAAGCCGCCATGATCCTTTGGGCTGAATACTTTAGATCCTTATTAAGGGGTTTCAATAAATATTAAGCATCAAATACATATTTCAGAAAACAGATTTCATAATACTTACATAAATGTACAAAAAGGCAAAATTTTAAAAAGTAGTTTTATAAGAATATTTACTAAAGGTGGATTTTAGATCTTTTTGGTAGATAAATAAAAATTAAAGAAGCATAGTTGCTAGCGAAATGTTTTTATAAGTTATTTTTATGAGAATATTAGATGAAATACAGGATGACCTACTTAAAATTTCAAGGTTCATCTTATTTGCCGTCAAATCGGAAGCGACCGATAGGGGTTACAAAAATTATCGGGTTATCGATTATCCTTTTATTTTTTATGAAAATCGATTTATAATTAATCGATTATTTTCGATTAATCGAACATTTTCAATAAATTATTTTCGTTTTTTTTAAGAAAATGGAATAATCGATTTTAAAAGAAATACAAAAAGAAAGTAGATTGATTGAAAATAATCAATTTTTTTTAAATCAATTTATTGTTTAATCGGTTTTTTTAATCAATCAATTATTTTCGATTAATCGAATATTTTCTAAAATCGATCATTTTCGATTTTTCAAAGGTATTTTAATTTATTTTAGAGCAAATACGAAAAAAATAGATTATATGAAAATAATCCATTGATTGAATATAATCTGTTATTTTATATAATTGATTATTTTGTGATTTATCGATTGTTTTTCAATTTACCGATTATTTTTGATTTTTCAAACATCGAATAATCAATTTTAACGGAAATATGAAAAAAAGATTATTTGATAATAATCGATTGATCGAAAATAATCGATTATTTAAAATAATCCATAATTTTTTTTTAATCTCTAATTTTTATCATTGATGACTGATCTTTCACTGGACGCATAGAATTATACAAAATAAAAGTATTGACAATGAGTGTCCCACAAATTATTTCAATGGCCAATTTTTGGAACCAAACCAAAGACTTTCGAAGACTAGATATTTGGTCAGAGATGTCTACCTCTTGCTTTTCCTTGTTATACTCTATTATAGCTAAGGGTTTGATTTTATCTTTCTCTTCATTTCTTTTTTTCCCATAAACTTTCATTTGATGCTCATGGCATGTGGAAAGCATATGGACATCACGTTGATCCTGCCACTTGAAGAATGTTATAAAATTATTTTGTTTGGCAATTATCTGTTCTTTTTTTTAGTTTGCAGTTGACTACATCTTTGGGCAGGCCTATTCTATTTTTTCTCACAAATTTGTTTTCCTCTTGTAGAGGTATTTGGCAAGTTCAATGCTTGTATAATAATTTTCAGTTATAACCAATCTTTAACAAGTGATCAACTAGTTCAACAACTGTACTACCAGGAAGATCTAGTCCTTGGCGTCTTTCATTTTGTCCACTGTAAATTTTTAGATCCCAAGTGTATTTAAGTGGAGAGCACACTTTGAATAGTTTGATACCATATCTATGGGCTTTTGATGGATTATACTGACGAAACTTCAGACGACCTCTGAAAGGAACCATGGTTTCGTCCACAACAACTGTATCACCAAGAGAATGTGCATTTTTAGGTTATTTTTATCAAGATAGACAGATAGATTTTCCGCGATATCTTCTAACTCTCTTTGAATTAGTTTACGTTTCATTCCGGACATGGCCGTGTTTTTAGGAGGAAACACTTTCAACTGAGTAACACAACACACCTGTTTGCACGCTCGAGAAAGACTACCAAACAATATTGGCGGACTGAAATACAAAACACGTGCTGATTGCGAAACGTTGCCAAATATTCAATGTTTTATTTTACGACCCACATATAGGTCGTAGGTCGTACATCTAAATTATCACAGAGTCCTGCGAACCACATATGGGGCATACAAATTTAAGTGGGGACGTGTAACGGTTTGCAGAAAAATACCATTAGGACAGTGAACGTGTTAAACAAAGTCCGTCCCTATCACAGAGTTCGGGTCTCCGCCCAGTTCCTCCACTCCGTTAACCTTCCTTTAGAAATTGGCAACATTTGCGCAGGTTAAACACCGGTGTATGTTATTTCTTTGGTCTCTTTTATCTAAGGGTAATTGTAATTATTACATACTGATTGGAAATATTCGTCGTTTCGACTCTGCATGTTTCAAGATGATTCAAATGCTCTGTTTTGATAAAATATAATTATGGAAATATAGTAATTCTAGTACTAAAAATCCGAACAATTTCTTTCTATATAATTTTACAGGTAATTTTTTGTTAGGAATTGGCAAGCCTTTCAAGCAACAACTGACATTAGCGAATATATCTACAAGCACATCTGCACGTGAAGCATATTAATTTGAAATGCACCTTTTAGAGAGCTGTTAAACATTAATTTAATCATTGATATACTTTTAATCAGTGGTTGGTATATTTGGATTAAATCTTTTATAATAGATTAAATAAATGCACCTTTCATGTAGTTTATTATAACAAGTATAGATAATAATGTATATGGTAGCATAAAGCATAAAATATGAGTATTTTTAACTTTAGTACGAAAAAGGAGGCAACATTAAAGATAGCAAGCAAGGTTTTTATATTTTGATAAGGAGCACTTTTCCATTACTTTATCTTTAAATTCATTTGGATTTTACATCCTATTTTAATATAGGTGTTCTCTTTCCCTTGAGGGGATTAAATTGTATTTTAATTTTTAGGTGGCTCTGAGCAATCACAGCAAAGAATACTACAACTCAATCCAAAAGCGTAAACACCTAGGTATGAGTGGCATGATGGAAACAGAAAGATCTGATAGTGTCGTTGAGGAACCATCACCTCTACCTTTCGCCCCTGCTCTTTCCCAGCTAGCTAGGTTGAGGTCAGATCCCGAGGATCAACAGGAGGAAGGCGATGGGGAAGATGAGCATTCAGTGCAGCCCGACAATCAGACCTTAATGAGATTACTGGAAGCCAACGAAAAGGTTGTACATTGAGGTTATGTCGGTTTTAAATTGTTGCTAATTAAGTTGTTTAAATTTTCAGATTACTTTCATGTTTCGATGCGCTAGAATTCAAGGATTAGACACCACGGAAGGCCTTTTACTCTTCGGTCAAGAGCATTGTTACGTGGTAGATGGTTTTACGTTGCTTAAAAATCGTGAAATACGGGATATCGATAGTGTACCAATGAACGCCAACGAATACGAACCGATTGTACCTAATCCTGGATCGCCTAGGCGATCCAGAGCAATGAGACAGTGTTCGAAGTTTTCTTATGATGATATTAGGTAAGATAAATAACTATTTACATCTTTTATAACAGTGTTATGTCAATAATATTGATATGAAAATCTCAAATCCTTAGCCCAAGGTCAAACTCTCGAAAGCATAATAAGTGCCAAATTCCAATAATATGAATACATTTCTAAATTTCCTTCATAACTTTCCTCTTTATACAAATACAGTCCTGACAAACACAAAAATCCCTCTTACAATTCCCAATTAATTTCCTTGACAATCTCAAAATTAGTCAAATAACTTTTGCTTAAAATTTGATTTTTGGAAACTTCACCACTTCAGCATAGTTCAGTTTTGACAAATTTTGGTCGTTGTTGCTAGTTCATTCTTGTCACTTGTCAGTAACTATCACTGTCATTTGTTAACAAATATTTGAACTGATGAGTTTTGATTAAAATTTGGTGGTCCGTTTTTAGAGAAGTTCACAAAAGACGATATTTGCTTCAACCGATGGCCCTAGAGGTGTTTTCTGGGGACGGTAGGAATTATTTGTTAGCGTTTCCGAGAAAAATTAGAAACAAAGTGTACCAAAGGTTTATGTCGACGGCCACTGGGATAGCGGATAGTGCTCAACAATCTGTAGCTGGTCAGAAACGTACGGCGAACGTTGAACAAGCCACAGGTTTGTTGAGTAATCTGATCGGGGAGACTAGCGTGACACAGAGATGGGTGGTAAGTAACTCAGATTAAGAAACATTTGACCTTCTACAAATTATTTTGGTGTGTTATAGAGAGGTGAAATATCGAATTTCCAGTATTTGATGTACCTGAATACATTGGCAGGAAGATCTTATAATGATCTCATGCAATATCCAGTATTTCCTTGGATTTTAGCAGATTATGATTCCGAAGAACTGGATTTAACTGATCCCAGTACTTTTAGAGATTTTACTAGACCAATGGGAGCACAAAGTCCCGATAGGCTGGAACAGTTTAAAAAAAGATTCAAAGTAAATTTTACATTAAATTTTTAAGCATATATCGTTTGTACCACAATTTTTTTTTTTTTTTAGGAATGGGACGATCCCCATGGCGAAACTCCCCCCTACCACTTCGGTACTCACTATTCCAGCGCCATGATAGTGTGTTCTTATTTAGTGAGATTGGAGCCATTCACGCAGCATTTCTTACGCTTACAGGGTGGCCATTTCGATTTGGCCGACCGCATGTTCCATTCCGTCAAGGAGGCCTGGCTATCCGCCTCCAAACACAACATGGCCGACGTCAAAGAACTGATACCAGAATTTTTCTACTTGGACGAGTTTTTGATGAACTCAAATCAATTCGATCTAGGTAGGGACTTTTTTATGTTGATTGTCAATGTTTTACGCTTAATAAAATGCCATTCAGTTTCTTTTTAAATCCTATGAAAGTCAAATAGCATAGTAGAATAGTTTCCAACTTAAAAATCGGGACTGAAGGTATGGAGACAATCACCTTTCTTTTTCGATGATATTTCTCTTCCATTTGAGTTGAGAGCGACCTCGGTTGTTTATTTTATTAGTTTTGTTTTACTTTTTAGTAGATTACTAATAAGCGCCGGAGTTTAATTTGGGCATTTTTAAGTGAAGATGGCGTGACTGTTCGTACTTTATCTGAGCGTTAACACATGTTCAGGTATTGTTTGAATAGTCATAATATCTTCAGAGTAGATTAGAGATTCTACTTGATCTGATTACTTCTCACCTGATGAGCCCCAAATAGGGCGAAATCGGTCGTGGAATGTTAGCTCCTTAAATTCCAAAATCAAAGAATTTGTCAAATTTTCATTTAAAAAGAAATTGAAGTGTTTTTTTAATGAAATAGATTTAACGATTGTTTTGTAGGTGTTAAACAAAATGGAGTGAGTTTGGGGAACGTTGTTCTGCCTGCATGGGCTAAACAGGATACTAGGGAGTTTATAAGAGTTCATAGACAGGCTTTAGAATGCGATTTCGTATCATTAAATCTGCACCATTGGATCGACTTGATTTTCGGTTATAAACAGCAGGGTCAGCCCGCAGTTGATTCCGTTAACGTTTTTCACCATCTTTTTTACGAAGGAAATGTTGATATTTATAAGTAGGTCGATTTATTTAAGCGCAAATATATCAAACTAAACACAATACTTCTTTCAGCATTGATGATCCCTTAAAGAAGAACGCCACTATCGGATTCATCAACAATTTTGGCCAAATTCCGAAACAGCTGTTTAAAAAACCGCATCCTTGCAAAAAGATGTATGGAAGCAACAACAGGACCTCCGTCATCGACACGGGAAGTTTAGTGCAGGCTTTTACCCTTCCTCCACCGGAAAAATTGTTTTTCCATCATTTGGACAATCTAAGACCTTCTTTGCAACCCATTAAAGGTATTTCTTAATGTGTATATTATAATTTTAGGGCGTTTTATTAGAAATTGTTACTGCCATTTTAATAAGTACAATATTTGAAAACTGAAAAGGTGCCTCCATTTTTTTACTGGTACAAGTTTTTATTACATTTATTTTTACTAAAGTATATTGAACTATCTCCAAAACGTTATGATTGAAAAACCAACTATAGAACTATTCTTTTTTGAGAGATAAAAACATTCAAAGAGAATTTGACTATAAGTAGAGTTCCTGTAGGTAAATTTTAAAATCAACGTTTCGCGTTATAATCAAGATTATTTTTTTTAATACAACTCTTTTCTATTCTTCATAGTTATTACTTCCTCATTTATTGTTTGCAGAAGTGAAAAGCCCCGTAGGTCAAATTCTGCACGTGGATCGTTCGGTGCTGGCTGTAGAACAGAATAAGGTCTTGATGCCGCCAAGTTTCAATAGATACGTGGCGTGGGGGTTCGCTGATCATTCTCTTCGCATAGGCAACTACGAAAGCGACAAAGCAGTGTTTGTGTCCGAAAGTGTTGTACAGAATAACGGAGAAATTTTGGCTTGCGTCTGCCCGTCTCCTAAATCGATCGTTACAGCGGGAACTAGTTCGGTAAGTTTGCATTTTATTAGTACACACTATACCTAGATGTACTTTTTTCACGCAAGATGGTATTTAGGAGGTCTATGTAATGTATTATTTATTCCAGCCTAAAATTCGACAACAAATACCCAAAACGTCTCTCTGTGCCTTACATTATTATTAACACATTTCCCGTACACTATGGTCTATACTGTAACGATTCCTATTCTGTCAATATTTAAACTCCTTTAAAATTGTCCATTAAAAATTATCATAAAATTATCATTTTTAAAAGTTCCTTAAAATGCATCTTTAATTTTTGACAGAAAGTTAATTGACATTTTATGATATAATTGGAGAAGTTTTGATTGAAGAATCACTGGAAAATGAAAAAAGGTGGGAAGAACAGAACATTTTTAATGCAAAGCATTTATTATTTCAGATCATCATATAGGGAAATGTCACATATGAATGTAGACCCTTCCCTAGATCACCTGAGTGTATTAAGTTTTCATAACTATGCTACAACAAAGGCACATATAGAAACACGGTTGCTTCAGAGACACCTCCAAAACTAAGTCGATTTTCATTTAATTTTCTACCTCTATATATCTAACGTTTTATTTCAGGTAGCTCTTTTCACACGTCCTTTTTTAAAACTTTAATATAACAGTTATTTCATCTCTAAATCTTAATAATTAGTTGTTTGTTCATAAACTTCCTGAATACAATCTTGCCTGACTTACGGCACCGAGTATAATTTCAATTAAATATTTTTTCTATATTTTTCAGGTCGTGACTGTATGGGAATACGAAGCTCGTAAGAAATCGCTGTCAATAAAACACAGCTTGTACGGTCATACCGACGCCATAACTTGTCTAGCTACGAGTCCAGCTTACAACGTCATTATATCCGGATCTAGAGACTCGTCGGCTATAATTTGGGATCTATCCAGAGGCGTTTTCGTCAGACAACTAAGAGGCCATGCCGGACCTGTGGCTGCAGTAGCTGTCAACGATTTGACGGGAGACATTGCGACTTGTGCTGCTACCTGGTAAAAAAATACAATATTTAAAATGATCCTAGGTGCGCAGTAGCATATTTGTTTCTTCTTCGGTTTATTTAATTTAAGCTCATAATGCATAAGAAATCAATCTGTCAAATGTGATAGGTAATTCAAGATATTTGATATTGTTGTTGGAAGCATCAGGTCTCAAATGAACAAAAAAAAAAATAGATAGGTAAAGGACTATTTTAACACAAGCTTTGTTTGAAGCCAACATAAATAAACGTTCAATAGTTTAGTTCTCCAGTATCATATGAAGTAGATTTTTCATCAGAATCCAAAGATTGTTTTTTAAATATTTTATAAAGGACGGATTTAAAGGTAAATGCAATTCTAACGTAAAATATTCTGGATTGCCACCTTCTGTTACTTTACTGAGGTAATCTGACTTTTTGTTCCATATTAGCAACCCGCCAGTAAAAATCTTCCAACATGTTTTTGGGTGTAATTGTTTAAAAATTTCTTTAATTAGGTAATGTACCAAAACTAATATTTTTTAAATATAAAAGTAACATAACGGAAACGCCTATGGTTTTTACTTACCTATGAAACAAAATGTAACTCCGCTGAAAACACTCCAGAAACTCTAAAATCTTTAAAAAACGCTCCGAAAATAAAAAAATAAGAAAATTACAAGCAATACTGAAAATTTTCGAACTACTTTTTGACAATTTTGATGAAATTTGCTTTAAAAATGGACGAATCACATTAAGGAACCAAAAGAAGGTAAATCTTGGTTTGAAACAAAGCCTGACCTACTTCTTTTGTTTATCTAAGGTATCAAGATATTGCAGCTGTCACAATGTTTGACAAATCATATTTTAAATTCCCTTACTTTTTTAGGTTGCATGTGTGGAGCATAAACGGCGACGACCTGGCCAGCGTAAACACTTGTGTAGGTTCAGCTGACAGAATGCAACAAATTTTGTGCGTCGCATTTTCTCAAACGCACGAATGGGATTCTCAAAACGTCATTATGACGGGATCAACAGATGGAGTTACAAGGGTAGGGCTTTGACGTAATAAATCTTTTAAGCACTCATTCTAATATTTTTTTAGATGTGGTCAGTAGATTATGTTCAAGTGCCAGACGATCAAGTTCCCAACCCCATAAATACAAAATCGGAACCTCCAAAATCGCCGAAGAGTCCAAAACTTAACGAAAGTGTCAGTAGGCCATCTTCCATTCATCATAAGCTTGTCAAACAAATCAATGTATCAAGCATTTCATCTCTAGGTAAGTAAATTACTTTATACACTAAATTAGTGATGATGTAATTTTGGTTCCACTGACAGTTATGGTGACAGTGTATATTTGATGCATGTTATCTACTTACTTTAGGAATATATTTATAAAATTGAAGGAACGATATAATTTAGGTAAACAAAACAAACAAAACGCACTCAAAAAATCTACTGTCAGTTTAATTGGAACCATAATTACATCATCACTGAACTAGGGCATTTAGACTAAAAATAATAAAACTGTCACGGTAATATGGCGTATTGTCCATTATCGCTGTTGTCAATTGTTATTTGTCACTACTATCAATATTGTCTACTTTGTAGGAAATTCTGGCAGCAGTTTGATGAAGTCGGGCTCTGAAAGCAGCTTGTCCGAAGAAAATACCAGAAGAACTTCCATTGACAGACAAATAAGTAATGAAAGTAGTACAAAAGAATGGAGGAGCGAGCAGCAAGATGAAAAAGAAACTTGTAGCGATACCGAGGAATCTTCCATGCCACCTGTGGCTCCAGTCAGAAGGAGAAGGTCGCGAGTACACGGAGGTTTTATTAGAAAAAGTGAAGGTAAATTGAAGATGGTTTTAAATATTAATGTCTATCGCATGTAACTGTTTTTAGGTGGTAACAGTGCTGAAAATCCGAGTTTGGATATAGATGATGGATCCGGTTTGCGAACCAGTAAATCGGACACCAGTTTGACGGATTCCTTTGTGATGATTGCAGAGAATAAGAAAAAATCACCGAATCCAATGAATACTTTAAGACCAGGTAATTATTGTAGTGAGAATATAATTCCTGTATCTCACAGTATTGTATTATTATTGTGTGAAGCAAATCAGTATTTGTCAGTTATAATTGCTGTCTTTATACTCATTAGTGGTTCTTTTTGCTCATAACTTCATTTTCAGGATTCAAATGGCAAAGACAGCTCGTGTTTAGAAGTAAACTGACCATGCATACAGCTTATGATAGAAAGGATAATGCAGAACCAGCATCAGTTACTGCCCTAGCTGTATCAAAGTGAGTTTTTATTAGTGTTACAAAAAATTCAATAACATTTTGCAAAATAGAATTTTAATATGTAGAGTCTTTCAAATTAAAATGCACATACGTTTACTGAAGGTGTGGGACACTTTGATGACTCACAATCACCCATTAATAATGGGTGTAGCATGTCTCATTACCTAAAGACAGAATGTATAGCAAAATTAATGCCTGGGAAACTGTAATTAAAATCTAGGTAAGGCTTAACAAAATTTGGTTTAGTTTAGGTTTTTTCAAATTTGCCCATTTCCTTTTAGAGGTTCTAAAACTGCATAGAAGTCATTAGAATAAAAAAAAACTCAAAAATAAGAAACGAACAATAATTTATTCAAAATTCTATTCAATACGGTCCTGTCTAAGTTTTAGGAACTTCCTCGATAAAATTTAAAATGTATGTTCTAAACGCATGTCATGTCTATGTGTCCTCCATGATGTTCTAGCAAATCACCCATAATCCTAGCACGTTGAGCCAGTTTAATGAAAGTTCTAGAACTAGGATGGACTCGCAAGGGAAAGCGGCACTCGCCATAAGCAAAATATTCGCAAGTTCTGTGTCATAATTTATTGTACTAAACAATTTAAATTCACACTTCAGATAAATACATAACTGAATTACAATAACGGGTACACAATAGCATGATTCATAAGAAAAATCCGAAAGAAAAAGGTAAAAAGATAAAAAAATAGTCAGACTTCTCATGTAATTTAACTTTTCATACACAAGTCCAGGTCCGAATTTAGATTTTTTGTTTTTTGAAAAATATGTTTATTTTTACGACTTCTATGCACAAATAAAAACGTATCAAATTAGGATTCACCCTGTATAATGAGGCAATTAAGGATAAAAAAATTATTTAGAATTAAAAAAAAATAGGTAGTTTAACAGGAGGATTTAATTACAAACATAATAACTCATATAGTTAATTCAGAACCTTTAAAAAAATACATGTGCCACTCAGGGACTGCCGCGGTAAAGCTATTGCATAGCATTTTTTTATCAACTTATGCAATTATAATTATTTATTTATTTTATTTATGCAGTATTTTTTTTTCTTTGATATTAATTCAAGTTACACTTTTTGAGCGTGGTGACCGATAAGAAAACAATTTTTTTCTTTTATTGAATAAATGAGAAGTTAATATTGTTTAAAATATTTTTATTATCTTACAATACGTGTAGGTTATTCAGGAATTTTTTTTCATTGAAACTATAGGTTTATAGTAACTGAAATAAGAAACATAAGTTTGAGACTTGATATCCTCTAAATATCTGGAAAATACCGCGTCAATGGTGATCCCATATTTTGTTGTGGATTCTTATGGATCATTATTCATTTTCAAATTCAATTTTTCCGAAATTGTGTCTAAAAGAGATAGAATCAGTTATGAGCAGTTAGCAGCTAGTCTACACGCATACATCTAGTCGCACGCACACAAACACCGTGCTGAAGTCTGCCGAACTGAAACGACGTTAGACGATGCACGACTTTCAACGCCGCACCGCTGTGCCGGTCGGAATGGGGCGTGTTAGGTTTATTTTCGTTACGGAATTTGTTTTTCGATTTTACGATTTTCTTTTATTGAATAAATGAGAAGTTAATATTGTTTAACGCCGCACCGCTGTGTCGGTCGTAGTGGGGGGTGTTAGGTTTTTTTTTCGTTACGGACGTTACGGAATTTCTTGATTCGGTCGCCGCGCTCAAAGCCCGCGATAAAAGCTATGCAATAGCTTAAAAAATAGAAAATTAATTTTATTTCGAAAATAAAACTAGTAGGGTACAGCTCCTAAAAATTAATATTAACTCCAAGTTTTTTCTTTCTAAATACAATAATTAAGTGTTTCAATGCAACATTTCGCCTTAGCCCCATTAAAACTAAACGTCATAAACCTTGGACAACTAATGGAATAAGAAACTCGTGTAAAAATATGAGATCTCTTATGTATGCTAAAAAAAACAGATAATCCGCTAATATTAAAACTATATCAACAACTATAGAATATTGTATCGGAAAATTATCTAATCTGCTAGGAAAAAATATTACAAAAATCGCATCCAAAGAGCTAAAAACTCCTCCAAAGAAACCTGGTCTATTATAAATGATTTAAGAAAAAACCCGTTCTTCAAACAATGTAAATCCTAGTCCAGATGAACCAAACAATTATTTTGTAAATATAATTAAGAATATCAATTCTAACATAGCTCCATGTCAGGATGATCTCTCCTTCCTATTACCTACTAAAATGGTTAGGGATGGTTTCTATAAACAAACTATTTCTAAAGTAATATGGATATATTGTTGAGTTTTGGTCAAATAAAAATTCAAACGAAATCCATAAAACATCTTATACCTAGGTTATTGGATATGCTAGGCCCATTAATAATGAAATTAATGGGTGATTTCGAATCACCAAACCTACAGTTAACGAATAATATACACTTCACCCTTTATACAAAGCAAAACAACTAAACAAATAAAAAAATGATTGGTATAACCAAAAATAAAACCTTTTCAATTTGTAGGGATCATCGAAGCGTGTACGTAGGCGACACTAGAGGGCGCGTGTTCTCTTGGAGCGTGTGCGACATTCCTGGCAGAGCGGCTGATCATTGGCTTAAAGACGAAGGCGCCGATTACTGCGCATCTTGTAGCATCAAATTCAACATTTACGAGCGCAAACACCATTGCCGGAATTGCGGACAGGTGTTCTGTTCGAAATGCAGTCGATTTGAATGCGAAATATCGCGACTTAGAATCCTGAAACCCGTCAGGGTGTGTCAGACTTGTTACGCAGCACTGAAAGTCGATAAGTCTTAAACATATATTATATTTGTAGACGTGATTAATTACCCATGGCTGCCCTTACTGGTCTCTAAAATAATACATTTTAGTAAATACCGATCAAATTATAACTCTGTGTCAAAGTTGTCGTTTGTTTTTCGACTTTTGACGTACGTCAAAAATCCCTCATGACAAAAGACAAGTAGTAATAGGTTTAGCACTATTTTCGTACGTTAATTTTTGACTTATGTCGAGATAAATACACCAATAATTGTGACAAGCGGCAAGTAGTTTTATAGGTATATTTAATGTTTGTAATAGCGTTTTTTGGGTAGTCATAGGGATTTCGATCATACTTTCTCCATCCATCGCATTGCAACACTCAAAAGTAGCGAATACGTTTCCGCAGATCTTATTCTAGAATTATGAAGAATAATCCATATTATATTAAATTTCATGTGGGATGTTTCAAAGTTGTTTAACCAAACTAGTAGTAAATAATAAATAAAAACATTATAGAGTTGTGAATTTAGGGTGACCAGATTTATTTGCAGAAAAGTAGGACAACCAGGACAAAAAGCCTGATTTTTAATAAAAAAAACCTGACATTTAACAAATATATTTAAATAAAAAAATGTAACAATTTCTACTTAGGTAAAAACTACTTATACTTTTCAGAAGAACCAATTTCTTTTAAAATATTGGGATTGTCCATAAAATAATTATAATATTCCTCACAAGACGTTTTTAAATTAAATTTTAATATTATGAGGCTTTTTATTGATTCGACAGATAGATAAACGGTTTCTTTCTTTGGTCCACTGCGCACTTGCCAGCTTGAGAAAGTCGGAACCAGGAATAATGATAATGTGCGTTTCTAGTTATTTAGAATTTTCGATTGATAAAAAGCCGGACACGACAAAAAGCCGGCCTGACGTTTTCATTTAAGCGAAAAAGCCGGACATGTCCGGCTTTATCCTGACGTCTGGTCACCCTAGTGAATTATAAAAGTAATTTCGTTCAGTAGATGAATAATGGGGGAACAAAATGCACAGGTCCTATAGGGTTTCTCTAAAAGTTAAAGATCCAAGTAAATTCAATATTCCAGAGTGTTATAACACATTTTTATCACACTCTTAGTATATGCTATAATAATAATTTCATATTAATTAATATTAGTTTGTCCGATAATATAAGCAGGTACATTTGGAATATTTGTATAAGTACTAGTTGAAAATGAAAATAAAAAATCTTTTGAACCTTTTCAGTGAGTAAATTATTTTAAAAGTATCACGTTTATTGTTATTTTTGGTTTCACTGTTTTGAAACATCCTGAATAAGTTTTATCAATTGTAATTTTCCAATAAATCCAGGAAAATGTTATTTTAAAATTAAGTACGCGGATCGGTGATATTTTTAACGAGGAACATTTTAAAATAATTGTATATTTATTGGCTTTCGTATCCAAATGTGGTACTTTCTCGTTTAAAAATGCCGTTCCGAGTAGTTTGTTAAATTTAATCATATAAAAAAAAACATACTTACCAAATGTAATTTTTGTAGTGCAAAGAATTGTCGATCGTATTTTTTTGTGTATATTTTTTAAGGTTGTTTTTTTTAAATTTTTTAAAATATTTATTGTGCGTCTGATCTAATTTTAATGCTTAACAGCAATATATTCTTGGCTATACCATACTTTTTTCTACATTTCATATATTTTTAAGTGTTTTTATTATTTTATATTTTATTTATATGTGATTCTAAATCACACATTTATTTTTACACTTGTTATAACACCAATTTGTTAAATAATTTTATTAAACAAAATTAATTTAGAAAATTCCGAGCATTCAAAATAATTTTTAAGAAAAAAGTAAATTTTAAATATAGATTACCAAATTATTTTGCATGCATCAAATTTTTGTGGACACTGTATACATGTAAAAAAATCAACTCTTTATCCCAGTCTTAATAAAACTTGAAATTGTAGAATGCCATGAAAATTCATCTACTTAAAAAATATTAATAGATAACTAGTTGATTTTTATAAATTTTTATTTTTATAGTGAAAGTATTATTTTAAACAGAGCAATATATTATACATACTACTAGAACAATATATGTTGCCTGATGATTTTTTTGTGAAACAATGTAGAAAAGCTTGTGCAGGTGTGAAATACATAGTATTAACAATACAACACTCAAAACTGAACAATTTACAAATAAACTTAACTGTCATCCGTCATGATTGTCAAATAGTTGACGTCTATTGCCGAGTGTTTGATGTCTACCAGGCGTGTGACATGTATACGTAAATAAAATGATATATTACTAAATTGTGGATGATTTTATCAATTTAGTGTGGTATTGTTGATTCTGTTGAAAACGTTGATATTATTTTTGTATCCATTTGTGGTCTGACTGTCATAAGAATTTAGAAAGATGTGCACAAGCATCTGTAGACAATATACATGTGCATTATTGTGCATTCCAAGATATATTTCTGTATATTTGATAAATATATGTGATATTGTAGATTCGGTAGGTCCATATAGTGTAAATAATATGATTTGTCCTAAAATGATTATATAAATAAAGGTTATGAATCCCTTAAAATTTTTTTTATTTTTTATCATGTTTTTATTTATTTAAACTCAACTTTTAAAAATATATTATCAATTATCTAAATGAACGTATGAAGCTTCACGGTCCAACAGGGAAATATTGTAGAACATGATAAATTATTATTTTAATTCTAAAACTAATTTTTTTTATGAATTGCTTATTATTTTAATTCAAAAACTCATTTTTTGCGATTTGCTTATTTAATATCTGAAACAGAATTTTTTTAAATAATAGGAATGAAAATAAGCTTATATAATAGGATTAATATATCATACTTACCCCATCAGGTGGAAAACAAATCTCGTATCACCCATTACATTCACCCCATTAATCGGGATTTTACACACAATCACAAATATCTCATATATATGTAATTGAAAAATGGATTTACTGACCATTTTCCACATATATGTAGCTCTTTTCAAATACATGACATTCACACCAAACACATAGTCGTGTGTGGTCAAATAAATGGCCGATTATTTATATTGAGTCATATAATAACACAAGGTGGGCCAGACTGTCGTAAGAACATTTTAAAATGCACAAATTGTTTATGTAAAATCTGCTTGAAAATTTGATAGCAATTGTACGAACAATTTCTCTTTGAAAAATATGTTTTTTTTAAAGAAATGTTTTGTTTTATCACTGCACGAAACTCGTTTGTATTTATAAGTGATTATATTAAATACTCCATTAAAAGGCGCGAAGTAAAATTTTGAACTGACTGGTGTTAATGTTTATTTCAAACTCCGAGCACTTAATTCCACAAAACATAAAAAAAATTTTGGACATTTATTAAAAGTTTGCAGTGAGAGTACGTATTGCCTAATTTAATGAAGTACGGAAACTATGAACTCGGTGATCCTGAAGAAATTGCAAACGCCTTTGCATCTTATTTCCATACGTGCTATTCTAAAGACGACAAACCGAAAAATTTGAACTTCCCGCTGTGCCATTTTCTTCCACTTTAGCCATACACACTTTCACTCCTTGTGAAGTATTTTCTAAAATAAAAAGTCTTGACTCTTAGTAAAATTGCAGGCCCTGATGGGTACCACCGTCGTTCTTGAAGGGGTGCTGTGACTTCTTGTCAATCCCACTTAGCCAAATTTTCCAAAAATCATTTGATAGTGGAATATTTCCATCTGCTTGGAAGTTTTTCCTCCTTGTGCCAGTTTACAAGAATGGTGATAAAAGCGATATAAAGAATTATAGAGGTATTTCCATTATCTCGATAATTCCAAATCTATTTGAATCCATACTAACAGATGAAATGTTTTACATGTATAAGAACTATATCTCACCTCAACAACATGGCTTCTATCAAGGTCGCTCGACATCAACTAATCTGGCAATCTATCAAGACTTCTTAATTTCTTCAATTGAAAGTGGTTACCAGGTTGACACCATCTACACCGATCTGTCAAAAGCTTTTGACAGTGTCTGTCATGAATTGCTACTCAAGAAATGTTCCGAAATCGGTATCCTGGTTCTTATTTTTACTGGATTAAAAATTATTTGAGAAATCGGTGTCAACGTGTCATAGTGCATAATTCCGTATCATGAGACGTTTCAGTCCTATCCGGTTTCCCTCAAGGTTCACATATAGGTCCCCAATTGTTTTCCTTATTCTTAATAAGCCAGCCAGCTATAAATTTTGAAAGATCCACAATCCTACTTCTTAACTGTTACAGTATTGACAGCGTCAACCTAGATAGTTCCTCGACAGTTATATCTGGGCATTATTTTTGATACAATATATTTTAACAACTATATAGATTCCATAGTATGCAAAGCCCTCAGAATGCTTGGCTTCATCAAGAGACATACTAGGTACGTGAATGACACAAAAGCAATCATGACACTTTACAATGGCCTGGTGAGAAGTGTCCTGGAATACTGTTCTATTATTTGGCAACCTACTAACACCTGTCATATCAATAGAATTGAAAGGGTGCAATGTAAATTCGTAAAATACCTGCTCTTTAAACATCGATTTCATAGCCATAACACATGTTAACAAATAAGATTACTGCTTTGCAGCATGCAGAGCCTGTAATGCAGAAGAAAACAGGCTTTATTCCTATTCCTGGGTAAATTAATAGGTGGTTTTATCAAGTGCGGGTCACTGCTTGAGAAAGTTCAACTATTGGTTTCTGCCCGACGGACTCGGTACCACATCACTTTTGAATGTAAAAAGACAGAACCAATTACGGACAAAGTGCATTTATTGATCGCTTATGCAAGAACTATATCAAATTTTACTCGAACTGTGATATATTTAATTGTAATATTTTGGCGCTGAAAAGGGACTTGTAACTCCTAAATGTGTAAGTTTTACTCGTATCGTCCCGCGGTGTCGTTATTCGTCCTTTTTTTAAAAAAATTATAACTCCTACAATTGTTTGTGTTAGGTTAGATATACTGTACTATTTGGAATTTTACATTCTGTAGGTGCTACATAAAAAAATAAAAAAAGAACATTAAATAGTTTACTTAGATCAATAGTAACTGTGTACGTCTATATATAATCTGCTTGAAAATTTGACAGTAGAACGAAAAATTCCATGCGTCAGGTTTTTCTTCGCCAACTGTTATATAGAAACCTCAATCTAGCCAGGACTTCACACTGGCACAGGACGTAGATTGACGTTTCCTCTTATTCTTCACAGAACCTGTACAATATCGCTTCTTCTGCTGGATTGATGACACTCATGTACCTTCTTGGGTGACAATGTCTTGGCCTTATCTGAGCCCTCTCGGGGTAGTTCGTTGGTCTATTCGATACTCTGATTTCTCTCGTGGCCTGGCACCCAGGCTAGCGTCACTTTGTTTTGACAACTTAGTTGTCAGGTTTTCTAGGCAGTCTTCCACCAGTCGTGATTTGATTTGGTGAGAGAATTGCCTTTACAACTGCTTGGCTATCAGAGTAGATGGAAATAGAATCGATACTTTGGTTCCGATACTCTTTTCGATACCGGTATCGATACTTTACTGGTATAGCAACATCCCTAGGATCAGCCTGTATGGAAGATCCCTTTTAAATTTATATGTGGTCATCAGTAGGCATTTCTAGAATCTTACATTTTACTTGCTGGTATAGCCTCGTATGATCAGCGAACTTTTATACTAGATATTTTATGATTTACTGGAAATCTGGACTTCGGAGACCGTTATTTCGACAGTGTCCAAACTGAAACTCGCCAGTGTATGTTAAATCTATCTCTTTAATTTAGCTTAATAATGAACAAACAAGTGATCGCGGAGAGTATATTAGGTGGCGCTGCGATCTTAATTTTGGATCTAGAAAAAAAATACTCAATGAAAAAAGTATGTTTCTTTCGATGCAAACCAATCTATATTAAATAAAACAAGTATCAATTTGTATATTTATGTATTTGCAGAACACCTTTTCGTATATAGTACAAAAATTATTTTCTATAATACAATTTTCATCATAATATATGGAATCAGTATAAGGCACGTTAAATGGTAAAAATACAGTAAGGAGACGATTTTTTTTCTCTTAACAAATAAAAAAAAATATCAATAAATTACTTAAAATACAAATATAAGTACGAAAATTGACTAAAAATTAAATAGTTTATAAGTAACTTAAAATACAAGACGGGTAATATTTTCGTACACACCCCGTATACCTAAATGAGCAAATCAAATAAAAATACGCTTACTTCATACATACTTACACAAAGATAAGATGTTTATAAAACTCGAGTTTGATTCTATCATTTGAAATATCTGTACATAAAATCGATTTTTTATAAACATCATATACCAGTGGCGTAGCCAGCCATTTTTCATGGTAGGGGTTTTTGAGAACTATTGGGGGGGGGGGGGGTTCCATCAAGAAAAATAATAAAAACAAACAGTCAATAGTGATCAGTGCCAATACTATATCGGAAATGGTATCACGATGACACTCCATGTGGGGGGGGGGGGGTTCTGACGCCCCAAACCCTCCACTGTCATTTACATTTAAGGCGTACAGGCCAATTCATTCGAAAGGGACCAAAAACAATTATTTCGACCGATTTCGAATGTCTTGACCCAAAGGATAGAGATATATTGAGCGTTCATATATCGTAATATAAAAATATGAAACCCGATTATGAGCAGAGCTGTAAAACTGCCAGAATGTATTAAAGAATACAGAAAAAATAAGTTCTTTGAAAGGTTCGTGGAATAATAATTAGGACAGTGGTTGAAACTAGCGGCCAGCACATAGCTAAATTTTTACACATTTGAATACCAAATAAAAAATAAAACTATTAATTGTACATTAGATTAATACTACCCAGCTCTGATTATGAATATATACAGGATGAATCGATGCTTGATAAAAAAAATTATTCGTTACATTCCGTACGACTGGATCCAAATATTATACAGAGTGGATTCATTTTAAAGCATAAATACTGATAAAAAAACGGCACATAAGTTTAAAATAAATAAGAGACCATACTATTCTTTTTTTTTTTTTTTTTTCATAAAAACCCCCTGCATAATATTAGGGGTAAGTAGTGGTATCACATTTTACTGATTTGTTTGCGAATAAGTCTCCACTTCTATTGGCACAAATATAAAATATACAGAGTGTCGCTATCTAGAAAAGTATGTATTTAATCTAAGAGGAGAAATTTCGGTGTTCTTTCAACCTTATTTCTTAATGTTTCCAATACTGGGTGTTTTATTTTGCAATCATTAATTTTAGGGATAATTTGACAATATACTTATAACGTCATAATTTCACCAACTGATAGTTTATTTTTTGATTTACAGGGTTAAGGTATTCAGTGGCGTGTAAAATGGTTAGTTTTAATTTTTTCCTCGAAAATAAAGGTATGGAAAAAATTTAAGAAACAAAAAAGTTGTATTTTAGGTAGTTTAATTAAAAAAATTATGAAAAATTCAAAAAATCTACTGGGCAATATTTTATTGTGCCGAAAACTAATCGAATTGCCCTGTGAGTACGCTTCTGGAATTTCTGGATCAACTGTAACATGTCTGAAAGACATCTCATAATCGGTCACAGACTTATAGTAATAAAAAACTATTAAAAAAAAACTTAAATACTCTGTATATGTTTTATCGGATAAATACCTTTATTTTTCGATAAGCTATGGGCTGGTAAAATCATAAAGATATAATCTGTTATTGTCAAGTATAAATCGTAGATATTAAATTGCCGTAAATGAACTGTAACAGAATGAGGTATTAAATCAATTTTAATACTGTTTTTGACAATCTAAGTGGAACATGTTTCATTTGCCCCCCTTTAGAATTTTCAAGAATTTCTTAAAGCGAAATATTATGTACTCTTAGTTTTATTAATAATATGCACTCACATTTAATACTTTCTTTGAATCGTTTAAGATTTAATACCACATTTACAATTAAAAGCGTTGTTGTCACAAATTACTCACTTTTGTTGTTTTGACAATCGTCTATTTAAAGTGACGTAATTTGAATTGTTTAATACGTTATTATGAAGTCATTCTAGAAATCTCAAAAATGAATGATATATTCTAAATATCCAATTTTTGGTTTCCATTTGTGAGCTTATTCAGAAGAAACCCGGATTGTTTCATCCCTGAAAAGTAATGACTGCGAACGTGTAACACCCTGTGCAGGTAAATAATGTGATTGTCATTATTAAGGTGATTTAATTCACCTAGTGAAGACCACTGGGTAGGTTGAAACATCTTACTTAATCTTACAGGTATGAGATAATAATTGATTAGCATTTATTTAGATGGTGCGTGCAAGTTTGTGAATACCATCCGTTAGTTTGTTGTCAGCAGCTAATCTTTAAAATATGAATTGCTTGCACGACCACTGTATCTATTCACTTGATTTAGTTGCCTCAGATTTTCACTTATTTGTTAGGCTAACCAAGTAATATCCCATTCTATAAATTTAATTGATGATCGAATAAATTAATGTCACACATGAATAAATAAAATGAGAGAGTCTATGAAGGGTGAATTCTTCTATAAAATAAATCTACTTATCAGTCAGGATGAGTGTAAAAATATTTCCCTTGTCATACGATCTGCCAAAAAGGAATTAGATATTTGTATGTATGAAAATTCTGTGAAACAGAAACGAATTTATATAAGTAATTAAAATGAACAATATTTTGTTTATATATGATTTACGATCACGAAAAATATTTCGTAATTTTAATTACAACTTTGTCAAATTCACTTTAGTCATAAGATTTATTTACAACGTCATTAACTGTTATTTTTCATATCCGCTATTTATAAAAATAAATCCCAATAAATTTCCTACCATTTCAAAACCTTTAAACTATTTAATCTGATACTAAGATGAATTTGAACAAATTATACAAGCAACCATTTTTATATATTTCTAATAAGTTTTTAACCAAATGAATGTCAGACAATTCAAGCATATTTCTTTGACACAATAACAATTTAGTAGCAATCTCACAAAAGATGTACCTACTAAATATACAAATTTATACTGAGAATATAATATTATTACACTTTTAAAGCTACAGCGTGCTCACTTATAATTTGAATGTAAAAATAAATACAAAGTAGATCACAATAATATAATATACAAGTAAGTTCAGTAGCGTAACCAGAACATTATTCGAAAGGATTGCAATGCATTCAAAATACTTTCTGGACTATTTACGATCACAGTCCTGAAAAAAATCCGGATTTCATTTGATTACGCCATTGATTTTACGAAAGGTGAAAGTATAAAAGTGTGTATAAAGTATTTTTCCATATAGTCCAAATAACACTGTTATTACGAAAAAAATACTAAACCTATCCCGGACTATGAACCTATTTTGGACCAGGAATTATTTATTTACAATTTTTGGTCTTTATTTTTTCGCACAAGTTTTTTGTTTGTTAATTTTTACACTGCACAGCCTTTTCTCACCCCGTATAGGACTTTAAGTTCTGGATAAATAATTTTGTTGATCAGTTGATGGGTTTTCCCTGCCAACATGGCTCGTCTGGGGTCCTTTTTGTAAATTTTGATACCTGGTTTGTGAACTAAGAAAGCGTTGTCCAGAATCATGAAATCGTAGTCCATGACACACAGAGCGTAACCCTGAAATCAGCAAAACATCCAACTTATCAAATCGTTTCCAAATGTTGAATAAAAAAAAAACCGTTGTGTGTTTAGCAGCCACGTTTTATTTTGTTTCTAAATGGGAATTAGTTAGTCTGACTTTGGTCTATACTAACAGACAACAAGTTTCTACTGGTGCCTCAAAAATATATTGAAAACACTCTATTGAAAATGGAAAGTTTAAAAGTTGTTCACCACGAGGAATAATTTGTAATTTTAAAAAATCAGAACAAAGAGAATATATTAAAATGCATACCTGAGTCATCTTGTCCATTTTGCCTTCCCAACTAAGCCTCTCATCGTAGAGAGGATCAGCGTGCGATCCGATAAAAATCGGCTCCCAATGGACGTAATACCCAGTCCTTTTGCCCACGTGGAAAACGTGAACACCGGCTGTCTCTTTAGCGGTTTGCCATTCTTTGGCTTTGGGCACCGTATGGCAGCCCGGGCACAGTTTTTTGTGAAAAGGTATGGCAGTTCCTTTCGATAACATGTCCATTAACATCGTTTTGTTATCTGGAACTTGTTGGTTGGCACTTACTTCGAATATGTGGAGTGGAAACACCTGCAATAACCAAAGCGAATCAAAATATTGATGATATGCAATAATACGAAAATATTTGCAAAATTCATTAGAAAATACGAATAAGAGAACCGAAATTCGCATAGCTCTTGGATGCAATGGAAAAGTGAGGTAACTTCATATGGAAAAAATGTTGATTCTTTGTTGCATAACACCATTCAAATGTACCAAGTATTGCCGCGATTGAATATCCACATCCGATGCATTTATTACATCTCGAGCGTTTGTTTTCCACATCGGACACATCTACTACATCTACATCTGCGTTTGTTTGTCCGAGATGTAGCTATCAGGATTACATTTTTTTACATCTCGATTTGAAATGAGATGTGAATGAGATGTTCGTACCATGCCAGAAAGTAAGTGTTCTGTGAAGTTAAGTTTATCAATTTATTACGTGATTCAAAATTCACATCTCAATAATAACTAATGCCATGTTTGAATATCCACATCTGATGCCTCTGAGATTTTGTGAATTTTTAACCACGTAATATATAATCCTCATAGTACAACAATAACCACATTTTGTTTTTTGTTGCTAGTAACATAACAACTTTTATTTATCAGAAACTATCAAGTTACCTAAAAGTTGTGACAGTTGCTGTCATGTACAAAAGTTATCTCTTAAGGGTCAGTCTTTTCACTCTCAGGTAAAGTTCCGGATAACTAACTAATGAATATATTAACCGAGAATAACTAACTGACAGATAATTAAATTTCCGTCTTTCAAGTGAAATTATTATAGTAATCCGGTACTTGTTAATATTCTAAGGTTATGTATTTATGCGTACGATATGTCACTGTCACTTGTCAATATTTCGTTTTGTCATTTGAAAGGTTTTGTAATAAAAAAATAGTTTGTTACTTTTAAGAGAAGTTTATTATTAGAAATTCCAAACAAAATGAATATCAAAAGGAAGGGTTGGTATATCTAAGGAGTTGTGACATAGACATAGACATAGGGTTTAAACCTGATCTTTTTTCAAACAAATTGTCCTTGTGACTTTTTAAACCTTAAAATGTCCTTTTAGAAGGTTGTCGTCAGAAAAAGGAACTGGTTTATAAAAATATAAGCTGAGGACCTTTTTTGTTTTAGAAGCTCGAGGCAGAAGGACAAGGGGTTTATTAAAAATATAAGCTGATGAGAACTTTTTTTAAAGCTCGCCGGAAAGATGTTTTTCTCTTTTAGAAATTTCCCTTTCGTAAATCTGGGAACCCTACCTTTATTCACTTTTCAAAAAGGTGACAACCGTATAGACCCAGTAAATTGATGAAGGGATCACTGAGGCTAGGGGAGAAATAGTAGTCAGCTTAAGTTAGCAAAACTATGAAAATGTGATTTATTAAAAAACTGCTTATAATTATAGTGTCCAAGATACGAGGGCTGTCTTTAAGTTTTGCATACCGTACATTAGAGGGCGTTACGAATCAAACGGCTCTAATAAAAATAAACTGTCGCCTTTAGTTAACCTCGCTTCCAAGTTTTAGTCCGATTCATAGAGTGTTGTAGTTACACCGAATTTTCAAAGTTGACAAGTTATTCAAGAAATAGACTTAAACCGAGAACATTTTCGTGCTATAATTTTTTACAACTTTCGAAGACAATTATCTCAACAAGAATGCCTCGCCGAGTTGGTTTCTGTTTTCGATAGTGATGCCCCACGTCAATTGACAATTTCTCGTTGGTATGGAGAATTTATACGAGGACGGGTTAATCTTAGTGACGAGCCAAGAACAGGTGCACCTAAATCGGTAGTCACCCAGAAAAGCATTGATGCTGAGCGCAGGTTAATCGAGGAAGATCGGCATGTGACATATCGCGAGATTGAAGCATCATTAGGGATTTCAAAGACCTCAATCCAAAAGATTTTGCATGAAGAATTGGGAGTAAAAAAATAAGTGTCCCGTTGTATACCGCATCTGTTGACCGAAGAACAAAAAGAAGCTAGGGTAAATTGGTGTCAAAAAACTCTGGAGCGCTTCAACACTGGAAACTCTAAAAACGTGTAATGCATCGCAAGTGGTGATCAATCATGGATTTACTCACATGAACCTGAAAATAAACGCCAATCGTCTGTTTGGGTTTTCTAAGGTGAAGACAAGCCGATAAAAGTGATCCGTTCTCAAAGTGTATCTAAAAAGATGGTCACAACATTTGTCTCCAAATCAGGTCATGTAGCAACAATTCCTCTGCGAGAGCAAAGAACTGTTACTGCCGATTGGTATATAACGATTTGTTTGCCAGCAATCATCGCTAAGCTTCGGGAAACTAACCCCAAACGACGAATCATCCTCCATCAAGACAATGCAAGTGCGCACACAATTCGCAAAACAATTGCCTTCTTAGAGCAACAAAACGTCGAGTTGTTAGACCACCCTCCTTACAGTTCCGACCTAAGTCCCAATGATTTTTTTACCTTTCCGAAAATCAAGAACGCACTGCGTGGGCTGCGGTTCCAATCACCAGAAGATGCAGTTGAGGCATTCAGAACAGCTATTGGAGCTGTGACACCTCAGGAGTGGAATAACTGCTTTCAAAGCTGGTTCGAGCGCATACAAAAGTGCATTAATCTTCGTGGAGAATACTTTGAAAAACAGAAATGTTTAAACACTATTTGCTGTTTTATTCTAGATCTATATGCAAAACTTAAAAGACAGCCCTTGTAGAAGACTATGCCGCAACCCCTTAGACATACAATCCCTACCCTTATGCATCTATTAGGCGTTCAAACAACCTGTCAAACAGTAGCTGCTAGTGGGAAGGGCTCATATATCTAAGGCAGTTGCGAAATGGCCTTTCATCTTGGACGCTATTTTTATTCCAAATAGTAGTCGCCAAGCCTGCCAATTTATGAAAAATGTATGAGTGATTTTTTTTTAAATAATATTTTCATTATGTTCGACATAAAATATTTAAATTTAATCCATTATTCAAGATTTCACGCATTTTAGATAGAATAAATCATATGTCGCAACCCTTTAGACATACCAACCTTTTCAACAGACAGTTCTCTTGTTTGACAGGTCGATGGAACGCCTAATATGTTTCGGCTAGAGCCTCGGCTGTGACCAGCTTCTGGGCTCAACAATAAATTTCGCCTTCTACTCCAATATACATTAACTTTGTTCGCGGAGCCTGTCGCCGAGAAGTCCACGACATATTAGCATGCGCATTTCGATTTCAGGTGGTCGATTTCCGACCTTTTCGACCGCCTGAAACCGAAATGCGCATGCTCATATGTCGTTGACTTGTCGGCGACAGGCTCTGCGAGCAAAACTACTATCGTTTAAGAATATTACGATAGAATGAACTTAATTTGAGTACGTGTCATTGATATCAGTCTGTAATTCAAAGTAGTGTACCATTAGCTGAATGCACTTACCTTATGCTCCTTGCTAAGTAAAGGATCTGTGTTTTCAGCAATCATGGCTAGGAACTTCTCAATTATGTTAGGACTAGGATACAGTTCGATATCGGACGCTAGCATGAAATTAGTCTGCGCAGTTTCTCGAGCAACGTTTCTGCCTACGTTTACAGGATATAACAACTTCTTTTGTGCCTTATACATGTTTTCACTGGACACGTTCATGAACGGGGGCACCGACGAACAGTTGTAGGACTCGGTGAAGATGTTGTCGTGTTTAGGAACCTAGAAATGTTTTTCGGTAAAAAATTTAAACTTTATTTATACACCTGTAATTGTCACCTATCTCATTTTAACTTACCTCTTTGGGTACGTGCTTAGTGCTAAAATAAATATGAAAAGTGACCAGTTCCTTTACTTTGGGACTCGTGCAGTCCCTCAGGTAGGCTATGGATTCGAGAGTATTTTCGAAATCAGTTCCAGGAGCGTGGAGGGCGATGCTGATCGGTCCCTGCCATCGTTCCAATAATGGCACCAAGTTATCCATGAACGAGTAGTCCGCATGGGTAGTGTAGGTTATACTTTCGTGGCACCTGAGAAAAAAATTACGTGTATTAGGCTACAATAGAATGATTTATTTATCGTATGTGGTTTTAGCAATAATAGAGTTGAAGTATTTCCAGTACGTTAACGTAAACGTGAACGTCAACGCAGAAATAAAATGTTTACGTTGAAGTCCAAAAGGTTTAACTACAACTCAGATTTTGGACAAAGTATAAAATCTGAGTTGTAGTTAAACCACATACTTTGATTACTATACGAGGCAAGAGAGAGGTCCGACACGCCCAACATAGGGCGCGGCCATTTTGAACCCTGTGACACAGTTTACAGCTAAAGAATCAGATCGCTCACTCTGCGTCGGCACTTTTGATCTCAATGTTTCAGTTTATACACTGTGCAACTCGGATAATACAATATATGACAACCGCCTGTAATAAAACGGCAGTCTTCTGCGTATCCTGAATTTGTATCCCTGGAGTGGATGTTATTTTGGAACTTTCAACTGGTCCGAGTGAGCTAACTGATTCTTTAGCAATAAACTGTGACTTCAAAAATAATATTCACTGACGGCAGCAAGCAAGCAAGCAAAATATCAGGTGCGTTTTAATCATCCGCTTCAGGGCTGGAACTCTGTGTCATGTAGAATTCTACTTATCGCTTTCTGCAATAGATTCTTTTGTGGCACTCTGTGTAACATAGCGGAAAACCAACGAGTATATACTTACTACAGGATAACTAGTTTCATAAGAAACCACATTGCGATATTTCCCGTGCGGTTGATAACGTATTTATCACAAAAGAAAGTAATCGATTCCATTGTAGAAAGCGATAAGTAGAATTCTACATGACACAGAGTTCCAGCCCTGCTTCCGGAATTGTCGGTTTAGTCGTTTTAACCTGTAAAACAACCTAGTGTTATCAAATGTTCAGAGTGAGAGGCGACCAGCGATGTGATGATCTGAAATATCAATCCCGTCGCTCGACGCCACGCTCGCCGCTCCTACTCTGAACAAGGCTTAAGATACCGCCGCCCGGTTTATCTGCTACCTTCAGTTTCATTCGAAATTTCTGTAACTTCACATATAAGGGATATCATAGAACACGACCGGACTGGTTGCAAATGGCTCGCACGAGAATATTTAGTGGAAAACATTTAAGAAATCGATAGGAAAACATACAAAGGATGTCAGTGTAGCAATATTAATATTACGTAATAAGAGTTGTAAGTAAGCCATTACGCACGAAGTGAAAAAGTAAATTTCACGAGTGCGTAATGGGCTTACAACTCGTGTAACGTACTGTACTTTTTCTACATCCGCTTAAAACATTCTCAAAAAAGTATTTAACGTTATGCTTGTGACGCCAATCCATACATTTTCGATAGGTACCTTTCTTTGGATTTTAGCGGTAACAAATTATGTGTGTCAGCTTGAGCTTTTTCTAAAATCTCCGGTAGAGTGCTCATAATTTCATCACTTTCACTGCTAACAAACATATTCGTAGGTAAAGTTGAGAGAATGTTCGGATACAATCATATTTTGTTGCAAAAATTGACAATATAAATGGCATGACGTTTATTTCCATAGAATGCTAAGAAAACGCGACATATTTTTTGAAATATTGTATAATATGTTGCCGACATTTAGGGGCATCACTCTTTTAATCCAAAATGTATCTCGCTAATGCTAAAAGGTTTTATGTTTTTTAAATGACTAAATTGATGTAAATAGATCAAATAAAGTCGTACGTAGACAAAAATTTGATTGCAATTTGATTAAACCAAGAAATTTAAGTTTTCTTATCAAAACGCACGTGTATGTTATGAGATCTCATTACGTGCATGTTATTGTTAAATGTCATTTACAAGGAATGTTGATAGTGCGATTTTTAACGTTTACTGACATGGGCGTAGAAAAAATTATGAAATATCGTGCAACCCTATTGGACATTCACTGTAATGACGTTCATGTCTTTATGATTTTATATGTGGATAAATTTAAAGAGGATTTGTGAATTAGACTACAAAAGTGTATTTATTATTGGAGTGCGATAGAAACAACTATTTATTATATTAAATGAGACTTACTTATGCGATTTTGTCGCTCTGACATAGTTGTATAAGACCCAATAATCTCCGCGTTGTTGAATTTTCGGCTCCAACTGCCTGTCTGTACATCTAGTGACTTCTCGCACTTCATTCAGAGCGCTAAGAGTTGTAGCACTAGGTATCTGTAAAAAAACACATGTCACAGTTAGAAAATAACCGGAAATAGTTGCTAGTGCAGACTATGGAAGTTTTGTCATGGTGCACTGATGACTTTATACGTTAATACCATTTGCAAAAATTTTCGTTGAAGAATTATATTTTAATTCGCATATCAATTCGGATACTTACAATTTTGACTTCATTTTTGGCTGGCAGTAGATGGTCCGTAGATTCTGGCACAGGCAACAATTTGAAATTTTCTTCATCGAGGACAGAATTATCTAAATTTCCGGATCCCAATGCGGCTAGATTTCGTCCCGATTCTTGCATTTCCCTGATGACGGGCACAGCAGTGTTGGTTAGGACGTGGATGCATAAATATACCACGCATGTCGCTGCTAGTAGCTTTAGAATGAAAGATTTTCGATTTGTGTACATCTTTATTGGTCCTGGAACAAAATTAAACAAAAGTAAGTAAAGTAAGTATTTGGAATCAGTCTGAGACATACGGAAGAGGGTAATTCTAAAAAGTAATATAAACATAGGTACGCATACTCTTCGTTACCGATCTTCAAGGTGTTCAAATAAAAAGTTTTTTTTTCCTATTTTCCCTATAGCTCCTGTAGTTTCCATTTTATGTTTATTATTTGAATGTATTGTATTGTACTAAATAATTGCTACAAAAACTGGGCAGTGACAAATATACCGAAACTTTCACTTTAATTTAACGAAATTACAGAAAATCGTCTTGTTTGTTTTTTTCCCTCAATAACAGTCGCAGATACAAAAAACTACAATAGACCAAAAAGTTTCCAAATAAAACATCAAATTCATTTTGTATTTTAGTTCAGAGAAAGAAAAGGGGGAAGACCCATAAAAAAATATGATCCTATAGATTAGGCCTGCACAACTGAGATTTTCAAAGGGCCAGTTGAAAGGGCCAAAAACGGATGTAAATTTTTTTTTTTGGCGGCGGGGGGGGTGTTCGAGGTGTTCTGTCGGTTTCTCAAAAAAAAGGTAAACCAACTCCTTCTATCGAGCTCCTTAAAAAAAGGAATTAATACCTAAATGCAATTTTGTTTCTAAAAAATGTATAGTTTGACGTAGGCGGGCCAAATTGTTAAAGGGACAAAGGGCCAAGAAAACGACAATGGCATGCTGCAAGCGGCCCGCGGGCCGTATGTTGTGAAGGCCTGCTGTAGATTCTTACAACTATTCGTAAAATAAAATCTTGAAATTTCAACACCTTATAAACTTGGTAACCAAGCGTTTGCGTTTGGAGAGCTATGTTGATATGCCATATTAGTGGGTGGCAAAAAATTGATCGAATACATTTGATCGAAAACATTTGATCGAATGCATTTGATCCAAAAAATATTTTATCGAATAACAATTGATCGAAAAGAAAATGAACGAAAAGAAAAATGATCCAAAAGAATAATGATCGAAAAGAAAATTGATCAAGCAATTGATCGAAAAACAAAATATACATAAAATTAAAAAAACTCAACTAATTTACTTAACCTGTTCGGCATATAGTTGGTTGCCTCGCAAAACAATATAAGAAATGAAAAAATAAAAAACTAATTTACCAAACCTGCGCAAGAGCAATCAGTTGAATTTAAATGTCCCCAAGCTGCACAGGTCAGGTAAATTAGTTAAGATTTTCTATTTTCTCATTTTTGTGTATATTTTTTTGCGAAGTTACCTTCGACAGCTCCAGGCCGCACAGGTTAGGTAAATTAGTTGAATTTTTTATAAAAAAAACTTAATGGTTAGGTAAATTTGTTATGTTCTTTTTATGTTTATAATTTTTATATATATATTTTTTTGTAAGGCAACCCTTGACGGCCCCAGGTCGCACAGGTTAGGTAAATTAGTCAAGTTTCTTATTTAATTTTTCTCAGTTTTGCATAATTTGTTTGCGAAGCAAACCTCGATGGCTTCAGGCCGCACAGGTTAGAGAGATTAATTAAAGTTCATTTTTAATTTTTTTCATTTTTGTATATTTTTTTTTGGAGGCACACCGCGAAGACACAGGGTTCGGTAAATTAGTTAAGATTTTATAATAAATAATAAAAATAATAATTTACTTAAAATGTCCCATCGGGAGACAACTCGACCTTACTGAAATACATATTTTGTGCGAATAAATCACAATGCTTTAATCTCAATGACGATAAATAATCGTTCAGCTCTGAAAATATTAATTTGTAAATTAACAATATTGTAAGGATAAAATTTTTAAAATAAGACAGCTATCGTTTGAGATTATCGAAAAATTTGCCATTAGCATCTAATTTGACGATATCGTAACCTTGCATCAAAAGTGACAAAACTCAAAATTCGAAAATTAACATATTTTAAGTTAATAACATGAATGTAATGAATAAACAACTCTACATTAATCATCAAATTTGTTTTGAGTCATGAGAAACCTGTATAATTTTTGAGGTTCTGTTTAGTGATTTTGATGTAAGGTTGCATTCATGTTATTAACTCAAAAGATGAATTTTGAGTTGTGTCGCTTTTAAAGAAAAGGTGCGATATAGTCTGAATAAAAGAGAAGTGCAGTACAAGTGGGTATATAACGTCACATTCCATAGGCGTACTTTGCAAAATAATTTTCTATAATATAAATAAGGTCACGGCATATAAAATGGTACATAGGGACTTCGTAGATTAAATTTTGAATAAAAAGTTATCTCATTTACAAAAATAAAAATAAACCTTATGTTTCTGACTAAATTGTTACACTTTAACATTGAACAAATTAAATTTAACTAATAAATAATAAAAAGGAGGATTATTGTTAATGAGATTAAACTTTGTTTAATCAGTAAAAGTAACACTTCAGTACCTAAAATCAATGAACTATCCTCAAAAGTCACTACAACTACTGGTATTATTATCATCATTATTTTTTCTGAGGTTTATTATTATAGGGTCTATTAAGTTTTCCATTGTTATATCCACTTTTCAAAATGAATTTTCCATCTTTTTAACATAATGCATTTTTAGAATGAAGCCATTTTGAAATATCTTCTTGTTTCCATCTTGTTGTAGGTAGTGACTCACTTAATTGACTGTGATAGGATGCATTATCCAAAACAATAATGGAGTTAGCTGGATTTTTTTTATAATGTTCTGAAACCAATTTTCAAAGAGGGCCATCCAGTTCTTCATGGTAGTCTTTTGTTTTCTTTGACTCGAACCATCTGGCAAAAATCCATCGGTGCTTCAAATGTGGGTTATTTATTATTAAACGATTTGCTTTTGCTGTTGAATTTTTTAATCCTTAAGAGATCCATTTCATAAAGGGTTATTTTTTAGTTTTGATAAAGGTATCTTACTAAATTTTTGTTAGCATTTACCCATGTTTCATCTAAATCAAATACGTGTTTATGCGTCCGCCATTTTCCTTAAATAATCATGTCTCCACGCAATGATTTTGTCTTTCTCTGTTAAGAAGCTGTTTCTGTCACGTTTTTTATAACGAAAATTTAATTCATGTAATATTTTTTGCAGATGAAAATATGATCTATTTGGAAGAGTGGGGCTATTTTCTATTTCTGAGGTATTACATTCTTTACCCAAGTTTCAATGAAGATTTTGTTTTTTCCTGGGGGCTTTTTCGGATATGAGACTTCAATAATGTTATACACTGTCCGTTTAGATAGGTCTGTCTCTATTTCATCCAAATAAAGTGTAACAAAGTATTTTCGAAGACTATTAAATACATTAAGTACGATATTTTTTTCTTCTAAAGATAATGCTTTATGTCCACTAAGTCGTTTAAGCTTACTTGTGCTTGCACTCGCCATTCTTATATACCTAGTGTAAAATTATAATATATACTAATACAAAATTCCGAATCAATTAAAATACACACGATACGGCTATGAATAAATAAAATCTGACTTATCTGTCAAAAGAAAATGTTTATTAGAGTAAAAACCATCGAAACATGATTAAATCCAAAAGAAAACTTTTATTAGGCCGATCAGATGTAATAAAATTTTAATTTTAACTACAAATAAGCATTAAAGGATGAGGTATAAATAAAATGTCTTCCTCTTGAACCTGTACTTCGTTCTGCATATTAAATTACTGAATTCCTTTCTTCTCTAGGCTATAGACGGACCGTTGCATGGTATCATTTGATATTTTTTTATATTTTACTATTTTTAATGTTGATTTTAGATATATCTTCGATCAAATGTTATTCGATAAAATATATTTACGATCCAATGTCATTCGATAAAATGTATTTTCGAGCAAATTTCCAATTCGATCAAATGTTTTTTCGATCAGTTTTTTGCTACCCCATAGTAGTCATTAAATAAATCAAATAATTACCCCCTTCCGTATGTACATGATATTTAAAATCACCTTGTATAGTAAAAAGAAAAAAAAAAGATTTTTTTTTATCGCAATCAAATTAATAAATAACATTAATAATCTCCTTATAATTCACCCTTTTAAGAGTGAAACCGTGAAGACAAAAAAATAAAAGGCAAAAAGACAGAAAAATGGATAGAAAAAGTAAAAAATGATTCTACTCATTAGAAAAAAAATCTTTGATTTGAATTAATTGCGAGAAACAAAATAAAAACGGAAAATACTCAAAAACAAGAACTTACTTTGGTAGTCGTGAATTAAGGTCTGTGTCGACATATTTTTCGTTAAACAGTGTGCAAAATAATTGTTTTTCACCTCAAGAACGTCAACTACAATTTGATGATATTCTATACACGAATATGTATATATTTTAACTAAAATGTTTATTAAATATACGCAAACATATTTAAAAGAAAATATTTTTTAATGCTTACCTCTACTTGAATAATATTTATAAAAGGATTCAGGATTAATGTTTTGTTTCTTTTAATTAAACATACTTTAATTTTATTAAAAAAACACACAATATTTCCCAACGTAATTAAACTAATTCAAATATTATTAGTTATTTATTCATTGATGCATAAAGTGTTTTAAAGAAAGTGCAAAATGATAAAGATAGTTATTATTTACTACAATAATAGTCTAGATCAGTAAAAATCATCCAAATCGCGAAATTTTTAAATAATTGGGAGGAATGAATGAAAACATTGTGGAATAGATTAACAGTAGACTGGTTAGAGTGGAAAGAAGTGGAGTGCATGTAATAGCGGGTAGCGATTAAATTAAAGGAAAAGTCTAAAGTACAGAATGTTGTGCTGTTGCTGAGGCAAGGACGGTGTACTGGATTAGGGAAATCAAAAATTGTGACAAAATTAAAAATGAACTTATTATGGATAGTTCGGGAATTGCATCTATAGGTGAGAAAAATAAAAAAATAATAATAATCAATAAAAAAGCACTAGGATTACTCTCTTATATTACATCATACCATTTTCTCCATAAAACCACATCCTGATAGTTGGAAATACTTTTAATTTTATCGGAACTTTTAACTGGAAAATTATTTTTCTTGTCCCTAAAAAATGCTTTGAATGCCAAATAACGTAGGTGCACTTTTCATTCTTTCACTGTTTCCCGATAATATATTAGGAATATTAATCAATTTTTATCAAAAGAATCTGTAAGCAGATGCCTATTTTATAGTTATTTAATAGAACTGAATAATATTGAAGAGTTGATTCTTATCTGAGAATATACATATTACCTATAAGATTTATTTGTACAAATGATCCAATGTAAAATTAAAAATAAAATACTTATGGATATTTACATAAAATAGTTATAGACTATATAGACTAATTGATAAAAAACATATCTAATCTTTAAATAAACAAGTACAGGTTGTTTAAATGTGTTCCCGTGTTAAACCCCTAGACAGTATAATAAATATAGAGTTGGAAAATAGGACAGCAACATGCGAAATTATGATATTCATAACAAGACCATAACACTTTTTTTAAAGTTGTTCCTAACTCTAGATACAGCAATAGCATTATCGCTTCGATATACAGGGTGGCCCTTAAATAATTATACATACAAGTCTTAGATGGTTCCATGACAAAACAGCGCAGGACAAAATGGCGCAGGAAATAATAGCGCGGGACAAAAGAGCACAGGACAAAAAAGCGCGTGTCAAAATATTCCATTAACATTAAAAAAAAAACAACCAATTTACGTAACCTGGGCCATCGCTGGCATATTTTATCATGCTTTAATTTATTTTACTTTTTTTTGTAAAAACGCTAACTTGACTCACTATAACTAAGCTATAGGTGTTAAGAGGAAACCGGACCTCTCACGAAAGCAAAAATGTTTTAAGGATTTTCTAATATACCATTGTATTTATATGACAATATTGAGAGTTTTAAATTTGTGCAACGATAAGGTATAGTCCTTCCATTATCAATTGCAGAACACAGTTATGTGGGGAATCATCAATATTTAATATATACGCACGGCACTCATGCCAAATTAAGAAACGAAAAATTATGTTTACTCCCCTTATACAATGCGGTAAATATTAAACGAACCGTCAGTCCACGTGTACTTGATATATATATCAAAATCCATCATCTCCGTTGTTTACCAATGAAAACATAGTATCGTAAACTTAAATGCACTGTATTGGCCGAAGGTTTACGGAGGGCAGGAGTGTTCGAAAATATTCCTGGAAGACAGTATCCGATATCAGTGGAGTACTGTCGTGCGGTGTGTTTTGTATGTGTGGTTGGTTTAATTTAGAAATTTCTTTAAATAAATATAAATATGGCGTTCTTTAGACCATGGCCGAATAAAGAAAATGAAATTGCACAGTGTAGTGAGATTAAAGACAGGTATGACTTTAACAATAAGGATTTAGATATACAAACACAACAAGTTATTTTAAATATATTCGAATGTTTAAAAAAGGAAAATATTCAGCAGTCTGATAATGTGATCATAATAAGAATTGCTGAATTAACTAAAATAAATAAATTTTCCATTTATCGGGTAGTCACGAAAGGGGTTGCTGTGGATCATTCACAAAACCGAAAAACATGTAAAGAAAAACTAAAATCAGTTGACAGAACTACTCAAGATTTTATACGAAGGAAAATTTATAGTTTATTATAAGGAGAACAGGGTTCCGACATTGGAAGTAATACAGCAAAAGGTAGCAAATTTTCCAGAATACACTTATACCAGTTTGGAAACATTGCGTCAAGTTTTGTCAACATGTGGTTTTAAACACTGATCTGTATTATTTTACTGGATAGGATATAGGCTATATTTAACATACTAAAAATCCGTTCCACCAAGGAGACCGGAAGTGCAACACTGCTGGCCGATTTGGGCAAATTATGGTGGGATCACAGAACTGAATTTTGGGATAATTTGACATACCTAACCTATAATTTGATTAGTTTTTCTTCTTCTTCTTCTTATTCTTCTTCTTATTCCTTCTGCGGGCAATGTCCTTCGGGACAATTCACCTATAATTTGATTTTTTTATGAAAGAAAATATAAAAATGGAAACGTGAAGCATATTGTGTCTTCACGGATGATCGTTTATTGTTTATATCATAATAATGCTATCCGATACTACCTAAATAAATAAAAAAAACGTGTCATCGTAATTTGTTGACACAATTAAATGACAAATGTGATGACAAATGGAAATAGAGGTTATGTTAAATAACATCCGGTCCGCCATATTTTTTGCCCAAATCGGCCAATTTTTCGGAACGTTTTTTAGGGGGCTATATCCTATCCAGTAAAATAATACAGATCAGTGGTTTTAAACACAAAAACTGAATAAACGGATGGCAATCACCGAATCGTCAAGGATAGTTCAATGGCGACAAGATTATTTGCGTCACATAAAAGACTACAGAAGTTCTAGTAATAGACACATAATTTATCTAGATGAAACATGGTTTAACAGTCACGATGTAGTAAATTTCGGTTGGGTTGACAGTAGTAAAAATTGCTGTTTGAATGGGCCATGTTCTAAAGGGAAACTCATTATAATAGTACACGCTGGAAGCAAAGACGGTTTCGTATCTAATGATTTATTATTATCTGCTAAAAAAATTAAAAACTGTGCAGCTGATTATCATGAAGATATGACAGCAGAATTATTTGAAAAGTTGTTTAATGAACAGCTTTTACCTAACATTCCACCACAGTCAGTAATCGTTATGGACAACGCATGCTACCACTCGCGGCAACTGCTTAAAATACCAAATAGTAGCAGTAACAAAGCTCAAATTTTAGCGTTTATGTCTGATAAAAATATTCCTATTCCTGCCAGTGATCGTAAGAAAGGCCCAACAAACAAAGAATTGCTTACTGTTATTAAAGGTATAAAGTTAAAAAAAATTATTATATTGACAAGCTGTGCAAAGAACAGGGTCATACTCTTCTCAGACGACCTCCTTACTATTGCATATTTAACCCTATAGAGTTAATATGGGCAAACGTAAAATCAGAATTACGAAAATATAATCAGTCTCCAGAACTGAGTAAAGAGGTTGTAGAACTCGTAAAGAAAGTTCTAGCAGCAGACCGCCAAGAGCTTTGGAAAAACTGTGTTGAACATGTTATCAAAGAAGAAGATGAGTATGTGGTATTACCCTCTTTACAACCCATTATAATTCAACCAAATGATGACTCTAGTTCAGAGGATTCAGACTGCCATGATTATTTATAAAGATACTTTAGAATTGAAATGTTTTTTTTCTTTTATTTTATTTGCAAAGAATTTATTTTCCTTTATGGTTTTTGCTTTGAAATTTTGTTTTCCAGAAAAAAAAAAAACGAATGGGGTACAAAAAGGTCTCAGTTCACGTCTGGTACCCTGTTTAAACCAAACGCCCTTACAGGCAGGTACACTTTATTCGTTTTTTTTACGTTTTATAATTTAATATTCTTGCATATGATATATTTTAAAAGTATTTATAAAATAAATTTATAAAATGAGGTAGGTATCTACGCCTATGGCAGATCAAACAAAATTGTCGGTAAAGGTTCGGAACGAGTTTTTATAAGCTGTGTTTTTATGTTCTGCAAATGATAATGGAAGAACTATTCGCAATTCAAACTAAGTGATACGCCCTCTGGAGGAAATTAGTAAAAGGTCCCTATAAGTAGGATGACGTTCAGTGTTGCCAGAAGCAGCAAAATTTCGTTACGTCGTCGGATTTTAGTTCTTGAAGAAATGGATAATACCTTTTATTTAAGAATCAAAATTTGTGTCTAGTAATATGTAATCATACTATTTATTTAAGGATTTATTTATAAAATCGATTTATTATATTGATTTTTTTTTTAAATATCAGTTAATTTATTAATTTTAGTTTTAAAATCAGTCAGAGACAAAATCAGTTCATCATTTGGCAACATTGGCGTTCGTGTTCATTGTTTACATTTTAATTTGTATCAATTACAATTAGAGTTTTTTGTTACTTTTTAGCTTTAAATTTGTTTATTTCTTATAGTATGTGATAGTATTTAAAATAAAAATGAAATCTGCGAAAAAGCCTCCAGCAAATTGCAATCTGTATGGTGTTACTTGTCAAAATCAAAACTGGAGTATTCATTATTTTTCAAGTGCAAGTCATAAAATTCTGTTTCTTACGATAAATGGGTATCTACAAATTCACAATATTGAAATTTTGCAAAACGTTGTTTAGAATCAAACTCCAATATGAGTTGTGACGGTTTTATTACCATTTACATGTATACAAAGTACTACACAATTCACTTCATGATATAAGAATAAGGATAGTAAGATTTTTAAAGAAGTTCATCAATAATAAACGTTTGGTACCTGATATGTCCTTTAAACCACATAATAAAACATGTCCTGGGTTTAGTAAATACATATTTCTAGATGTTCTTGTAGCAACCAATAGGTCAATATTTCCAACAAATTAGTTCGTACTACACATGAAAAATTACATTTATAACGAAAGCACGAAAACTAAACTTAAATTAACACTAAATGAAACTCAAAAACACTATTATAATAAGAATATTATCTAAAAACAGTTAAAAAATCACAAATACAAAATCCCACAACACGTAAATAAACAAACATCCTACTTATACGTGACAAATGACAGGCGCGCGAAAATTAATTTGAATCGCGAATAGCAGTCTACAGAGACGTTTAAGAAAAAAAGGTGGGAAAGCATTCCATTTAAAAACTACTAGATATTTATTAAAACAAAAATCAGTATTTTTTATAGATTTAATACAGAATGGCTCGTAAATGTTTTTTTTTTATTTTTTTTTATTTTTTTTTATTTTTTTTTTGTTAATTTTTAAAAATAAATAATTTGCGAAGGTTTACAAAAAAATCAAGGTTTCTCCACCCTAAGTTTTGTTATTATTGGTATTACCTGAAAATTTCACAAAAATCGGACTAAAATTAAAGGCTCAGAATGAATTATAAATTTTCTAGGTG